ACGCGGTACAGGTGCCGCTCACGACCGTCGATGTACAACGGCTTCGCGAACATCTTGTAGTCCGGAATGTCCTTCAGCCGCACGGAGTATTTTCCATCATCGTCGAGGCGGTCACCGACGGCCATACCAAACCGGTACTCCGGGATTGTTGTCCACGGCCCGTCGATCACTTCCAGGTAGCTGCAGGCGGGGAAGCCGAGGTCGCAACCCGGGACGCAGGTAAACGACGGGTCGCCCAGGTAGTTCACGACGTCCTGCAAAATAGCACCTTCTGCATCCCTGTTTTTCCAGGTCGTTTCCGCCATCTGCCGCATCTGGTCCCAGCACTTACTGATCTCCTTCCACCGGGTATCCGATTGCACACGCTTCTTTTCCAGCGATTTCATGGCTTCGATCATGTCGGTGTGCGAGAACATCAGGGGGGCGTCCCGCAACGTCTCACAGGTCTGCTCGAACTCATGTGGCATGACGGCGCTGACGTGGTCGGTGAATTTGGGGAACTGGGGGGACCAGAACCGCGGGTGCTGTTCGGCCCAGTTGATTCGGTCCAACTGCTTGCTCGTGACAATTATCCTGTGGAAAAAACTGCGACAAAGCAGCTGCTCACTTAGCTATGTAGCATGACAAATGCCCTACTGCGACTGCTGTTAGCACTCGCAGTAGGGCATTTGTCATGCTAAATAGCTAAGTGAGCTGCTAACTTGTCGCACTTTTGTTCGCTCTGGTAGTGTTATCATCTTTTTGATGACGGCCGCGCTGTCGCACGTTGCGTTCCTTAAATTGCGCTTCATTCGCAAATTCTGTCAACGGCCTGCTCCGCATCGTGGTGTCGACCCAGGTACCGATTAAGGTCGCGGCGTTCCGCTTCAGGGACAGGCACTTGAGGTTGCACTTGCCGCTGACGGTGGTGGGGGGTAAAAACTCGTACAACTTGATGATGCGCTTCGCACCGGACGCGTCCAGCTGCGGGAACCGCCCCTCGGTCATCTCGGTCCACGCCCCCAGCTGCATATCCCTCTGCCGAAACAGCATGTTCCCCGTCAACGACTGCATCACTTTCCAGGCCGCCCGGCGCTGCTCCTGTCCGCCGTTGTTGTATGCTGAGCCTAAACCACAAAAAATCTCCGAGTCCGCCTGCTTGTTCATCTTTACCAGCAGTTTCTGCAGCTGGTTCGTGGAATACTTCTTGTTCATGTACGCGTCCGGGTCCAAGTACATTTGCGCGTGCTCCAGCTGCTCCACCGTTGTGATTGCAGGCTCAAATCGGCCGCAGGCCTGATTGATGATTTTGGGACAACATGAAGACACCGCAATAGATTGTCTACATCTGGATTTTTTGCATGAAAAGTTCTTGCATCGATAGATTCTGCATCACAAGTAGTTCTTGCATCTTCAAACCCAAAAGATCATCATAAGTGGAGCAAGACAAACCTACCTCAACATGCCGCAAAATGTTTGATCGATCAGCGTGCCCCTTCGCGACGGTGCAGATGATGTTCAATTCGGCGTCAGACAGATTCATGACCAAGGACAAAAATTCCGCCGGGTACCCCCTCCAACCCGCGGGCAACTCGTCGGGCGCAATAAACTCGTCGGAGTAGAAGGCGGGCACCTCGTTTTTATCCAATTGAAGTTTCAGCACTACAGACGCTTCTTTTTGACAGCATACAAACAGGCTTTTGATCGCGACAAGCGATCAAAAACAGTGGAAAACATTACATCTTGATGCAAAAATTTTCAAAAAGAAGTAGCAGTGGTAGTGCCGAAATTTCAAAACCATATCCGTTCTCGCGAAAAATTTCGTCGATTTGGTTCCGGGTGAGGTTGGCGGGGTCCACGCTTCCGATTATCGTGGTGGGGTCGACCATCGTGGAAAATACATACATGTACTTCGCCTTGCAATATGCTAGAAAAACGCCTCCAGCTGCACCAAAGATATGACCTAATCAAGCAGCATCGCTGAAGCTTACATATTAAAAACATATAGTACCAAGTGCTTTGTGGGTGTCATTATCGTGCAGAATACGCATGACACTTTTTTGCAGTGGGAGGCGTTTTTGGTAGCATATTCCGCCTTCCTTCATTTCCTTCGCGAAGTCGTATAATCCGTGCCAGCGGCAGGAAGTCGAATGCATGATGCAGTCACCTGGTGTTGATGATGAAATTGCATCAAGAATTGCATGACAAATCATTTAAATATGTTCAAACCTTCTGAAAGAGACAAAATTGACCTCCCGAAATGACTCATAGGGGGCACCAAAGGGGGGCACCGAGAGGGGGGGTCTATAGGAGCCCGTTCCGGACTCGCTTTTTTCGCTAGCACGCATGCTATGGTGGACTTGACTTCAGAGTATAAGACCCCCCCTATAGACCTCCTATAGACACCTCTCTCCGAGGTCCGGAAGGACGCTCAGCCCTGCCTCAAACCGGTGAGGCAGAGTTTGCGCTTTACGAGCAGGAAAAAAACCACTATACGCTCGTGATTAGGTGCCCTTAGGCCGCCCAGAAAGCACATCAGGCGAAAACATATAGCAACTAGTAATGATTTGAGTGCGTTTGTTCAGGGCGTTGCACACCGTCCCTGCATTCGTATCCGCGATCAATTGCTCCCGGAAGGGGCGGTTTGACCGAATCGGGTTCACCATGGTTTCCTCGGCCTTCAGATCCTGCATGGTTTTCAGGATGATCGCCTGCCTGGTTATCAAGGAACAACACTGCATCAAGTCAGCATGCCTAGAGGAGAAGGAGGTGGGAAAAACTGCATGCCTAGGCATTGAATTTTCTGCATCACTGATGTAGTACTATTCTGATGCTGCAACAACCACTATTGCACTCACTTGATGCATTGTTGTTCGAGGATAGATGCACCGTCGAGGGAGGTTAACATTCTCCGCTGCATCGCGCGCGCGTCGTCGCCCGGTTTGGAGATTCCCGCGCAGTCGTTGTTGTCCCTGATTGTTTTCGAGAAAAAACACTATATATGAAGACGAGATGAAGTTCTGCATGGTGGTGGAGGCACTTTTTCAATCAAGCAGGATATGACTTTCACGATCTGTGTCACAACATCAGCGACAACAACAGCGCATGACAAAACCACAACCGTTTTTCAATAGTTTTCGCATGACAAATCAGCTCGCTGTGCCAGGTTCTGATCCTCTTCATATTATGTTTTTACGCGGCAGCAGTTGCATTTTTTACCTGTGGCAAATTCCTTCGATGTAGCACCCGCGAAAGTGCTGGAACCAGCCCTGGCACAGCCTCATTTCCGGCGTCCCCTGATCCGGCATGAAGTTGATCTCACAGCAGGACTCCGCAAGATCCGGATCCGTCAGATGGTCGATGTTGAGGTCGTCGAAGGAAATGTTTCTGTTGTGGTAGTTTTTCCGCAGTACCTGCATCCCGCAAAACGCCTTGATCATGCACCACACGTAGACGGCCGAAAACTGCGTCGGTTGATACTCCAGCGGGTGACTCAATTTGTCGATTCCGGCTGTTTTTAGTATCCCTTGCAAAAAGCGAGCCAAGTGGAAAGATACATCACTGCGTTTACAGGTAGATCCAGCAAAGTTGTATTATGCTGTGGCGCGATAATGCCCTTGGAGTTTATTAGTTTTCGCATGACATTTTATTAGTTTGCGTTGCACTTGGCTCAGATTTTTTGTTGATATGGCAGGGGAGCGGACAAGTGTGCAGGTCGTCGATTGTCGTCCTTCCCTGTTCGTTCCACTGGATCCCATTCTTGACGACACGTTGCCCGAACTGGTTGATCGAGTTCATGTCCCTCTCCAGATCAATAGTGTTCTCGTAAAACATCTGGTTTTTGCGTTTGTATAACAATAAGAAATCTATCTCAATAGGTGCAAAATCTCAGCATTACAAGAGCGGCACGCATTACAAGTTTGCGCATTTGATGCACAGCAGAGCACAAACCTAGGACAGGCGAACTGGTGCAGACATGCTGAGAACTACCACAAAAGGAAAAAGCTCCTGCAGGAGTCCTTGCATGATTGATGCGTCTTTTCTGCTTGGCTACAACAACCTGATAAAGAAAGATAATACATTTGCAGCATAGACTCCCCGGGACCGCACCGACCCCTTGTCAAAGCCCATCGTGATCGACCTCTGCGTCCGCGCCGGTCCGAATTGCAGGTCGAACATGTCAAAAATCATATTTGTGGTAGTTTCTGTGTCCTTGTTTGCCATCGTGTGGAGCTGGCAGGCGAAAAAAAATATCCGGTGGATTCCGTATGTCTGTAGTGTTTTTCTGGATTTGTCATGCAGAATAAACCACTTCGCACCGCATGCAAAACAGCATCTTCGTTGTATCTATTCGACACCATAAAGCTGTACCCGCGATCGCCAATCATTCGAATCGAACCCCATTCGTCCAATCTGCTCTTGGGCCTTGACTACTATGGGAAGCCAACGCCCTCTGATGTCAAACCAAAATAGACCACATGATATTCCCAAACGTCATGCACCTGTTCATGCATAAGCATTGCAAATTGCCACCCATAAACTGCCGTGACTCCATGCGAAAGTGTCAGCATCGCCTGACATAACAGAAGCATTGACTTTCATAGCCCAGAGTCCCCGCATGGTGATCCGGAAACTGTAGCGGTCGGCTCGGGCCAGGATGTGCCGCAGCACAGAGTCACCAAAGTGTATGCCACTGAAAATAACACCATTTGCGCTCGAGGAAACACCGCTTCACTAGTAGTTGTTGTGCTTTTTTCTTTTGTAGTCATGCACCCGGTGGAACCAGAAAGAAAAGGCGTTACTTGCAGTGACATACACTTCATCAGCACCTCTGCTTCGGTTTTGTGTTCGACCCACCAAACGTAGCACCACATCTGATAGATATTTTGTTATGCATAATTTTCATGCAGATAAAAACGATAGTCATGCTGACGAAGCTTCCCAAAAAGCAAATTTTTGCATCCTGATCATGTTGGAAAATCGTACTAGTTGCTCCGCCGGAGCGCAGGTCTCCAGCTTGACTCCTCTTGGCACCCCCAGCTGGTATCGGGCAAACGGCGCGACCTTCCGCTGCAGCCAGTCGATGTAGTTCGCGTGGTCGGGGGGGCAGAGACTTCTGAGGTACCTACATTGATGTTAATCTTGAGGCAAGCTCGGTTCGAGTGAATGTATCAAATGACGCATTGCAATGGCATGACAGACAAGATATGCAGATCATGGTGACGACTTGCGGACTGTCCATACACGATGCTCATGCAACACAAAATCTGCCTCAAGATTGCACATCATATGTAGAGCGGCTCGCCGGTTTTCGGTGACCTCACGGGCACGTCCCACTGGTGGTCCCGGGGCGCGATGTATCGTGGCTGGTCCTGTTGGTGGACAACCGGCGCCGGAACAGGCTGGCTCGGGTTGTACGGGACGATTTGGAGGCTTTGCAACATGATGCTCTGGTCTTGCGGCGCAGCAGCGACTATATTCGGCATCTGCTGTGGCATGGGTTGACTCTGCACTTGGTTTAGCAGATTGACACGGGGAGCCGGAGCTTGTGCATTTTGCTGTATCACGTCGGGTGAGCGAAAGTAGGCTTCCAGGAAATCCTCATCGCCGAGGAGGCGCGACTCTCTCTGCCGCCGGCGCTGCCCGGGCGGTGTGTCCATCGTTCGATAGAAATTTATTACTTCTTACTTGGCTCAGCTTTCTCAAGCTACGGAATACGAGGTAATCAAGTGTTGGTGTATCGCTCAGGTCGGGTAGGAATCTTATGCGGGATGCTGCCAGTTACATCAGGATAAGCCTCAAGATGAATATGCTGACTTGGTGCACTCTGAAAGAGCCTTCTCATCACACACGCTCATCCTCACGGCCCATACGTACAACCCCCTCACGGATATGGTGCTACTGGATTGGAACCGACATCTTGCTGCGTAAGCTCAGAAAAACCGACTTTTGTGCTGTACGACCCTGAACACGGCTCGGGAAGCGCGACACTTATCACATCAGAAAACGAAGTTCTTTATTTTCCATATCAAAAGACATCATGATTCGAAACAAAAGCTTTTTTCAATTTCTGCGCTTTGAAACAAGGCATGATCAACTTGCATCGATTCCCACCGATAAACTCCCACTCATCTGCGCAAGTAAGTTCTCAAACATATCCATATATGTTTACCATAGCCTTGGCATCGCAGCGCTGATTCAATCATAGTGAGTCCAAGATTTGCCTCCTCTTAGTCTTGGATTGTTTTCAAGTGGTCTTGTCTGCTTTGGAAAAGCAAACAAGCATGCTGTCGACATTGACATCGCTGCTAAAAAGCAGCACAAACTTAGTTCCTGATAAGTATCAAAACAAATATTAATGTAGTGCTATCGTTGGTAGTGCTAGTATACTTTGACCGCATGAAGCGGCATAAAACAGAGTGGTAGGCGCAGTGTTTTTACAAACAAATTGATAAATCTAAACGTAAATCGGACTCGGTCGTGCTGAGTCCGGAGAAGTTGTTGTAGTTGTCGCTGACTAGTCTATACTTAGACTAGACAGCAATAATTCTTTCTAACCATCACTGCTAGAGATGAAACATAAACTCGACACGCACTGAAAATCTAGTGATGGTCAGTGCGGACGAGTGAGGGAGAGACCGATAGTAAATCTTCAGTGAAATAAACAAGTAGCTCACTTCAAATAGCCTGCGGACAGACCCTCGCACTTAGCGCCCAGTAGCACGGCCGGAGGAGTCCTTGCGGTCCTTCTTCTTCTGCTTACTCTTGCTGTCATCATTCTTCTTTTCCTTTTTCGACTTCTCCATGGCGTGCTTCTCCTGCTCCTTCGCCTTTTCCATCTTCTTCTTCTCGGCCTCGGTCATAACCTTTTTTCCCTTGGTATTCTTACCAGCCTTCTTGTCCTCGGCTTTTTTCTTTTCCTTCTCCTCCTTTTTGTCATCCTGCTTGATGACGGGGGTGGCCGCACCCTTCTGGGACATCGGGGTTTCGGAGCCGCTGAAATCAGACGAGAATACGCACTTCAAAACGCATCAGATCTTCATGTCTACGCTGCGTACCAACTGCCAGGGGTAACATTAGTACTTCGAAAGCTGCCTCTTCACCGAGGCAAAATATACAAGCTTGGATGTAGATAATGCATATGTAGTCACTGTGCATATTCTCGGACAAGACAATGTCATCGCTCGGGTTCAGGTTGATCATCAGGCTCACCTGGGATTCGTTGTCGGTGGTGGACGCGTTAGCGTTTTCTTTAGAATCGTCCTTCTTTTTGATGTCCTCCGGCTTGGGCAACACGTCCCCCGCGGACACGGGCACCTCGACCTTCACGGAACCCGGAATCGGGATGTGCTCGCCTCTCTGGCTCACCGCGGAGATCACGGGCGGCATCATGGGGGTCTTGAACAGGTGGGTGGGAATCGGAGTCTGGGCAACCTGACAAGTGTAGTTATTTAGTTCGCATGGGAATACTTGAACTAAGACGCGGACGCATATGATGACATCAACGCCAAGTAATTGAAAAAGCGACGTTTCGAATCACATGTATCTATTGAATAACATCAAAGCTGATAGCACCGACGTCAAATCGTTCGGGGGCAGATGCTGCGGGTGGATTTGTCCTTGCATGTGCTCCATCTGTTTTTTCGAATACTCAGGTGGGTCAGGACGATAAGGCAAGTATAATTCATCCAAACGCAACCTCAATTCCTCCAAAGGCATGAAATCCCAGAGCGGTTTCTGTATTATTGTGCATGCCTACATAAGTTTTTTCTTCCCTCCGCATGCAAACTATACACCTAGCAGGGTTCTAAAGAGTACAAGTCTTGATCTACCTTGGCGCCCGCAGACACGGAAGACGACTGCTGCGATTGCATCTGCTGGGTTTCGGCGACCTGGGAGGCGTACTGGGAACCGCCGGTCATACCAAAGAAGTGGTTGGGCAGATTGGCACCGAACATGCTGCCCATATTCGGAGTCATGACACCGGACATCAACCCGGAGTTCAAGCCGGACTGGTTCATCGGAGTGGCAAAGCCGGTCACCGCGGCCTCCTCGTACGCGGGAAACTCCAACTTTATGATGATGAATTGCTTTGCTCCAGACACGTGCAGCTGTGTTATGCATGTATACAGTCGTCGCTTAGTCTAAGTGTCTCGATCTAGAACATTTAAACTAAGCGCAATGAGCATGCCTGTTTTGCTTTTTACAATGCTGTATCTGGGCAAAGCAGTTTGCACATGATAAAACGGCAGATCGCTTTGTCGGGCAAGTGTTTGCGCGACTCCTTCAACGGTTCGAACGTGCCGCTCAGCAGGATCTTCAACGCGTGCTGGCAGTGTATGCAAACAAAATATATCCACTGGGTTTTTTGTGTAGCATAAAAAACAAGAATGGGCTGGTGACGAGATGTAGTTTCATGGTCTGACTTGCAGCCCTCCTGCCTATGTATTAACACCGTGGACAAATTGATTTTATGCATAAAACCGAACTGGCAACGAAACCCGCGCCACGGGCACTTCGGAGTGGTCTGCTTTTTTCATCAAATTATACTATCTGGCACGATACAGAAGACCGATTATTGCATGCATTATATCATAGCACCATCTTGCACGAGAATAACCACCTGGTTGATGTCGATCTTCGCCACGACCAACAGCTTGCAGATTTGGGACCGGCAGGTGATGTCGTTCTGGGCCTTACATTATGCACCGCAAGTAAATCAAGCACGCAGGCAAGTCCTGATGTGCAAACGCATGCTTTGTTATACTGAAAACCAGTGCTGGACGCAGCACTGCAGAATTTAGATGCGGTTCGAGCCTGGCTCGTGCTGTTTAAAGTCATGCTTGTCGGTGCACGGTGTGCCTCTACATTCCTTTCATTTCTATGAAAGTGCTTGATTTACTTCTCCTTTCATATCATCAGGGGGATGTCGCAGGTGAAGCTGATCCAGTGACGGCTGTGGCCCGGCACGGATTGGGACCAGGCTGATGCTTATGTTGTGTATGGTGATGCTTTTGATGGATTTGGATGAAGACGTATTACGAAACAACACCGCGATCAACTCCATCAGCTTTACTACCTATGACGAAGATGAACAACAACAACTAACAAAAAACACTCAATACCGACGATCTCGTTGGGAAACACCTCCTTGGGCACCTGTTCCAGCGGAATAAGACCTTGCAGGCGGCGCTCATCAGCATCGTTGGCATTGTCGATCATCCGGACATCCTATGCACACAAAGCCGAGCCATACTGTAGCGAAAAATCAAGTGCAAACGCGACGCAATGGATTCAAGGCGTGAAGCCAGTACATTTGCATTACAGAATTTGTTTTGATTAACATGTAGCAATGCCAGTAAATCGCGTCTGCACTACAAAACAGTATGGCTTTTCATCATCATAACCACAGCTGCCGCTCCGCGACCGTCATGTGGTTGATCGCAACCTGGTTGGGGGCAGGAACCCCAGCAGCTTTCGGCGGCATTTTTGGATTTTTTTGTGTGTCAGATCTCAAAACTCTACAGGCAAATCCTCTCTCCCTACGGGCTGTCATGATGAAGATCGTATGATTGTCGTCTTTGCTTTAAAAACTAGAATCAAAACAGAAGCAGACTAATGGATCAATGCCACGCTGGTTACAAACAAAACAACACAGCGACGGAGTACACTTTAGATCACTCAGTTCTCACATCTAAAACAATATATCAAAGGTCGGCATCTTTCTAAAACATAAAGAACACAGCAGACTCGTATCGTGCGTGAGCTATATTATCTTCTTGCAAACTGCTCACGTGCAGCCGTTTTGCTCTCGACTATCTCAATTCTGATTGTATTTTTGAGTACTTCGATATGTTTTTGATGCTTTCGTTTCCATTATAACATCTGCACATGGTGACGCATCTTTCCATACCTTTGCGATAAATACTCTTCATCCATGATCTCCGCGAAGGCGATAGGGTACTTAGCCGCCGCACTGCTCCGAGTTTGCCGCTACCGAGGACCACTGCCGTACCGCCGGTGGTGTTTAGTGTTTCGACACGCATCCGCAAGGCAGCTGAACCTCCGTGAACTAGCTAGTTTAAACATCACCTTTGTAAATGCAAAACCTTAACTAAACGGTGCACAAAACTAGCTATGGTCTGATTTTAAAATTTAATTTCTGAGGCCGTCATAATTTTACAACTTGTTTTATATTTATTCGAAACAATATATTACAAAGAAACCCTTTATTCCGGGGAACAAGAGGCGACACTGCATGCGGCACGATGTGGACCTCGTTCAGGAAACTGCTCGTCCCTGATGCGCATGCACTATGCAAGAAAAAAAACTGTGTAAGTGTAAATCTGTGATGCTAAAACAACCGCACCGACATTGCCATTGTCCATTATCGCTGGGGAAGCAAGCCTCCGCAGGCGCTGGAACGTGTAAATCTGTGATGCAGAAAACGTAAACCAGTTTACACTTGTCATGCTGGAAGTGCGTCATAGGCTCCTCTCATACGTATTTGGTTTCCCTTTCCACATCCACGTGCTAGCTGTGCATGACAGGTTTTCCCTGTAATGCAAAACGAATTTGTGATGCTGCTCTTACTACGAACTTACCCCTACACAGTTTTTTTCCTGGATATGCGCTCTTCCGCTTCTATTCGTGTCCTTTGGACCTTCACCAGTGATTACGAGATTGTACTACTAAGGCCCCTTTCAGAGACGTCGATAAACTTCCCCGTGCGAAAATCTTCTCTCGGGTTTGGCAGAAAAATGTCCATCCGTGTGCGTTCCACTATCATGCAAAACTCCTGTCTAAAGATCAAAACTAGTCGCAAAATTATGTAAGTAATAAAGTAGTCGCGTGAATAAACTGAAACCGGTTGTAAGTACGTAGTGCTGTTAGTTTACACAAAATTTTTCTTCTGCAGCGACTTATTGAAAACAGTGAAACTGGAATATCTACGTGCTGCAGCTGCCTTTGTGAATTCTCAGGAGCACTACATATGTTCTTGACAGAAAAACTTCCAAGTGCCAGTCATCATACACTCAACCAGAAACATTGCCGTTCAAAGGCAGTTCCATAGAATCGTCTAGGGCTATATCTATGTAAGTACTGAAAAAATCGTCGCCATATTACCGCGACTACAACTGCCCGTGCCTGAAGCGATAGAAGACAGAAAACGGTTTCTTCAATGAAACGCTAACGCAGAGCGCATCACTGCGGTGATAAGACGATGCCACGACGACGAGAGCCGATCTGACAAAACGACTAGTTGTACGACCAGATTTTATTTCATGAAGCGATTCTAACTTCTTTTCGCGAAAAGAAGTAGATGTCTACCTAATACTTAGCTTCAAAAGCAAGATTTTTTTGGGCGGGCGATGAAAAGCAAAAAAGGTTTTTCGATTTTGACTCTTGCATTTAGTGTGTTGAGAGCTTCACAGTAGAGCCATTTCTACTCCATTTCAAGCTGTATTTTTTCGACAGGATGAACTGCCAGCCGGTGGTGCACCATGTTGGAAATAATTCCAACACTGACGGTGATCTTCTTTGTAAATGGAAGCCAGTACACAAACATTATTGGAGCACACGGTGTTTCATGTAGAGGATTATGCCGCACGTAATGTCCATCGTGCTGCATGCAAGCGAAGTCGATTTTAAGCTGCAGCAACGATCATGTGGTTACAAGGTTATGCGGAGCTGCCTGCGTTGCTCTCTTTTGAGCGGACAAGGCTGGCGCAGAGCTATGGAGTGGAACAGAGACGCTTTTTTATTCTTGATATGCACAATGGATCATGAACATTTCTTCGGACTGCGAGTGCATTTTCACTGAATCTGAAGCGTTGACGACAATTATATAGGGACGACAGGTTGTATTAAGACGCAAGCAAGAAGAAAAGAACAAACAATGCTTGCGACACTACTGGGATGAACCGCTCAGCACGAAAAGAAAACTTTTCTCGAGTTTCAGAGTCGGAAATCAAATCTGGGACAAAGGCCTGCTCAGCTGGCATTTTTTCTTTCCTTAGATTGATAGTAGATGTACTTCTTTTATTTGAGACATACCGGGCCGTGCTTTGGATGTTCGTTTTCGTTATTAATCTTAGAATTATTATCATACATCAAACAATTGTACATTACAATTTCAGAACCATAGTTGGTGTATCAAACTTAAAGTCAGTTGTCGTGAGTCATGTCTTTTACGTTCTTGTTAGAGGTCTACTCGGCATGCTGTAATATCATCATGCTCGTACTTTTACCCGACCAATGCGCTTACTCTTATTCAACTTTTACTAGAAACTCTCTACGACTTCACAACCAGGTGGCTTATACAGAAGTACTCTTACGTACAATAATATTTATCATCAAAAAGCTCAAGTTGAGGTTTGTTTATCATCCAGGCAAGAAACTCGTATACAGGGTGGAGTTCGCTTGAGGTTAACAGGGGAACGAGAAGAAAACAGTTAGCAAGAGCCCTCTCCCCATCTTTGCAATTAGAATTCGTCCTCGATTTTCGAGTGGACAGCAACAAAGTATCTCTCGGGATTATCTGCTAGCATCTCCGGGAATGTTCCCCATCCACCTTCCACTCGTTGCTTGTACGGGGCCATATTCTTCAACCGTTTTGCGTGGAAGCTCCGCCAATCCCACTGAAATTGGTCGTATGACCAGCGAGGATCGGTTCCATCAGAACCCGCGATCCACTTTTTTGCAAATTTTCGAAACATTTTGCGGAAATATGGGTGCCAGTCTTGGTCTAGTAGCTCCCGAGGCCCATATCGAGTGCGCGACCAGGTTTCGCGCAGGGAAGGGTTGAGACAGTAACCTGCGATCGAAATCGTTTACGTTTTTATTACATGCGCATGAAGATAAGATCAGCTCTTTTTGCACTACTTTCCCGTGTGAGTGACGTGAGTGGGGGCGGACTCGGGGCTGTAGGAGCTCCGGCGAGTACTTTCATGAGCTAAACTTGACCCCACTTACTGCTATCAAAACCAAAAGGGCCCCGCTCATCTATATATTTCATATCAACGTCAACGTCTAGATTTTCTTGGTAGTACAAAGGGTGTCTTACCGTGCTTCACCCTGTACTCCAACGTTTGGTACACTGCGTCGTAGTTCTGGAAAAGAAACTCGGTCGCCATAACAAGTCGGCACCTGCCATCTAGAACAGCTACGTGCGGACTTGGTCCAAGTACCCAATCTGCGTGTCTATCTATTTCGTGTGAGTCCATGTCCTTGTAGTTGTGAAACTGCTCAAAGGGATGTGGATTCCAAGTCACGACCTTTCCATCGATGATCGATCGAGTGGTGATCGTGTGGTAAGGGAGGTGATCGAGTGGTGGGCGGCTATCTGCCCACCAACTCGGACTCGTAATAGCACCACTGTTGCGGGTTGGAGAGCGCGCCACCTTCTGGTGAAAGAAGTCGAGAACTTCGCGAAAGAAAGCTTTGTCGCTTTTGTGGCAGCCCTTTGCAAGTGCATCGGAATCGTACTCGTGCAGTATTGTGTATCGCACGCTCTCCATGCTTTCATACGTCCGAGAAGGGTTACAGGTCTCTCTGGCCATCGTCATCAGAAACCGCACCTATAAATATCAGATTGAATTTAGGAGATCTTCTACTTCTAGGGACCTCATGGAGCGTTGGAAACAGCCTAAGAAAAATCTGACTAACATTCTGGAGAGGGGCGTCATCCGTCGCAGCAGACGCAGACCATGATGTTGACGTACAAGAAAAAATGAGTATACATAGACATAGGTGTCGTGTTTTCTGTGAATATTAAATACGCTCCACTCCGTGTCACGCAGCGGACGTCTCTGTCTTCCCGGAGATGTCTGCTTTTGGCTTTCAACAACAGTGTGGAACTTTTCCAAATAGTCCGTCCCACGATCGACGAATACATTCCAGAAGTGCCGCGGCATCTTCGTCCCTACCTTTTCGCGCAGGACCTCCAAATACAAGTCCTCGCAGCTTTCTGTTCGACTCTCAATGTCAGTTGGTTCTCGCGAAGCGTCATTCTCAATGTCAGTTCTTTGTGTAGGGTTTCCAGCTGCGCCGTTTATCGTTTCTCCGGAAGTTCCACTTTCACTGTTTCCAGGGGGAGAGACCGACGCAGAGGAAGGAGAAACTGTTGCCGGGTCAGGTCCCGGTACGAAATCTTGGAACTGCTCATGACCTGAAGACGTTGTCGTCGAAGTTGCTAGATATGTTCCTGCCTCTAGCTGATTCTCTCCTTCCCCGTCTTCAGGGTCACTTGGGCACACACTGCTCGCAGCTGAGCTGTAGTCACTATGCCGTCTGCTCGCAGCTGAGCCGTAGCTATCCGAATCGGAGTCGCTTTCTGCTCCATCGCAGTCGCACAAGGCATCCTGGATTTTTGTCGGAAACTTGACGAGAAAATCTGAAGGATTGTCGGCTAACATCTCCGGCACGGGGCGGATTGGATACTTCCCCGTGTAGTGATCCGTGTGCTTTAAACGTTTCCCATGAAAGCTCCGCCAGTCCCACTGCAGCTGATCGTACGACCAGCGAAGGTCCGAGCCATCAGAGCCGGCTCGCCACTTCTGCGCCAGCTTCCGGAACATCTTCCGAAAAGCCAGATAATACTGCGCGTCCAGTCGCAGAGGATCATCATCGAAAAAGTGACGATAAGGCCTCGCGCCGTTGTCGTCGGACAGTTCCGCGGCTTTGTTCAAGCAATAACCCAATCGGACCGCGAATAGGCGTTCGTACACAAAGCTGGGCTTTTGGAAAAGAAATTCGGTTGCCATCGCGAGCCGGCACCTCCCATCCAAGGTCTTTTGATTCGGGTTCAGAGACATGTCTACTAGCTGTACTGGTGGACCGGCGGCAGCACGTTGCCGAGAAAAGGCACTGGTTTTAGGCGGATTCCAGACCACCACTGCCTTTGACTGCGTTTCTCGTTCGAGAAGCCTCGTCATAAAAGATAGATCTTCTGGTTCTGTGGACCGGCACGTCCTCGTGAAAAAAGTCTAGGACCTCGCGAAAGAAAGTTCGATCGTTTCTGTGACAACCCGTGGCGAGAGCTTTCGAGCTGTACAGGAGCCACTTGTTGGTAGTATCCGCGCGCCGATGTGGCACTGTGGGCCCACATGTTTCTGTCGCCATCGTCATCAAGAGGTAAACCTAGTGGTGAGGATACACAATAGATTGACATGAGAGCCTGTCACATCCTTCTTCGAAGGAAACCGTAGTTAGTAATCGCACAAAACTTTCTTAACAATGCGATACTTAACTTCTGGCGTTGCCAAAAGCAAAAGCAAAAAGACACACAGTACAATGAAATGCGATGCAATGCTGGTAAAAAGGTAAGCAGATTGCAGTCCATCAAGGTATTTTATGAAGTATCTAAATACGGTCCAATCCTGCTTCTGTTTCCCCCCTGGAGACGTGGTTCTCTCTGGCGGATGAAGTGTCCGAGCATTTTGGTTCCGATCCATTTCGAGAAGGAAATGTTCTAGGTAATCGACCCCCATGTCTATCTGCCTATTCCAATAATCCTCGGGTAGCTTTGCTCCAACCCTTTCACGCAAGACCTCAAGAAAAAGGTCTTCGCAGCTTTCTGTTCGATTTTCCGGTTGGCTATCGTGTCTGTATTGCTGCACCCCGTCTTGCTGCTGCATCTCCTGCGCAACACTTGTGGCGGCAGAGTGTAGAAGTTCTTGGCCTTCGGGTTGCTCATGATCATGAAGGCTGGTTTCCGACTGGTTTCCTTGCTCGCCTTCTGCTGTCCTTCGTTGCGCCACCTGGCTTTCAGCACTGCTGGTGCTGGTCAATTGTTGTTCGGTGGAACTACGACTCGCTTGTGACAGGTCAGCACTTTCCGGAGGATCAGGCGAACGACGCGGTCCTTCGCCTTGCTGATCCTCCTGTGAAGCGGAGCTGGCAGCAGCAGGGTTGTCTCCTTCTTGCGCATGTTGACGGTCATTAGTTTCAGTCTGCATTTCTTCTTCGCTTCCTCGGGGTGCAGTTCGTTCTTGCGCCGATCGGTTTTCGTCACTGTGGGTCGTTTCGTGCGCTGCCGGGGCACTTGAACTTTCTGGTGTCCGGCCACCTCTCAGTGAGAGGTGACGATACAGAAGGGGCAGATACGTCACAGGGGATGACGATACAGAAGGGGCACCGGTCGGTGCTGTATGAACTTCACCAGGCAGCCGGATCTCCTGCTGCAGGTCGTGAAACTCTTCTTTTACGTGCTTGTCGTTTTTTGGGTCGAAGCTCCAGGGGTCGTAGACAAAACCAATAGGAAGAGAGGGAAATTCCATGCGATTAGCGCTCTGATCATAATGCGACTTCAGCCGAGATACGATCCAATTCCAGCGGAAATGCAAGTAGCTCCACTTCGGTCCCGAACCGTTCGACCTATTTCTCCAGAATGACGCGCGTCGGTAAAACTCAGCTCGGAAGATCTTGTGCCACTGCGGATGAACTAGCGGCTGGGTGCAGGAGTGCGGTCTCCGCTTCAACATGGCTTTTTCCGGCCAGTACCAATACTCGGCCTTGTTTTCCAGGTCCAGTTTTTCTCGCGGACCGGTATTCAGGCAATAACCTGTGCATTGATATAGTGTTTATATTTAAGATAATCTTGTTTGCTTCCCTCGTCACGAGTTACTAGACTGATTCAATCATAAAATACTTGCTTCAGTTAGTCAGCCCACAAAAAACGTCGAAATATCAATCGCGTATGCGTTTCGTGAAGCCTTTTTCAAATCCATCAAGCGCGGGTCCAAAATTTCCCGTGCGGAGAAACTGAAACCGTAGGAGTGAAAACAACAAAATCGACTTGAACAACGTCCTTGTTCTTTTTTATTTTCTATGTATACTAATTGGCTTTCTTCAAATAAAAAAAAAATGTGTACCATAAGCAATTTCGTCAAAAGCAATAGGCCCGAATTCATGCACCGTCTTCTGACTTTGGAACAGATACTCTGCCACCATTCCAATGCGGCATCGCTGCTCATGAATGCGACGGGCGCTGTCTGAAACTTTGGCCTTAATTGTGATACGGTCCTGGGTGTCATAGGTGCGCGGCACCAAATCTGCAGGATCATCCCAGACCACAAGAGGCGTTGAGGCAGAACCTGACGTAGGAGCCGGAATGCGTTCATGGAAAAATTCCCACACATCTTTGAAAAACTTCTCGTCTTGTGCGGGTAGGCAATGGGTTGTCTGCAGTCGCTCTGTGCCGTAAACTAGAACTTGCTGCAACGGCCAATAGCCCCTTAAATTCCAAGGCAGGAAGGTTCCGTAACAGTACGGCATCATCCCGAGAACCGTGGCAACCTGTAAGAATAATTGTTTGCTTTTTCATTTCGCATGATGCTGGCCTACTGCCAGTACAAACAAACAAGAACCAATTTTTGAATTTATAGCAGGATCTACTTTGCTGTCTTTGAGAAGATTAAGGAACGGCGCACGTTATTATAGTATAATCTCTAAAAAGAAAAAGGTCTAATGAATCCTGCTTGAAATTTTGTGACTTCTTGATCCTCGCCGGGTGGAAAGGAACAGACAAACTTGTAAACCAGCGTTGCGTCTTGAGGCATTCCTTTGTTCCACTTTTCTGGGTCGTAGTCCGAGGGAACACCGAACGAACACGGTCCTATTCCGCTCCAGTGACGCTTTTCTTCACCCGAAGCTTCGCCGAAGATCTTGGATGAAGAGTCCTTGTTTTTGCCAACCTTGTATGCGACTTGCGATTGCCAAGTGAAGCGAGCGTCGTATTCGGCCATATAATCTTGCTCGTACTCGTCGCCGTGGCCATAGTCTTCTTTGATGCAGGCACACAGTTCGTCGATCTTATTCCAAAACTTTTGCGCGCCGCAGTCCTCCGAGGTGTATACCATGCGTACGTCAGTCTCGTCAGGCTCCCATCCAGAAGAATCTTCTAGTTCGCTGTCAGAATCACCGAACTCGACGTATGTCCGCATCTCCCCTTGGTAAACCACGTATTTGTATTTCACGGCCGCATCCGCTTTTTCCTCATTCGCAACACCAACAGATGTTGAGTGCTTGACATCAAGCACAGCTGAGTTTTCCTCTTTTTTCTGCCGTTTTCCGCTATCGTGTGCTTTTTTCATGGCATTCGCGGGAGTCGAATTCTTCGCGGTCGACTTTTTCACGGAGAAAGTGACCGAAGAGGTATTGCCTTTCGGGGCGTTGACTTTTGCGGCACTGTCCTTCGCGGTGCTGGTTTTCGTTTTCGAGGCATTGGCTTTCGAGGCAGTGGCTTTCGAGGCATTGGCTTTCGAGGCGTTGGCTTTCGAAGCATTGGCTTTCGAAGCGTCGGCTTTCGAAGCATTGGCTTTCGAAATATTGGCTTTCGAGGCAGCGCGTTTCTTCTTCACAGTCGCCTTAGCCGCGGGGGCGGACTTCTTCTTCTTCTTCGTGGCAGGCGTAACCACCGCGGACGACGATGCCTTCATGGCGTTTTGCTTCTTCATGACGGTACTAGTACCACTGGGATCTTTTTTCTTGCCGAGCTTCTTTGTTTCCACCTTCTTCCCTTTCACCGTGACCGCTTTCATTGCCGGTGGCTTGATGTTGCCACCTTTTTTGTTGTTTGTGGCGCCAGACCCCGGCATGATTTTGATTCGAATTTCTGTGCTTAGCCTCGCTGCCTCGAGCACACAAGATGAGTGCAGAAGAATACAGTACTACGGATCAGCTTCAAGCCAAGAACGCGGGCAAAGATAGAGAACGCTTAAAGAACGAGCACAAAAAGGGAAATACCATGTGGAAACAACGACTTTGTTCTGTAGTCGTGGTTATGTTTCTCTTCACATACGATCGGAGGACCTCGGATGGAACATTGTAAAACCATTAGAAAGGTTTTACTCGCCATGCATACGTCGCCCAGAAACAAACGATAGCAATCAGCACCAATCTGGTTCTGCATCTGTCGGATCCCTTCAAAGAAACGGTATGGACAACAGCACTCACTGAACTCTAACTCTAAGCGAATGAGAGCTATACTGAACTGTCTTTACCGGCGCAAGGTGGGATCGTGTCGATGTCCAGCCGCTTGAAATGGTGCAAAGGCTGATGATGATGATCCATCTTCATGTGCATCAGGGCATAAGCAGGAGCTCGTTAGAAATTTAAACTAGTAGATCTGTGGAGTTCCTCTGTCAGGAGCGAACCTGCTTCTTTGTGCCTGTGGTAGTATTGAAACTTTTGGAACAAACGAAGATGGGAAAAAACGTCCCGCGATCTACTTTCCACATGAAAAAGTCTGCCTGTACTAAGAAACTCCAGTCGTGGCGCGCCCGAAGTGATGGGGTCAAAAGGATTGCGGAACGATTTTGATTTCGCACTCTCTTGCGCAAATAAGTACATTGTCGTGGCATGATTCGCATTCATTGTTGGAAATCAGCACGAAACTTCTGAGACGCTTCGTTTTCATAGCACATCAACACAAACTCGGAAGCTTAAGACCAAAAACCCTCTGCATCATCATCTCCGCAAGCATGTTAGCTCATCCTGTAGAGACTTCTAGCGCGTCACGCGCTTGACCAACACCGCGGTTTGATTTTGTGATCGGGGGCCAGCCACGCAGCGTGGAAAATCGCCGACCATCTTGTAGACGAGGGTCGCATCTTGGGGAATTCCCTTGTTCCACTCAATCGGGTCGTAAAAATCTGGTTTGTATCCGCTCGAGAGGGGGTAAAGAGCTCCTAGCTCCTTCCAATACTTTCCCATTTCCGTCGAAGTTTGCCCGAAGACCTCGACCGAGGGATCCACTCCCCCGTCAATCGCGCCTCTGTCCGTCGTCTCTTCAACATGACATTTCCAGTGCAGACGGGCATCGTACTCACCCACGCGCATCGCGTCGGACGCACCGTCAAGAGAGCACACAAATTGGTCTTTGATCTCAGAACACAGACGATCGATCTTGATCCAAAACGAAAGCGTATCGCACCTCTCCGACGTGAATTCCTCCGTCACAGCGTTTTCCTCAAAAACGAAGTCCGCATTTCTTTCTTGCAGCGCACCCACATCGGCGGTGTACACAACGTACTTGTATTTTATTGGGGTCTTCTTTTTCGTTTTCTTCTCAGTCTCGGGTTTTTTGGCAGCACCAGTAGAAGGTGTATGTTTATCTTCGACGTCTTCCCTCTTCCCGTTCCCTTTGTCTTTCCTCATGACCGTTGCCGAGGTAGAAGGGTTCTTCGAACCAGACTTTTTCACGGTGGTGTTTGCTGTAGAAGAGGCCCGAGTAGACGGGTTGGGGTTGGCTTTTTTTTTCGGAGTCGCTTTCGCTTCGGGAGCAGCCTTCTTCATTTTCATAGCGGTACTGCTACTGGGTGCGGATGGTGCGGAACCTTTCACATCACCATCAGGGTTGACCGCTTTCTTCTTTTCCATCTTTTTCTCTTTTGCCGTGACCGCCTTCTTGGCCAGCGGCTTGATGTTGCCACCCTTTTTCTTATTTGTGGTTCCAGAACTCGTCCTCGGCATATTGACTTCGATTTGGGTATGATTCTCTGTACGTAACTGCAACTGGAGCTGCTTGCCCCCGAGATGATGATTTCGGTACTGGAAAAAGCTTCACAACGGACACAAGGATCGGATGGTAAAGGTAATTCCACTATCCCTAATGTTTCAAAGAGCAACGACACTGCGATGGTAGCAATCGGACTTCATGAAAACAAGCAAAACATCATGGAAAATTCGGCTCGACATACACACTCACATCAAAAAGCAAAATCCAAGCGGAAATAGAATGTTGAATAGTGATCATAATCGCTCTGCTTGTACTTCTGCCGCGTCTGTTGGACTTGGATTGCAAGATCACCAAACGATATACTGAATTATAGGAGCTACAGTGTCTGCGATCGTACCGCCGTGGGATCATGTCGATGTATCGTCGCTTGAACTCGTTGAACAGTGGAACACATTGCTCTTCACTATCAAACCTAAACTCCCGAGCTGCGGCTATCCCAACATGATCCTCAGAAATGGGAATGAGTTTACCTTTTTTCCTTTTTGTTGCTCTGACACGATATCGCGCAATCTTTTTCATTCTACAGTAGAGACAGAGTTTGTCATCAGACAATGCCAATAGTAGCGTACTCATTTCCGCGAAAGCTAATCTACATTTTTGACACTGTGTCCAGCAGCTGGAGCCGCCTCATTCCAGATTGATTTCTTCTTCTTCTCGGCGATCCGCTTATTCTGCAAGGTCTTGAAATACAGTAAGATTGATTCACTTAGACAAGCACAATCGGGGCGATTCAGATCATTTACCCACGTACGTCTGTCTGAAACTCAATAAAATGATGAATACAGTAGCACGGCAATGGTGCCCAAGAATATTTTGTATACGAAACGCGAACTAATTTGCAAATGTGATTTGAAACAGAAGCTGCGAGGAGTCCACAATACCAATTCCAGTGGCAGTGGTGCGTCGGTCGTAGAGAGAAACTTTTTGCAACAGATTGATCAATTGAAATGCATTTGACAAGGAAGAATGATACGCACATTTCGAACCCAAGAAGTCTCAGCCCGCTCTTTTCGGATGCACTATCTATTACTGGCTCGAAAGTGTTTGCGGGTGGCGGGTCTCGCGCCGCCGTGGCGCTCGCGATGCACGGGCAGGCTGATCCTCACCTTCTGCACCTGCTGCTAGCGCACGCCCGGTCTGCACAACCGATGCCGCAGCGGTATTCCGCAGTCCTCCCGCTCCCGTGTTGTTGGACAGTGCGATGGACGCAGCACCTCCGCTGCCACTGACGGTTCTGGCATCTACCAGGGGCGTCGGGGCAGGTTGCGGCGTCGGAGCCGTCGCCCGTGCCGCCGGCATGAAGGAAATTGCGTCACTTGGGGGCGCAAGGATGACATCCTGCGACGGCCCGGCGATGTATGCCGAGCCGTCGCCCGCATCCGCGGCACGCGCAGATAGCACCTTGTTCTGGCGCTTTTCAAACAAGGCCTGCATTGCTGCCGTATCCTCCGCCGACAGAATTTCGGACGCCTTTCCGCCACTCATGCCAAAACTCGTCCTATCGCCGGACGCAGCTGCAACTTTATTAGCTTTCATGTCAGCGGCTAGTTCTAGAGGATCTGCTGCTTCTCGTTCGACGGCTTTGACCGGTGCCTCTTCGCGATCCATCGGAGGAGCATCTCCTCCTTGCTTTGGCGCCGCGCTCCCGAAGGAAGCTGAACCCCCGCGGCCATTGAATCCGGATGTGCGCACAATGCTCGCGGTTCCGGCCGGCGCCTTCGCAGCCGCCGACGCGCGGGAGAAGTTTTGCGCGATCACGCTGGCACTGGAGGTGAGCGCGGGGGCCTTGTGCCCTTTGTCGTGATCCTCCGCCTGCCAGTGCGTGGACCGCGGGCCGGTTAGCGTCAGCATCTGCTTCACCTTGTTGACTGCCGCTTTCATGCGGGGCGGGCCGCGACTGCGACGGTCGACCGTGTTGTGCAACGCATCCTGGTCACCAGCAACCAGCGCGTCTACGACATGGTCCGGAGTCGAGTTGCTCAACCTCCGTTCGACGCGATCGGTCTTCACGTGCGTGATCTTCTCCCGTTCGTGCGAAATCTCGTGGTGATGCGCGACCGCCGCCACCCGCGCGACGCCGGCTTCGCGCTTGTAGTCGTAGGCCTGATTGTGCTTGGCGAGGACCCGCAGCTTGATCTGGTTCTCCACCTTGCGTATCCCTGCGCGGAATCGGTCCACCGGGGTGACACTTCGATTATCCCCCGTGGACGTCGCTGCGGCTCTGTCCGCCGAAACACTCCCGCTGCGCGGCGTTTTCTTTCGATACTCGAGAAAATCCCCTAAAGTCTTCGACTGGCGGCCGCTAGGCTCTCGCACGCTATCGGCAGCACGAGCAGCTGGGGACTTCGACCTCTCGGCGACGTACGCGTCAAGCGCCATGTTGTCCTTTTTCATTTCACCTCCAGGTTTTGCGTTTGATGACGTGGTTGAAACGCGAGATAGCCGGTTAACAACAGCGCTCACTTCGTCGCGACTGCCCGTTGCAGTTGCCGCGCTTTGCCGCACTGTTTCCTTCCACTTCTGGCCGTTCGCCAGCTGCCCTTCCGTGCGCGAGCTTCTTCTCGGGTTCACGTCGCGGTGCGCGAACTTCTTCTCGTACACGGAGGTTTTGTTGTTTCTCGAGGAGTCGCGCCTCTTCGCCCCGCTGATGGCGGACTGCAGCACGTCGCCAGCCATCTTGTTCAGCGCCGCACTTTCGTCTCCGGTCTTGTAGAACGCTGGGGGAGGGCCCTTTTTCCCGACTCGGTCCAATTCATCAGTATCCTCTTGATCTTCCAAATTTTCTGTTGGGCGATAAAACGCAGCGTCCCCGGCGGCACTGACCACGTTCTCGGCTACCGCGTTCAGCATTTGTTCCTGTTCCGTGAGCTGCGGTTGGCCGGCCGTAGAAACAGATCGCCGCTTGCCGGTCGGCAAGGCGACCGCGCTGACGCGCTGGGACTTCCGGGAACTCCGTGCCTGCGCGCGAAAGTCCTTCTCTTCCTGCGGTGCCAACTGGGGGGCCATGGACTGCCGTGCCTCGTTGCGAGCCTGCAACATGTACTCTCCGAAGACATCTTCAGTTGTACCTTGGTTTGTTTTTGATGAAGTGGAATCTTTCCCGCGCGACACACCTCCTGGCAATACCAAAGTCAAACTATCCAGTGAAGGAATGCAAATGGAACGATCCAACATCAAAAGACACTAACATCCTGAAAACACTCACCATCGAATTCCGCTGTTTCGTTGCTCGCTGCTTTACTGGACGACATTCTTTGTACGCTGCTGCCCGCGTCCTTGCTCGTCCTTCCCCCCAGACTGCTTGCAGCAACCACCTCGCTCAGCTCCAGACCCGGGCCTAGGCCCAGTACCTGCGACGCACTCTGCTGACTTGTCTTCACGGGGACCATCTTCATGTCCGCGCCGTCCGGACTGTCGCCGAAATCCGGGTGCACTTCGACCTCGCCGGCTTCGTTCACGAACCCCACGGATCCGCCCAGAGGAGACCCAGGCACCTCCTCATCGGGAATGGTCAAGAAGTCCACTTTGTTCACCAACGTCATCAGTTCGTCCTGGCTGGCGTAGGGGTCTTCCCGGACGATCGTTTCGCGCTCTTCGCTCACCGCGGCTTCGTCACTGATCGCACCGTCTTGGTAGGTGGAGGGTTGCGGGGTTTGTTTCCTGCTGCCTCCATACGGCTCGCTTGTACGGCGGCCGAGGGAGGAGACTGCGAGTTCCGATTGCGCATACCCAGACCGCGCATCGCCACCATTAGAAGCCGTTCCGGACCCTCGGAGCGAGGCCTCACGCGAGGTTCGAAGTGGCACTTGTTTGTTCTGTGCCGTTGTTGTCGTGGGAAGAACGTCGCCGCTGCTCCTATTCGCTTGCGAGGGCCCGCTACTCGTGTCGGCAGTAGAGCCGGGCACTTTCATGCGCTCTACGCGGGACCCTGACGCGGTCCTGTTCAAAGTGTCCCTTATCGCTGCTTTTGGAATCGACTTTCGCGATCCTACCGACACGCGGTCCACAGCGCTGGGGGCCCGTTCACTGTGCGCTGTCGAGTATCGAATGGCGTCAGGGCCGCGGAGACTTTGCGCGGCATGCTTCTCGACCTGCTTCGCAATCTTATCCTTCGCATTGCTGACGTGAGTCTCTTGCAAGGAGATTTTCCTTTCTTGGCTGCGGTCGAACCCGCGCGTGCGCCCCGAGGCGGTCAGTCGGGTGACCGGCGCGTCGGGTGGATGAGTGGTGATAGTCGATACGGTTTTCGCAACAGCGCCTGCCTTCGTCGGATCCTGAAGCGACACGGACACGGAGCATGAAATTATTGAAAGATGAACGACACTAATGTCAAAAATCCAGAACCAACAAAAAAACTGAACTACGAGATGCAAACCGTCGCAAGGAGGAACGTATTGAAGTATGTTGATCTATTGAAGAGTTTTGAGCCATAGCATACCGGCTTGTCCTTCGCTAGTAGTGGGTGCGTCGCGACGTGTTTCGCCTCTAGCAGGTGTTGCGGCACTCGTCCCTCTGGCTGCACTTTTTTCGACGTCTTCCGCTGTGACGGCGACTTTGGCACGTAGCGCTGCAGCATCAAGTCGTAGTGCGACTGGCCCGACGGCTTCTGCATGCGCTGTTTGTGCCGCTCCTGGCTCTGTTCCGTGATCTCCCGCACCACGGGGGATCCGAACGCGAGCGCCCCGGTCCGATCCGCCCGGGCAATGTACTGGTCCAGTTGCGAGCGCGCCGCCGGGGCCGCGGACAGCTGCTCCTGGCTTTGCTCGGCCGCCGAATCCCGGGGCGGCGAGTTGGACCGCGACCGCGGGGACCGCAACCCGGCGAGGCGTTCCTCCCGCCGCTTGGACCGTTCCTCCTCGACGGCAAGCTGCTCCAGCTGTGCCCGCCGCGGAAGCGCTTCGAAGGCCTCCTTACGTGCTTGAATCAAGCGCTCCCGGTGGTCGCGTTGCGCCTGCTCGTGCGCCAAGCGCACCCGGGTGGGCTGGTCAATCCGGTGGGTGGGAAAGTGGCTGCGAAAACTGCGCCCGGAGGAGTGCACGATCAGGGACTTCGGCGACGTGCTCTTCGGCTTCCACTTTTTCAGGCCCGGGACCAGATCTCCACGCGCCGCGCTGGACCCAAAACCAAAATTTTCGCCCGCCCGCTGTCGCCGCTCCTCGCGCAAAGCGGCGCGCTCCTCAACAGTCATGTAGGCCGTCGCAGGCTTGATAAGGTTGCCGTCTTCATCGAATTCATCTGCAAGTGTTAGTGTATGAGTATCTATGTGTTTGTTCATGAGATAAACGGTCTCATATCTGATGATCTTCATCGATCTTCTAGTGCTTTGCTAGCTCTGCTGCACAGACGTACTTACAACGTCAAACAATGAATACGTACCATCATCGCCATCTCCTCTTTCCGCCCTCGCGGCGCTTTCTCTTCGTGCGTCCTCCTGTGCTTTCAACTGTCGTGCTAGATCCTCGGCGGATTCCGCTTGCTCTAGACTTCCGAGTTTCAAATCCAAGCGGGACAAAAGGACAATTTTTGGGACGGTTTCCTCCAGAAATTCGTAAAACCGTCGATGATCTTCCAGCTTGTCCTCGAATAGGCGCTGTGCGTACGCATCCCCAGCCTCGTGGTGCACGCGCGCGGTGACCGCGTCGAGTCTTTGCTGCACTGCCTGCAGTCGTTGGCGCCAGTTCTCCTCCTTCGTTTCAAAGCTCTGGACCTGTCGCAGCTGCGACGTTTGCGCTTCGAGTGCGCGCTTCTGCGCCTCTAGCCGTGCGCGCTGCGTCTCTAGTTCCTTTTTCACCCGGTCGGCGTCGGATTTGGACGCGAACACTTCTTCAAACTGATATTTTTGTTGATGAAAAGATACTCTAACTTTTTTACAGAAGAAGCACCTCATTCCATTTGATTCCTTGCAAGTACCGGATGAAAGCAGGTGCACTACACCCAAAGTTTAGATTTGTTACTTACCCTTTCCTGGAGCTTTCCCGCCGTCTCTTCCAGGTCTATGACTGGGGCACCATATTTGCCGCCTTTCATCCCCAATCCACTGGTGCTACTTTGAAATCCAGTACTTCCCGACGTTGTAGCAGATGCTGATGCACTTGCTGTCAGTCCTTTCGCAGCTCCTCCTTTGCCCAGAGCGCCCTTACCCTTCGCCTTGCCACCCGCGTCGGCCGGTGCAGCCTCGCTGGGAATCGCATTCGTCCCGTCCGCAGGAGCTGTTGCTGCAGGTTGATCTCCTGCTCCCGTTGTTTGTGCGTCGCCACTGGCAGCAGGGGTGGCGCTCTCGCCCTCTGGTGGTGGACCAGCGCTCTTTTTTCCAAGCCCTTTTTTCTTCCCTCCCTTCAAACTAGATGACGCACCGTCTTCCGTCGACACGGTTGCAGCTGTGGCCGCGCCGTCCGGGGGTGTTCCAGTTGTCGGAGCTGCAGCATCACCCTCGGCCGCTGGCAACGCGGCTTTCTTACCTTTCTTCCCGATACCTTTGCCCTTTCCAAGCCCGGGCGTCGCTGCAGGTGCGGCGTCGGCCCCCTCCATGTCCGTCCTAAAATAAGAATAAAACGTTGCTGATGTACCTAGAAGACCACAACTAGTTCCGCAACTATCAAATCTCAACGTCCGTCGTTCAGCATGGCATCGTGACGATGTCGATACGAAGGTTTTTTACACAGATGAGAAAGTCGCCGCGTCGAGCCTACCACGACATTCCCGACGAATCACGAAGCGATCAAATACGAAACGATCAAGGTATAAGATGAGAACGAGTCAAGTAAAACGATTTGACGAATGTTGAACCCAAGTAGCGAATCGAATTCCTAGACATACAGCAAAGCGAATCAATTAGTAAGTCTGGTGATTCATCTGGAGCGTCTAGAAAAGCTCGGATATGCATGTTGATCGACGACACGCCTTACCACTTTTCAAAATTTTCCTTGTGCATGTGCTTCATCCATCCTCTTTTTGGAAGATATCGCTTGTGAAGCGAACTACTCTTGAGTTACTTTACTCCGCCTCCATGGTCGACGGATGCGAAAACTTTCTTGTATCTTGCGTGGCAATCATGCAGTTGATGTAAGATTTTTGCGATTAGCGTGATAGCGCAGAATCTCAGAAGGTGGCATTACTTCGTACCGATTAGCTGGAGATAATGTAGCAAAAGTTGTTGTGTCTATCTCTGACCAGCAGTTTGCAATCAGCGACGCGGCGAAATCAGTACGACGACACGTCGTCGCCCAGCACAAAAGATTCGCACTCCTTTGCCAAGTCCTGCACGACGTTCCGTTTGTCCTGCAGGATTTGCTTTTGCAACTCCAACAGGTCGCGCTTCTGCTTCAGATACTGGTCGACCTCGGAAATGTGGTTGATAATCCCCAGCAGCTTCTCCTGCTCACCATTGGACTCGTCGTCCAATGTGGTCGACCACGATGCTCCGAGGCCGAGACCTTCCTCGTCCAGAAGATCTCCCTCGCCGACCTGCGCCGTCGTGGGCGACACCGTGGTTTTTGGGTAACACCCCGCTGCTGCTGCGCCGGAGAAGGGGCCGCCCACTTTGGAATAGTCCACATACATCGAATCTTTCTCGCTGTCGTAAATATGCGGGAAGGGACGAATCGTTAGCATTTCGTCGTCCACGTCGGCGTCGCTGTTACATGAATATTGGTTGGTGTGATTCGTTTTTTTATTCTGTTTTCATCTGCGAAGTGAAATAAATAATAAAGGACAACTCCATAATGGTACTCGTAGACACATCGACAATCACAAATGCAAATAAATCGAATTACTCATAAGTACCTAGATGAAGTGCTGTTTTCTGCTTCGTCACAGCTACCCGGCGCTGCAGTGCTTTTCGTCGCCGACGCGTCCGCAGCGACCTTTGCGGCGCTTGATGTTGCCCCAGCGGAGCCCTTGATATGCTTCTTGAAGCTCCACCTAAGTAGATGACAGATACATACAGACCAAAACAAATGTTTGGTTTTAGTTTTTTGCTTCGCAATACAATGCGCACCATGCAGGCATAATCGTCAGCATCGCGATTCTTCAACACCGAGGGAACAACAACCAGCATCTCAATCTGTACCTGCCCGGCGTGTGTTCCGCGTACACGTAATCTTCCTCGTCCGCTTCGAGAAGCGTTCCCCCTGCTGCTGTTCGCGGGGGAAAGACAAGATCCTCCTCCTCGTCGTCCTCGGACTCTTCGGAACTCATTTCATCCTCGGCAGACTCGTCCTCACTGTTGACATCGTTTTTGATATTACCGTATGCATGGCTCGCAGCTGCGCCGGCATGATTATATCCACCGGTGTTGTACACCAAAGGGTGATTTTTCAGCAGCTCTCCCGCGACATCCACCACTGGCTCTTCTTCGGATTCGGTTTCCGAAACGTCGGAATTTCCATCTTTTTCTTCACCCGCGACAGCATAATTCTGCTCCTCGCCGGAGGACGAATCCTCTTCGTCGGAATCCTCATCGGAATCCGTGAAATTCGGCGGTGTCGTGTCGAGAAACTTCTTCTCGTTCGAATTGTCATAGAACCGATTCATCTGCTTTATGTACGCCGCCGTCTGGCTCGAGGAGGAGAAGGCGTTCGAGCTGGAGGAGGGCGCCGATATCGTCTTCACCGAGCTTGGTGGGGGGGTGGTGGGCGCAGAGGCGGATGAAAAGTAGGTGGGTTTGGAAACATCTTCATAGGGTACAGAACCTCTTGCCATCGGGGTCCTCGAATACAGTACGTCGTGCGTGCGGCGCTTGGCCTCCTGCCGCAGGGCTTCCATGCGGTGCAGCAGCCTTTCCTTCTTTTCCAGGTCCGCCGAGATCCTGGCGTTCTCGTCGCGGATAGCCTCCACTAGGCTGCCGGAACCAGGCTTTAAGTAGTCGGTGTCTTCTGCCTCTTCCTCGGAGGACTCTGTTTCCTCGGATGAACCTTCTTCGTCGTCTTCGAGCACGAGCATAGCCTGACGATTTCAATTTTTCATTCTTCGTGCTGGTCTTGTTTCATCATTTCGATTTCGCCACGTACGACGTGTATGAAAAAATTCGTTTTCGAAGTGACAAGAATATCGTGCTGTCTTGTGGGCGGCCCGAGTAGGGCGGTTCCAGATCCCCCAAAGAAAATCATGACATCAGTGACAAGAAAGTATACCTCTTCCTTCGCCACCTCCACCAAATGCTTCGCTCCATGATACCATGTGAAGAAGTCTACCGGCGTGGCGCAAATGATCTTGATCTCGTTCTCCCCCGTCTCCTTCTTCATTTGCATCGTGATCGAGTAGATGCTCGATCCCGGGGTGCCGTAGCGGGGGGATATAGAACGCGACCGACTTCCGCTGCCGCCAGAGCCACCTGCAGAAACAGTAACAGCCATGGTCACGGTGTTGAGATACAACATATTCACGAAGGAATGTCAAACGCACGGAAAAGGACAACTTTATTGTTCCTGAAGCTGATAATGCATTGATCCGATCACTTCGCTACCCTGGAAAAGGAGCAAAACCAACTTCATTTCGGTACGCTCATCCCGTCCTCGTGCAGAGGCAGCAGCTTCCGGGTCCTCCAAGAAGCTTCTCGGTCGTTCGCCCACAACGGATTCGATGTCCTTGATCTGAAAATAATTTTTGTGACTGTGGGACAGACGTCACTCCAGACTCGACTTCCGTCCGCGAAGTGGTAGCAAGCAACACACAATGTCCAAAAAAACACAAGAGACTTTATTCGCACCGCGATTCCCGGCCAGTTGTCGAAAATTTCGTTTCGTTTCAGGTCCACTTCGGCGCCCTTCGGGAGAAACGTGATGCGCTTCGAATCCTCTGAAAGTAGTACGAGGTGAATCTCCACCGGTTCGCCAAACATCGAAACCAGCAGCGGCATTCCCTGCCGCATGGCCTCGAGGGAGCTCTTCTCCACCATGATGCTTCTTTTGCGCTCTACCTGGAGAGGACTTCAGGCGATTTTCTTCGCGGAGTTAGTAGACACGAAGAAAAGCAACGCTCTTGTACGAAAACAGCACAACTAATTTCAGAGTCAGCCACAGAGTCACATTGACGCGCAAAATAAACTAGCAACATTCTGTCACTCCGCAGCCAATTTGGATTTGCGTTTGCATAGCTGTGTCCCCGGCTATCAAGAACAACATAGCACCTCATAACAAGAAGGTGACAGCGCATGGTGCGCTGCATCAATGGTAATAGGGATGTCTGGTGATGATTTCGAGCGTGCTCTGCAGCTAGAACTCTAGTTGACAAAGAAAATCCGCAGCTATGCTGAAGTTTTTAGTGTGATTGTGTTTTTTGTATGCGATCGGAAAGCCGCCCCGGGTGGAGCTTACGGTTACTTTTTGTTTTTACATTTCTCAGGCGCACGTATGAACTAGCAAGCAGGGGTGGCGGAGTTCGACAAAATACAAAGTTTTAGAATGAAAGTAAGTTTAGGCATGTTGATGGGGTACTTAAACGCAAATTTTGCCACATACGCATTTCATCAGGTTCTGGACCTGGTCAAAACCCCACTGTAGGTTTGATTTTAACCTTTGGAAGTTAGTGTTAACATCCTTTGGAAGTTAGTGTTAACAGTTGATGTGACCTCGAGAATCCATTTTGTATCAATGAATTGATTCTTTCACATTAGCATAGTAGTACTCCACTCGAGGAACTACGTGGTGAATCACATCCTCATCCCCACCGTCGGAGCGCTGTGGGCCGGGGTACACATGATTTCGTAACTCCAGCAGGATTTCGGTTGCTTGTACATCGCCACAAACTGCTCCGCAATGTCCTCTGGGGGCATCATCTTTTCCACTGGCATTCCCCACGCCCGGGTCGCAGGAGAATCGATCACGCCGTCGATGTTGATGTTGCAGACGTGCACGCCGAGCGGACCATACGTCTGGTACATGGATTGCCCGAGGCTACGGAGTGCCGTTTTCCCCGGCGCGATACCACCGAATTTCGCCCCGCCGCGCAGCTGCATGGTGGCGCCACTCAGCAGGATTGCGCCGGACTTTCGTTCCAGCATATCCGGGACGCACTCGCGGGTGCAACGAATCAACCCCCCAATCTGTGTGTCGTGGGCCATGTTAAGAAAGCTGACATCCAGCTCGTGAGGCTTCATCGCATCGTCTCCGAAACTGAAGCCCGGCGGGAAAGGAGTGCCTGCGTTGAAGACCAGGCACTCGATTTTGGCGTCCGGAAAACTAGCTTTAATCTGGTCGAACGCGCTCTTTACCTGGTCGTCGCTGGTAAGGTCCATTGGAACGGAGATTGTCGTCGCCTGCAGACCTTTTTCCTTCTGGATACTTTTACACTCATTTGCGACTTTTTCCAGAACATCCGTGCGCCGGGCTGTCAACACAACATTGAAGCCCTGCTCGGCAAATTTCATTCCCAGTGCGCCACCGAGCCCGTAGCGTGTGTACACCGAAATGTCGGAGGCGCCTTGCTGGTCGTGTTTCGAGCCGGCGCCGACGATAACTGCGATTGGGGAGGAGGTCATTTTTGGAAAATTCGCTGATGCACAAGTTGTTGGTTCTTGTGTTGTTTGATCGTAAAGTTATGTACTTAGTACCGAGAAAAGTTTAATAAACCTGACTTTGCAACTTTTGCTGTGAATACGGTCTATTTGAGAGGTTCTACTGTGAAGAGACGAGGGCGGTGTAGGAAGGCTTTGAGCTGCTGTGAAAAAGATCAGGTCGCAAGAGCAGACACAAGTCAACTTCTATCGGTCGGTGAAACAACAAGCGCCTAAGTTTCCAGCAATTCGAAGTAGGAGGAGCGATGTCAGAAAGAATGGATCATCTTATTCTTGGATCTCATTTGAGAAACCGAAGGATTTTATTGGTCTCACGACAACATTGCATGCACAATTGAAATTATCATAAACCGGTGCTAGACATGATCCTCGGGAAGTCACTCTATTACTCTCGTTAAAAAACGCGCACACTGCTAAAAAACAATCGAGGGAAGACACGATCTGGCACTCATGCTGCAAGAGGAGCTATTGAACCAACAGAATTCTGTCCTATCTGGTTGTATCAGAACTCACTTTCAGGTACTGGCAACATGCTGCCAGTCATGCTGATCCTTTTGCGCATCTTATTTTCTGTTTCAAGAATAAGTCTAACGACAGAGGAAAGACCGCCAGGTTGGTTGTCCACCTGACGTGCTCGTCGTGAAAGTGCATGGAATCCGGAATAGGTTTGACAGTAATCTAGTATCTCCCTTACGAACGACTGTGAATCGACGCGGATTGGATTCTAAAGGTCGTGGTCAACACAAAATCGACGCTTTTACATGCTCATCTTGACGAGCTTACATGTTTTTGCTGCTTCTACCTCGAGCTGCCGGTTCAATCGAGAGACGGTATCTCGACTTTCAGCTTAGCTGCGATTGTTTTCAAAGCAGTTGCAGTCTTCTTGCTGTTTTTCTCGAATACCAAGTGCCAGGCATTCCACAAGTTTTCGAAAGTATTTTCGATTCCAAGGATATCCGTCAAGAAGTACCACAAGACCATGGGCTTCGTTGGCACACGTGATGCTGATGATTTCGATCCGGGGGGAGGTACAAAATCCAGGCGGAGTACACTTTTACTTGGTGGCTGCCTCCGCTGTTCTACTGGTGCGGTCTCGAGTGCTGGCTCTGGTGAGTAAAACATGTATGGTTGCGGACGGTAATCCATTCCTCCAAGGACCGTTCTTGCGACCGCCATAGTACCAGTCACGTATAGAAACATCCGCTTGATTATTTTCGTCCGAACCTGCGTTCCACGCTTCACTTCGTGCAGAAAACCATGGAAACTCTCAAAAACCCGCGAAGCGGCAGCGTCACCTGCACTAGCACGAGAGGCACGAGCGCAAGCCTCACGTCGTGATGGTAACACTTTTTCGAGGTCCTTTTCTGACACAAACATGTTGGCCGACCAAAACACTGTCAACAATGCTTGATTGAACCGGCGCCTTCGAGGGAGAGCCAGGCCCTCGTACTGCTTCAGCATCTTTTTCATCCTGGCGGTCTTCTCCTGCTCGTCATCCTCATCTCCGTTCTCTTCGCTGTGGAACTGAAACGATCCCGTGGATGAAATAGCCAGGACAAAAGATGCTGTTGCTTCATCCACCTCTTCGGGCGAAAGACGCCCTTTCCCATTCGCCAACGCGCAGACTTTTTGTTTCCCGTGTGAGGACTGTAGCTTCCTGTACGCAGAAATTCCTTCACCAAATGTGGCCATCAAACGCATTGTTTCATCTTGGGACGTCGGCTCGACGGCTCGAGATCGCTCCACGCTTTCGTTTGCGAGGACCTCGTCAATATGCGTGAACAGCTCCTTCCCGCTGATTGTAGTCTTCTGCAATCCCTGCCACTGCCAGGACAAGAGGAATGCTGCGATGTTGTGACGCAAGTTGGGACAATCATTACCAACGTCAGAATCATTGCTGCCGGTGTGCCACATGGCCGCGCCTCTCTGTGTGATGAACTTGTTTGCGTCTTCACTGCTGCTCGTACCGAGCCAGAAACTCGTGGATGCGTCTACGTTCCGGTCATCTTGTTCGTCTTTTTGCTCGTGGAGATCCAACAAACACGTTGGCACGAAGAGCGTGTAGAAGAGGAAGTACGCCCCGTACTCATAAAAGGGAGGTGGTTTCCCTGTCTCCGGGTCTAGAGCGCCAGGTGTGACGATTGTACCGGAAGTCCGGTCGACGAAACTCCTGACGACATGGTTTTGGCGCGTTGTGAAGTCGTAGCGCCACTGTCGGAGTAAGAAGTATAGGCATTCGAAAACGCGAAGACGCCACGACCCGTGGTTATCGACGTCGACAATGGGGCGTGACGCCGAAGGTTTGCAGACAGTTCTCGAGCCCTGCTTGCTGCGACTCCCAGTTCCGGGTTTTTTCGAGACAATCTCTTGTGATTTCTTTGAGATCGCGGGACAGATGTGGGAGCCGCAACATCCCTCCAATACCGCGCGACCATCCTTGGAAAACCGGTACGCGTGCAGCATAGCAAAAGCACCATACAGGATGTGACTCACTCGCCAGCCCCAAGCATTTTCCTGTTGGACGAGATCAATTTCTTCGCTCGCCCCCGCCGCTCTTGTCCCCTGACTTTCGTCATGAACAGGATGTGTCAGAGCGAGATGCAGGAGATCCATGTGACAGCTTATAACGGTGCCGAGAACGTTGGCCACGGACGTTGCAGTAGCCTTTCCTTGCTTCGCCGATGAAGAGCGATCTTTTGCAGAAGCAGTACATTTTGAAATTGAGGACAGGAGCAGTTTGGTCGATGCAGATCCTTCGCGCGAAGTCGAGCCGTAGGGACCGAGTGAGTTTGCGAAGATCTGCCGCTTAAAAACTGTGTCCGCTATCCCTGTGCTCAGGGTTCTGAAGACGCCGCTATTCATTACTGCCTCTACACATTCGATGGTTTTCTGCAGCAAGCGACATAACCAGTCCAAGGTTTCATGTTCGTGCGCGAACGCCCACCGACTCATATGTAAGGGAGCGAGGCCTGGAAGCATATTGCCTGCGAGAGGCCCGCCGCACTCGCAACGATACAAGCCACCCATTTCGCTGGTCATCCGGCGCATGGTGTCCTCCCAACACGAAAATTCTGTCGGAACCAACGCGAATATATCGCGAAAGTTTTGCGCTTGCTGGTGGTATTTGCTGAATTCCTCGAGAGTCTTGGACTGTACTCTTCCTGGGCCGCCACAGCAGTCCAACAGCAAATATTTTCCCGGCGATCCTCCTTGTAGTGCCAGTGCGACCAATTCGACGCGAAATATCTTCGCGAAGTCTTCAAAGCGCTTCTGACGGGGTCCCCCGCGGCGCTGCCCATCACGTGAAAAATACTCCAACAAGAAAGTGAAAAAACGAAACGATCCTTCGTGCAGGCACTGATTGTAGACAAAGGCCTCCGTAGTCCTGTCGTCCAAAGTAAGCCCTCTGGGATTGCAGCGCACCAGTCTCAGGTGATCTCGAAGTGACTCCAGAATGTTGTTGAGGAGCGTCGCGTGACGGTCTTCCAGTGACGCAGATTGCGTCCTCGTCCACCAAATGGTCTTCATTTCCGCCAAGAAGTCAAAAATTTTTGAGAGAGTCTTTTGTTGATCCTCAGAACCAAACGGGAGTTGGGCTGCGTGTTGCTCCAAAGCACAGGTGTAGTACAGCTCCAAGTCCATCAAGGTTGCATGGTCCGCACCCTTTTCCGGTCGGCCTCGAAATTTTGCAAACTTTCTTTCCTCGAACAAGACCTTCTCCAGAAACTCCACTGCACCGAGAGCATTGTTGTCCGCCAGAAATGCGAAGTGCCTCTCCTCGACATCCAGCATTTCCTGAACGAGCAGTTCCTTCTTTTCTGCTGCGCGCCGTTCGTATTCCGTTAGGAGCCGCTCATACTCGGCTTTTTCATCCGTGGCGAGAACGGGCTCCGCACGAGGTTTCCAAGGTCGTGGCGCAACTGTTGGGCTCTCCTTGGCGTGATCCGCAGTGCGCGGAGCGATCTCTCCGCCTCCACCTGACCCGGCATCACATGCACCCGCATCGTTTGCATGGCCTTGCACCGGCTTGCATCTAAGATCGTCCTCACGATCAATGTTCCGTAGAATGAGCCACCAAACGCTCACACGCACCTTGTGATTGTGAACCGGAACAGGCTGGGTTGCGCGCTCGGAATGCGTGAACTGGTGATGAGATCCGCGTGTACGAGTGTGCTCATATCCTTTGTCCCGAAGGATCTTCTCGATCGTGGAAAAAGACAGCATGACGCCTGAGTTTTATTCTACTTCTTAGTTTACAACTTTCACAGAGCCGAGAAATGTAATTCAAGGTGTTGCCCGTTCTTCTACTCAATTTTTATGTTGGATGAAAGCATTTTTTTTGCTTGAACGAAAAAAGATGCACCAGAGCGACGACACGAACACCGGTTTTGGTACAGAGCTAATGCTAAATACATCTTTCAATAATTCAAGGCTGATGAGTCGCTGGAGGATGTCGCTCAACAAAAATTTCTATTATAGAAAAATCATCTACTGAAGGATCATTTCTATGGTGCTCGTGGCCTTCTTTCCGTGAAGCGTCAGTGGCAGAAGTTGAAAACTTGTTGCTTATTCGCTAAAGTAATACCACGTAGATATGCAGGGCCACAAACACGAGGGTAACTGTCACCGTCTACCACTCGCCTGAACAACAAAGATGTGCTCATGATTATGTGCGCGGTCGGAGAGCGAGAAATTATTCTCACCTTATATTCAATTTCATCGAGCTGCAATTATAGCTCGGCAAATCTATACTATGGATGCTTTGACTTCTTGGGCTTGGGCAACTCTGCGGTAACAAAACATCAATCAATACCGCGCAGCCACAGCAAAGATTCTAGTCTAACTTTGGAATAACGACTTCGAGCTTTGCGGCGATGAATTTCAAAGCTTCCACAGTCTCCTTTTCGGTTTTTTGAAAAAACAGGTGCCACATTCCCCACAACGCTTCATAGAGATTTTCGAGGCCCATAACGGCCGTCATGTAAAAGTAAACGGGTGGCGGTTTCGTTATGACTTTTCCACATTCACTTTGTCTCGCGAGAATTTCTTGGTCTTGTGGCGGCGGCTCCGTCAAACTACCCCTCCATTGTTTATTCTCCAGCATGTCGCACCTCTTTCCTTCGCGGTCGCTTAGATTGCAGCGCTCTACGGCAAGCTGGTGTAGTTCCTGGTTTGTTTCTTCTTTTCCCTCCGCCTGAGTTGGACAAGGACGTAGGCGCATTTCATCATCTGCCGCTGCCGTCACACGACTCTCTACGTCTCTTTCATCATGACCAGCACCAACTGCAACTCTTGCCCTGCGCACCAAATCATAAGGCCGACACCGACCTTCCATTTGCGTCAGCATGTCGATTGCTGCTGGTTCCGAATCTCGCCATATGCTAAAAAAGTCTCGCAACCTCTCATACTGAGTACATTCTTTGCGGTTGAGCAGGGCCAACAACTCTCGAAACTTGTGAGCGTAGGAATTCACGTCGTCGCGGCCTCTTCTCTGTCGTGGCATAAACATTGCTTTCAGCTCATCGGGGGAAAAATGCTCGATCGCCCTTAGTACGACAGTCACCAGGGCTTGGTCCCGACGACGCTGCTTCGACAGCTTCAGCTCACTGTAATCCCTCTTGATGCGGGATTCCATGGCAGGTATCTTCCTTGCGATAGATCGCGCTCCTGGATTTGCTTGTGTTCTTTCCGGCTCCTGGTCCATTTTGCCCGTAGTGGAGGTTGTGGTAGGTTTACATTTGTTCTCTGCAACATACAAGTCGTTTTCGTCATCATCGCTCTCAGCACCGGTTTGCTGCAGCCTGTGAGTATCGCTGCAAAAGTGACCAAGCACAACTGGCGCAACCGCGTCTCGCAGCTCTCCCGGCCAAATGTGTCCGTCCCAATCCGCGAGAAGAGTCAATACATCTTTGCCTTGTGTAAGTGCTCGGAGCGTTCTGTACGCCTCCACACCACAGCCAAATAGATCACACTCTTTCAGCGAATATTTGTCGTCCTCTTCTTCCTCGTCACTGTCGTCAACCTCGGCACTTCCATCCCCAATCTCGTAATACAGAATCCCGTCGAGCCAGTCGAGCCAAGGTTTGTCGTTGACGGTTGAATGCAGTAGGCCTTGCATTTTCCACGACACAAGGAACATAGCAAGTCGGTGACGCAAAGTACTAGTAGTCGGCATCGCACTGGCGCTTGCGTCATCACCCCACCAGACTGTGTCCGCGGAAGTACTTTCCCCTGGTTCTTCCGCGTCGAAGGAAGCATTTGCAATCAGGCAAGCAGGAACGCAAAAGTTGTAAAGCATAGCAACAGCGCCGTAGCGGAAATGTTGATGCTTTTTTCCGTCAGGCCCAAAAACGCCAGGCATCTCCATCCGTTTGGTTACGTCATTACGGACAGGCTCGATGAAGTGGCTCCGTTTTGACGTCAGATCGTACGCATACTGGAGCATCTGCATGTACACACACTCGTAGACACGGCATCGCCACGACCGGTAAACGTCCGCTTGCTTACCGGTAGTGTTCCTGGTGCTGACCTTCGAAGTCAGTGCCGGCTGCTCTTTGAGTGCCGGGGGGAGCATGACAGGACAAAGCCGCAGACCGTGTCGTCCCGCCATTGCCTTTCGCCCAACAGCATGATAACGGTACATGTACAGAATCGAAAATGCCCCGTCCAGAATCCCTAGTAGCGGCTGCCGCAACGGGTTGGTATGAGGGTAGAAATCAATAAACTCCCTGTGTTCATCACCCGGACGCTCCATTTCTCTCAGTAGCGGTAGCGGATATAGCAAATCCATGTGAGCGCTAAGGGTTCGTCCTAACACGTCCGCAGCTTTGAACGTCTTGTTTGTCTCCAGTCCGAAGGCGTGATTGAGAACTCTTTTGACAACCGCAGCTCCCAGGCGCGAACACCTCCCGTGGGGGCACAGGGAGTCCGCCAAGAATCCTGCATCACCGTCGTCGCGTCCTGTACTCCGATTCTTTTTCTTCGCTGTGCCGGGTCCCGCAGTAGCGCCCGACCCGACCACTATGGGATGGTGCTGGAGATATCTCGCGAAGAAGCTGCACAACCACGTGAGTTGCGTTCTCTCAAAAATGAAGGAAGTTCGAGTGTTTTCCGGGGTTACGATCGCCTTTCCACACTGTGTAACGAAGCCGTGAGAAGGGGCACCACACCCACATCGCCTCATGCCCCCGATTTCCGTTCTGAGTTTCTCCGCAATTTCGTCCCACCTGTCGTCGGGCACCAAGTTGCAGACGTCGTGAAAATTCTTCACGATTCGATAAAGCTCCTTGACCCGCGGCACCGGCGTGCTAGTTTCCTCTTGCAGCAAATCCTCGTAAGTACAAAAGCCGTGGACCGAGACCCTTCTTAGGTAATATCTCGCCGGTGTGTATCCCCCTTGTTGTGCCAGTGCAACAAGCTCAACAGCAAACACAGCAGCCAAGAGCCGAAACGCGCGTCCGCGGCTTACCTCGTCCCGCGTGGAAAAATAGTCGAGCAGAAATGTGAAAAACACAAATGTGCCTCTCTGCGACCTCGCAGTCATGCCGGAGTGGGTATCCGAGTAATTATGGTTGTCTCTGCTGGGATCGAAGCCTTGTTCTCCGCTGTTGCCGCAGCGCCCCAGACGCAATTGCTCGCGGAACGAATGAAAAATGTTTGCGAGTAACTCCGCATAGCGACTATCAATTGCAGCCTTGTCGCTTCCTCTCCACCAAACGCCTTTCATCTTCTCCAAAAAATCAAAGAGCTTCTTCAGCAGCTGGGTGTGCTCCTCTGACCCAAAGTCAAACTGAGACGCACGGCTTTCCAGCGCACAGCTGTAGTACAATTGCAAATCCATCAGGGTCGCATGGTCCTCGCAAGAATTGTTGTCTCGCGGCCGTCCCGACAGCTTTGCGAATTTGCGCTCCTTGAAAAGAACGCGCTCCAGCAGGTCGAGGGCGCTTTTGGGGTCCCTGTCTGCGACGAAATTGTGGTATTGTGCCTCGACCTCGAGTATTTCTGAAACCAGCTTGTCTTGGCGTGCTTGTGCCCTTTTCTCATATTCGAGTAGTAATCGCTCGTACTCTTCTCGTTCATCTGTGGCCAGCTCGGCCTCTGGCTGCGGTTTCCACGCCTTGAAACTCCTTTCTGACGAGCTTGTGAAGGTCGATATAGTGAGAGCATTGAGCTTACCGGTGGTAATTGGGCGACGTAAAAGACTTGCAGCTCCACCGCCTGCGCAGGACCCAGCGTCAACGACAACTCCACTATTCGCCTGAGGTTGCTTCAGCAGAATCGGCTCACAGTGGAGCTTCTCGTGCTCTCGATTGATGTTGCGCGAAATCAGGAGCCACACGTTTACTCGAACTTTGTGATTGTGGACCGGGACTGGCTGCGTCGCTCGTTTCGGGTGTGTGAACTGGTGGTGAGATCCACGAGTCCGCGTGTGCTCATAACCCTCCTGGCGAAGGAATTTCTCGATAGTCGTGAAGGGGATCATTTTTCGATATTTTTATTTGTACTGGCCTGCAGAAGTAATTACAAGACCAAAATGGGCGATGAACCTACAGAAAAAGAAAAGCAATGCTTAAACTACGTTCTCATATTTGCAGCTCCCATCTGGTAGAATTAGTCTGGTAAGAAATAAGCGAAGGAGGCACGGTCTGAAAGACGCTCACATAATACCGCTGAAATCTGATTATAAAGTGAAGGATTATTTTGGATGATTGGAAGCATGATCGCAGCGACAGCAAGTTCGGAAGCAGAAGTTCGTAGACGACAAATAACCACAAAGCTTGAACTTCTCGGAAAAGTATTAAGTGTCTGTCGGTCTTCCTCGTGAAATTGATAAGTAGACAGAGAACGCGCCGGCAATTCATCGTGTATTGCGGTGGCTGTAGCCTAGTTGTTCATAAAGGACAGCTTTTCATTAGGTCATACTTAACAAAAGGTCGGCTTTTATCTAAACAGCGCATCTAGGTTAGTCCAAAGGCGGTATCTCCACCTCGAGCTTCGAAGCGATTAACCTCAAAGCCTCCGTGGTGTCCTTTTCGTTCTTCTTGAAAACCTGACGCCAGGCGGACCACAGGATTTCATACACATTTTCCAGCCCCATCACGTCAGTCAGGTAGAACCACACGGCCGGCGGTCGTGGGGTACTTTTGCCACCGGGCATGTCCTGTGATGTGCTTTCGTCTTCCGCGAGGAGTGGCACCGCTTGCGGACACGGCTCCTCAGTTCCGCCCCCCTCTTCTGCCTGTAAGTGTGCGCCGTTTTCGCCTATGCTGCTCCGCGGAACTCGTTCAGAGCATTTATTTTCATGTCTCTGTTTCCGCTGGCGGCCGTAGACAGTGCTACGCACATCAACAAACTCGCGGTAATACTCTCCCGTGCAACATTGTTCCTGCAACGCCAACGTATCTTCAGAAGACCAAGATTGTAATAAATCGTACGGACGGCACTCGCCATGCATTTTCTCAAGCATGCTGATCGCAACCGGCTCGCAATCCTTCCAAAGCTCGAAGAAACGTCGAAGCCGATGGAAGTAGACCAAGTCGTCACCGCTGCTGCTTTTGTGCTGCAGCAACTGCACAAATTCTCGAAATTTTTGCCCGTACCCGGCGGAATCACGATTGCCACGGGAGACAAATTTTGCCGTTAGGCTTTTTATGCTAAGCTCGGACGCCTTGAAGAAAACTGTAACCAGGGCCTGGTCGCGTCGCCGCTGGCGGGGAAGTGCGAGACCGCTGTATTCCTTCAGTCGTGCGTCTAGAGCAGGAGACACTGAGACTTCCTCGTCATCCTTGTCTCCCCACAAAGTTGTCACGCCAACATCTGAGTTATTTTCGCTCTCGCTGTGGTGGTGCTCCTCTTCCGGAAAAAATGAACCCTTGTGAGCGCCAGTGGAAAGGTGACCCAGCACGACTGGCGCTACGGCCTCTCGCAGTTCTTGCACGGTGATAGTGCCCCGCCATTCAATCAGGAACTGCATCATTTTTTCTCTCATGCAGCGCACCGTTCTGTAAGCAGAGATGCCCGAGCCGAACAGACCAGTTAGCTTCCATTCAACCGGATACACAGTGTCGAGCACGGGCTCGGCGCTCGCGTCAATCTTGCCTCCTGTGCTTGTTCGATGCATATAGCGGGACTCGTTCCGCACAACGTCGTCGAGCCAATCGAACCACGATCGTCCGCAAACAGTCGAATTATGAAGGCCCTGCAACTTCCACGACAGTAGAAACATCGCGACTCGATAGCGCAATTCCTTCCTCACAGCGTCGCCACCCCACCACATATTATCTAGGAAAAGTTGCTTTTCGGTTCCATCATCTCGTCCGAAGCAAAACAGTTCATCCGGGGCTAGAAGGCACGCCGACACGAAGAAGCTGTAAAGAAAACCGCATACTCCGTAACTGTACAGGTAGGAAGGCTTCCCGTCTTGTCGGAGCTCTCCTGGAATTTCCTCCTTCTTGGTGGACGGGTTCAGGATGGGACGAATCGAGTGGTCCCTTCGCGATGTCAGGTCGTGCATGTACTGCAGCATCAGCCTATAGACGCACTCGTACACGCAAGACCGCCAAGCCTGAAACACTTCCGTGTGCTTTTTTGTCAACATCAAGCTTGATCCCTCTTTATCCACCGGTAAAATCATGGGCGGACACAGCCCACCTGCGTACCGGCTGCCCATTGCCTTCCTTCCTCCTGCGCAAAAGCGGTGCGCGTACAAAATGGACAGGGCGCCACGAAGAATTGGCTTTTGGACATCCTTCCACTGATTCGACGGAGTCCAAGGGTCCAGGAGAATGCCTGGCACGTCTTCCGCAGATTCACGCCCCCGCAGTAGCGAGCTCCCGCACAGCAGGTCCATATGATTGCTCAACGTTTTGCCGAGGACACTGGCCGCCTTGCGGGCCCTGATATTGCTTTCAGACCCGCAAACGACTCCCAGCAAATCTTGCACTACTAGCACCCCAAGTCTTTGACATCCTCCATGAGGACATAGGGCGTCAATCTCAAAGTCTGGATGCTCCCCGGAGAAGTACGCGAGGCGGGATGGTAGAGGCGCGCTGAGTATACCGGATGCGGATACGCTCTCAAAATGATCCACGCATATTTCGAAAAACTTGGTTAGCCACGCAAGCTTTGTCTGTTCAAACTGAATTGCCGTCAAAGCCGTTCCGGGAGTTATTATCGCTTTTCCGGACGGGCTTACAGAGTGTCGGTGCGGCCTACCACATTCGCACCTACTTAAGCCTCCTAATTCGTCCGAGAGCTTCTCCGCAATCTCAGTCCAACGTTCCCGGCCAATGTTTTCCTCCTCTACTGAGTCAAAAGCATCACGAAAATTCCTTGCCATTCCGTGAAGCTTCTTGATATTCCGCAACGTGTTTGGTTGACGGCTCGGGTCAAATCCGGTGTCCCGAACCTTGTTGAGGAGAGTCTTCGACGGACCGCGACCTTGCTGCGCTAACGCAACAAACTCAACTGCGAAAATGGATCCGAACTCTCTGAAAGCCCGCGCGCGGGGCGTTTTGCTCGATGTCGAAAAATGCTCCAAAAGGAAGTCGAAAAAGGCTACTGATCCCTTCTGCAGTCTGTGGTGAACGTCGCGGTCAGTCTGCTCAGTGTTGCCAGACAACTGGAGCTGCTCCTGCTCCACCACCTCTGTGTTACGATTAAGCTTTAGCTGGTCTCGCAGTGATTCCAGAATGTTTGTTTGCAGTTCCGCGTGCCGCTTTTCCACCAAAGCTACTTCCTTGCTTCTCCACCACACGCCTCGCATGTTATCCAAAAACTCGAACAGTTTTTTCAATGTGTCGGTTTGTGCCTTGGACCCAAAGTCCAGCTGCGCCGCGCGGCTTTCGAGCGCACAACTGTAGTAAAGCTCGAGGTCCATCACTGTTGCGTGTTCCTCGCATGTCTCTGTTCGCCGCCGAGTGAATCTACAGAACCTCTTCTCCTTCAGGAGAACCTGCTCAAGCAGTGCGATCGCGCCGCAGGCATCGTTTTCGGCAATCAAACTGTGGTACTTCTCCTCCACCTCAAGCATTTCAGCAACGAGTTTCTCTTGTCGTGCCTCCGCCCGTCTTTCGTATTCAGTGAGGAGCCGCTCGTACTCCTCTTTCTCCTCAGTGGCGAGCTCGATTTCCGCTCGCGGCCTCCACACTCGCGGCGTGCTTTGCGGTGTACTCGCGACCGTCGATGGCGCGGCGGTAGACACAGGTGAAAGCGAAGGCCCTTCGCCTTCGGCACTCTGCTTAATAAATGGGCACGCTTCGCCCGCACCGGCGCAAGTGGCGTCATCTGTCCCTTCATCGAAAACTTTGCTGATCGGCTCACAGCTGATTTCGTCCTCACGATTCATGTTGCGCGAGATCAGGAGCCACACATTCACGCGAACTTTGTGGTTGTGGACCGGCACCGGCTGCGTCGCCCTTTTTGGGTGCGTAAACTGGTGGTGTGATCCACGAGTCCGTGTGTGCTCATAACCCTTCTGTCGAAGGAACTTTTCAATGGTAGTGAACGGAATCATTTTCGTTTGCGTTATGATCGTCAAACCACCGCGAAAAAGTCACTCAGTAAAGGGAAAAACTAAATATGAAAAAAAGCAATCACACGTAGCCGATATCTTCAAATATGATATCTAAAAAGTCGATCATTTGTCATTCTCTCTATCTATCATGAATGTCTATCTAAACAAGCACACAAAGAAAAAAACCGTCGCTGTCTCACAGCAGAAAAGTCGAAAGATACTTGTTTTGAAGCTTCATGCTTCTCGTGCGTGTTATAGAACGAAAACATCAAGGCACCTAGGTTGCTGCTGCAATCGGGCGAAATGAAACTCGCTCTGTTATGATGGAGATTTCTTTTTTTTTACATCCTTTCTTTATGTTTGTTGTTCTTCGACCATGATCTTGCATCCGTTCGTCGCTAGATGTAGAAAGATGTAGACGCAGTAGAGGTTGCGCACATAGTTCATTCCAGACGAGTCATCTTCAACATTGATGGTTCATTCGACATGACAGAAGCCACACAATATGAAACGCACCAAAATTTCAGCGAAAGAGCTGGCTCTTCATTTTCAAGATTTGCGACCAGTGCTCTGACGGCGCAATCTGCAGGTAATTGCCGAGGTTGCGTTTCCGGTGCTTGTTACCGGTTTTTCGGGTCGGAGCTCCCTCCGCATCGGTTTCATCCGTTTCCTCTTCCTCCTCTGACGGGCTCTCATCCTCCACCGCCGCCTCCGCCAGAATTTCTGGCTGCAACCGCAGATCATTGTCCAGAATGGCAGCGAGATCCAGAGACAACTGTGGACCGGGGTTTTTCGCGGTCTTCTGCTGGTTACAGCGCCGAGAAAGGATTTTCAAAAGCTTCTCGCGGTTGAAAGCTTGCGGCTGCACCAGCTCGATGGTGTCATCGATCATGGGTGCCTTCACGTGCTCATCGAGCAAGTGGTCCACGCCGAGCGAAGGACTGGAATTCACCTCGATCAACCAGCACTGCAGGTTCGCATCGAACATCAGATCGTAACCGAAAACTGAAAGGTTTTGGTTTGTTTGTTCGAATCATTTGACTACACAACTTTGGCATACAACACAAGTGGGTCTGCATCCACTTCACAGTGATGTTTTACAGCACCGGAAATGGGTATGGAAAACGACACGACATATGAACAAAATTCCATACTTTCGAAGGCATTCCTGTTCTCCTCCATGTGGTCTTTGGCGACACACAGTGATTTCAGGATGCAGTCCTGGATCTTGTGCCACACGACGTCCCACTTGATGTGGATGCCCTCGAGGCGGTGTCGCAACGTTTTCAGGTCGATCTTCGTCCCGCCGAGTAGCGTGTCCCGCGTGCACTTCTGATTGTGCTCGTTCTGCCTCTGGATGCTGGTGTTTGTCAGGTGGATCAGCGTGGACAAATCTTCCAGCGTATACGGAACCGTCGCAAACCTCGCAAATCCCTCCTGGTACAGGTACGCGCACAACTCCGGTTGAAACGACGTGACCAGCACGTAGAGGCGCAAGTCCCACTTGTAGCCTTCTAAAAGTAACGGGTTCGACACATATTGCTGGATCACGGAGAGCTCGCCGTAACTGACGTCGCCTATGTCATCTAAAACGTAGATGCCTCGACCGCGCGAGCTCTTCGCTGGCTTCATGATCCAGTAATTGGGCTTCAGCCGCTGTTTCAGCAGCTGTTGCACGGATTTCTTCTCGAAGGGTGCTGCGCTTTTTTCATTTTCCTTCTCCACTTCGGCGGTCACTTGGTCCTTGATTTCGCGATTTTTCTCGTCGGTCGCCGCATACGTCTGGCAAAACGCGACGTACTCTTTCGGTAGGATGAAGGTCTGCGGCATGATGCGAAACGCGTTGGCGGCCTGGTTGCTGGCGCAGGTCTGCTTCGTGTAGCGCTCGATGTTTCGCTTCAGGCGGTCTTTCCTCGTCAAATGCTTGTTGCCGGGAAAGTGGTTCACCTTTTGCCAGACCAGCAGCTTACTGTAGTCGATCTTCGGCTGCGACCACGTCCAAAGCAGGTTCCACATGAAGTTGGAGATCGTGGTCCCCAGCCCGTGCTTCAGCTCCTCCCAGTCCTGCTTGCGGTTGAGTGACCGGGTCACGATGTCGTACACCTCCTGGCGGGACTCGATCACCTTGTAATACCGCGTGCTGTAGTCGTACTTTAAGCTCTTCGGAATGGAAGGCTTCGCTGAACTTGAATTGTTCCCGCCCTGGTCCGCATTCTGGTTTTGATCCTTTTCGAGCCCGCCGAGAAAGACGTCGAGCTGCAGGCTGCGCTGAATTCTGGTTGTCGGAATCCGCGCTTTTGCGCTCTGCAATTTCGCCGCGATAGTGCTAGAAGTGGACCGGCTGTTGGCATTGCTCCCGTTTTTCTGCTTATTACTCGGCGCAGTTGCTGCGGTGAGCTCGCTGAAATGGTCTCTGTACGCTTCCTGCAGTTCCCGCATCAGTCGCGGGTAATACTCTTCGTCCTTCGGTGCACGGTAGAAATGCGAAAAAATACCAAAAAAATTGCCGTGGTAGTCCTTCGCAATCTCACTTGCAGTCGCGGCAGCAACTTGCTCCGGCGTGAGATCAAGCGTGTCCAAACCTCTGCTTGCTGCACCCGCGGCACCACCTGCTCTGGCTGGCTTACTTTTCTGCTTGCTTGCAGAGGACGTCGATGCGTGGTGCTTTCCACCACTTGGCGGCGGTTCCGCGGGTGGGGACGATTGAACCCCCGTGCTTGGTGTGGTGGCATTGCGCTGCTGTGGTCTCGTCCCCGGAAGCCCTTTTCCTTCTTTTGTTTCCTCAGGACCAGTTCTTGCGGAATCCGGCGGCGGTGAGGAGTCAGAAACTTTTTTATTGCCAGCACTATCTGCACTATCTTCCGCTGGACGCGGACTCTTCGACGCTGTTGGAGATGCGGTTCTTTGCGTGTCTTGCTCTTGGTGCAGTGATGTGCTACTGCATGTTTTTCCACTACTAGTCTCTAGACCAGAGGTAGCGCTCCCTTTTTGAGTTAGTGACTGTGGTGCTTTTGAAGATGCATTCCCTTCTTGTGCCTGTTCCGCCGCGGCGTTCCGCGCCTTTTCCTCCTTCAGCATGGCCATAATTCGTGCGCGACGGCTTTTCGGACTTTCTCTGGCCCGATCCTGCCACTCCAGTTCGTGGGTCGAGTCTTTGCTGCTTTTCCCCGACACGTTCTCATCGTGGCTCTGATGCCCGCTTCCTGGCATGGTCGCCATTACCTCGAACAACCGATTGCTGGAGCTGTATTTCCGCAGCAGCGCGTCGCGATCGTCCTTGTGGTCATCCTCTTGGGCCGGCTTTATTTCTACTTGCATCTTAATCGAGGACTCCGCCAACAGTTCGGTTCTTTCCCCGGTGTTGGGATGAACGTCTTCAACAGTTTCCTCTCCACAAGGTTTTGCATCTTCAACGCTTGCTTTTTCCTCGCCGTGTTTACTCGATTCTTCTTCAGCACTGTTGGCACGGTCGACATGCTGCGGCACATGTTCTCTTTCATTTTCTACAGCTTGGTCGACGTTCAGATGAACCACACCAGTTTCATTCCGATGACCGACATCGATGTCGGGTGGAACCCGCTCCGTGGTGCCCTCATCGTTAACTACGGTGCCTGTGGTTGCACTAGACTCGTCCTCGCCTTCTTCCATGGTCGGATCGCAAGTGTCAGTCATGTCCTCTGCTGCTGTAGAATACATCACTTCCTCCTCCTTCAAGGTTTCCGGATCGGGCAAAAGTTCGTCTTCTTCATCTTGTCCACCGAGCGTGGCGGCGGCGTCGTCGTAGTAGGTCATGCCTTTTGTCTCGTCTGCTTCCTGGTCTGCTTCCTCGCCCATTTTCTGTCCATCCGCCGAAAAAGAACTTGCAGGCACATCACCGACTCCTTGTTCTTCTAGGGCCGCCCCTTCGCTGTCTCCTCTCGCATCAGCTGGAGGTCCTTCGTTTTGCATTTTCTGTGCGGCTGCTTTATCATTTTCGAGCGCTGTTAGCGATTCTAGATCTTCTTTTCCGGTTGTTTCCGATGATGCAGCATCTCGCTTCGTCGGCGCGATGGAAACTTCGTGCTGCGTCGTGGACGAAAGCAAAGAAGAACGACCGCGCGGACGAGCCGGAGGTTCTTTTGAACCTGCTCGTTTCGTTAGGTGCTGCTCAGCTATTGTGATGTTGCTTCTGGTCCGATTCGTGGCCTTTGCGTCCGCTGGATTGTTTCCCTGCGCGAAAGCAGAAGAGCCGGTACCACCGTGCGCTGAATTTGCGGCCGCAGGCCCCGGTGGTTTGCCACCTCGCGCGGCCGTAACAGTTCCTACAGCCCGGCCTGTGACACCCGCAGTGGCGGCTCCCTTCTTCCCACGGCACTTTGAAGATGCTGGCACACCACCTCCAGTCGTGGCTGCAGAGTTGCCCTTGCCTGATGTCCCCGCACTGCTGGAATTGGTCATGCGAGTCGAGGAAACTGGTGCCGGGTCGATTTCTGCTAGAATCGCGCCCTTCTTCATTCCTTTCCCCGCTTTCCCGGCAGTGCCACCTCCTGTCGTCGCGGGAGAGGCCATTGCGACCGGTCTTTTTTTCAGGTTGGTGGGCTGCTGTACCGAACTACTTGCGATGACGAAACCAGCGCCAGCGGCGCCGCCGGGCACCGGCGTCGGTCGGAACGGTTGAGCACCTTTCCCCTTTCCTTTACCCAACTTGCCCTTATGATTCGCAGGATGGACTGGGGGGCCCTCGACCGTCGCAGTCCCAATTTTCTCTATTTGCGCCGCCGCAGGCGGAGATTTTATTTCCCCTTTCGCTTTCCTTGCTTTCGGAGACACGGAATGCTCCGCACCTCCTGTTGGCGACCATGCATCGCCCAGCCGCGGCGAACTTGCCTGTCCAGGGCTGCCGGGCAGTGGCGGAAGCGTAGTTTGCTCTTCCCTGCGTCGCGGCTTGTTGCGCGAAGACTCTGGGTAGAGCGAGGACGTGGACACAAAAGATCGTACCACCGGCCGCTCCACCGCGAGGTGTTCCCCATTTTGGTGTGACGGACTCGAACTTGAAACTTCGTCAAAACTGATGCTGCGTTTCGTCACCGGAAACGGTTCTGCGATTGTATGAGGATGCTGAGCTACTTGAGCATTTGTTGCATGCGACGATCCACTACCGTCGACGAGAATACCCGGGCTATCTGCTCGCCCCTGCAAGGCATTTTGCAACTCCTCTCCGAGCCGCCTTTCTTCGAGCTCGATTTCGATTTGCCGTTTCAGCCGAAGTCTGTGTTCGTTCTGGTCGTCCGGTACAATCTGCGCCAGAAGTTCGCGTATCAACTGTAAAAATGTCATCTGGGTCTGGAAGGTCACAACCTGTGATGCTGTCTGTGGATTCTATAAAAAATTTGCATTGCATGACCAGCAAGAGGGGTCGGGTTTATCCTACGCGGAGAGGGCATTTCTCATGCGGTAGAGGTATCACAAAGCCCTCTCAAAATCTAATCTGTGATGCTGCGGCATGCATTACAGCCATCATGGCTCATGGAAAATATGCACGACAAATGAAATCTTCCAGACCCGGACATTTTTGCATGTGATATCACGCAGCTCCGTCGTGGTTTGATCGTAGATGTCAACGTCGCAGACCTGATCCTCATCATCGCTCTCGTCGTCGTCTTCGACAATCTCCCGCACGGGCCGGTAGGCCGTTGTCATGTTGGCCACGAGGAAAGCCAACGCGAGGACCTGCTACAAGAACTGCAGCTTCACAAATCACAGGGCGCGCAATAGTAAACTGTGGAAAACAATGCCGACATGCAGATATGAGGGCAATTCCAGATCCAGTTGTGTATGTTGCTTTCGTTTCGTTCCTTCCATGTGGTATCCCTAAACCCGAGCGGCCCGTTGGACCGCGCCGTTGGGGCTGGGTAAAGCGTCCTGGGCCTACCTCCCAAAACCGAGGCCCAGCACGCCTCACCACCACCTTGCCAAACAGGGCAAGACCCCTCAGAACCCCACAGCAGGTGGTTGAATGAGGGGAGACCCAGCCCCGCCCCAATTGCCCTCGGCAAGGCCCTACGCCGAAGTGGAACAAACGAAATCCCAAAGCGAGGGACAAGTAGACACGGGAAGAAACCCAAACAAAACCGCCAGTGGTAGAAGTGGGAACACTGTTTTCTGAGTGGGATCACATGACAAGCCTGGGCCCGCGAAGCAGTAAATCGCATACCCAAAGGTGGAAAATGTATTTGAAGAAGAGACGTCATACCGTCCAGAAACATCTGCACACTGAGTCCACAGGCGGATCTCAAAACAAAAGGGTACAGGGCAAGCGCAAAAAACATCGCGGAGTGGCTCAAACTTGAGCCAGCAACTCCTCAGCCGGAATAGAATCCAGCAGCTCACAAGGATCTTCAAGCGGGGTCGCCACCGTGGTCAGGAACCTCTGAATCTCATCCCCCAAAGCGACACAGGAATGAAGCTGCACCCTAGCCACCCGACAGAACTGCGCCCAAAGTGCATCGCGGGTAGTCGCGTCAGCAACATTTTCCCCGGAGGGGAGCCACTCGAAGTACGGCACTATGGCAAAACGGGCACACAAACTCCAAAATAAAGCCGCTACCACCGACAGGTGAGCGCGCTCGCCCGATCGACTCCGCAAAACCCCCACCGCAGTGGTGTTGTCCAGAAAGAATACGACCCGCTTGTGCGACAAGGTCGGGCCCCAGAGCATCAACAGAATGACCGGTGTAAAACTCTCCAACACGTTGATCGGGAAAGACCCCCAAGAGGCGGATGGAAAATTATCCGCCCGCGAGACCGGGTGGCGGAACGCCTGGAAGGCACCCTCCTGCAGAAGACGGACCCCGCCGAGAATACCTCGCCCCCGCTTCCAACTCGCGTCCGAGTAGCACACCTCCACCGGGAGGCCCACTCGTAAGAAGGAAATCGGAGGAAGGACCGGGAGGCAGGCCGCCATGAAGCGTAAGCTCGCCGCACAACCGGAACCCAAGGGAAGGCAGGTGGCGCGAGAATGAAACAAACCTCCACGCCGAAAGACCGGCTTCAGCAAGCCATTTAGACGCCGGCCCACCAGCAGTGAGAAGGGGAAAAGGAACTTCCCGGAAAGGGTGGAAGCCCGCGCGGGACTGAGCTCCCCCGCCCCCAAGACTTCAACCAGGGCCGCCCGAAGGGTGGCGCGCTTCACTTCCGACAACTGCATCGTGGGAGGCGATTGCGACACGTCAAAATCCAAGCCCAAAACCCGCAAAGCGGTGCGCCCCCACTTGACCTTCTTCGGCTTCCAAGGAAAACCCAAAACCTCCAACATGTACACAATGGCGCGCATCAGGAGACGGCGAACCCTGCGGGGCGCCGTGCCGGTCATATCATCTATATAGATGATCAAGGCCACGCAGAAAAGCCACCGAACGCAGAAGGCCAGAAACTGCCCAACAATCAACCACTCCGTAACGGAGTGAATGTTCCCAAACAGGAGCGTGAGGCCGCGGAAGGCTTTGTAGGCCTTCGCCTTGGGGTCGAAAACCCCGATCCAGTTCGTCGCGCTCCCCGCCTTCGAAATGCTTACATTCTTGTAAGCGTTGGCAATGTCGATAACCCACTGGCAGAGCCCCGCACCCTCAGGGTCCGCACCATCCTCCGCTGCGTCGAAGTTCGGTATGTGGTCCAAAGCCGCCCAAGCAACCTCCCGCCAGCCCGGGTCGGACGGGCGGGCATCCGGGAAAGGATCAAAATCATACTCTTCACAGGCCAGGGGGTCTGCCCGGTTGCCCCCTTGGTCAAACACCCGCAAATCCCGCCAGAAGTCAACCCGCGGCGGGCCGCCTTCTTCTAGTAAAATCGCCGAGCTCGAAGCAAGGGCGAGAGCATGATGAACCGACGGAATCGGCATCGACGACGAGATGTCGGAGCAAACATTCAAAGGCACACCATTGTCGCAGAGGCGGATCTTGTCCGCCTCATGGTGTGCAAAACGAGTCAGAAGGATGCGCGCCCCCTTTTCCCAAGCTTCGTCCAGGGTAAAAGGACCCTGGAGCCAGCCGTCCTCGGTTTCTTGGATTGTAGTATCCCAGCAGTGCTTGACATCTTCACCCGGCATCCACGATGAGCTGCGCTGCCGCAGGCGCGAAATATTTTCCGCACCCTCAACCGAGGCTGCTAGGTCCCCCGAACCGGAGCCGGTAGTTGGGGCCGGGGGCAAACGTCCACCCTCCGACGCCTTCATGAGTTTCGACGGCCAAAAGTCTTGAGCCGCAGTGGGGCCGACCGATTCCCCCCCGGAAGCTAAAACCCGCCATACATGCGAGAAACCCGAAAAAGCAGACTCTCTGCCAATCTTCTCAATAACCCCGAAGTTGAACTTCGACCGGATTGGCCTGGTATCCTTCCAACCACCTGCCAAGACCTGCTCCGAGCGAGAGACGGTCGCTGGGTCCGCCCGGGCACAGGCCAGCCAGTAAACGCCCGCCAGAATCCGGTCCGAGAAATCCCCAAAGGACGAGCTGTGGCCTTCGCGCAGGCACTGTTCGTTGTGCCGCGAGATCAGTCGCCGACCCGAAAAGGCCGGGTGGCTCCTGTCCTGCGACAAACCTGGTAGAAACCTGTCCCGGTCCCGCTGGACCCGAGAGAGAAAGGCAGAAACCTTGTCAGCCGGCGAGGACTCCATTCTGATGCTGCACTACGCTGGCGAGCGCGACTCTGTGAAACGGAAGTAAAATTCTCCCTCAAAGGAAAAAGGCGAAACCGTCGCTCGCGACGGTTCCACAGTAGAGTGTGGGGGGTGGGCCCAGATAGCACCCACACCCTGTGGTGTAAGCGACAAGAGAAAAACCACCAGAATGTGAAAAACAAGAAAAGCGAGTGTACTAAGTAGCCAACCTGGGCGCGGTCTCGTGTCAGCACGGGAACTGAGGGGTGAGAAGAGCATGAGCATAACGATCACAAAGTACCGCGCCGCCAAGGAGGTGAGTTTGCAAGGGTAACGGATTGGTTACCGCCAGTGCCAAACAACCCTCATCCCCGTGGCAACACGAGACCGACCGCTGAGCATGTCTATGCTACACAATGAAAGACAACCCACGGGGGGTGAAGAGCCACTCTCCTCTCGACCGAAGGTTAACAGCTCACAAACACCTCGTGAGCACAACTACCACTCCGATCTCGGAATCTAACCGGCATCTACACCTAATCAACAGAGACGGAATGCAGGGAGCAATGTAGACCGAGGGCAACAAAGGGAACACCCCGCGAGCCTGGCCACGCCAGACCGCGAAATAAGTACCAGGCCAAGGGGGCCCGGAACGTTTCTAATTTCCACTCACAACAATCACACTCACATCTTGTTCTCACAACAGAGCAAAGCTTTCGCTAGGAGCTAAAATCCAAGAGCAACCAGGCCAGCATGGATTTGTTCATGTAGGAGTAGTAAAAAGCAACACGCCGACGGACCCACTTGGCCGAAGGCGAGGGCCAACCTCTAAAACTAAACTGCACATGCTGCAGTGCCTACTTCGGAGGCGCTTGCGCGTCCCCTCTCAAATCTTTTATCACAAAGGGAGACCGCAACACGTGCGGGAATCTGCAGCTGCTTCCGCGATTACAGCGGCCACGAAGAAAGTCGTGGCAAACAATCCCCACGTTGGAAGTAGTAGCCAAAATTTCTTCACCTCTCACCGGATCCCAGACCTTAGGGATTCCGGAGGAAGAAGCACGCCCGGGCGGGGCAGGACCCGGACCCGGGGGACGTGGAGCGAGTTGTTTAGGCGGTGCCGGGATCTGTAAAGAGCGAATCTGCCCAACGACACGGGCCCCGAAGCCCTGTGTGCCCCCGCGCACTTCGCCGTTCAGGATATCGCGGTACTGAGCCGGATCCAGCCGGCGCGACTCCCCCAGGGCAGTCAAATCATGAAACTCCGCCTCTGAAACCAGGTCGGAGTTCCGGAGCACTTTATGTGTGTTGCGAATCAGCATAACGTTAGTGGTAGGCGACCCCTTTTCGGCTTTGTAGTAGGACGCCAGATCCTCGAGCGGCAACCTAGCATCAATCTTCGCTCGTACCCCGTAAGCCTGTTCAGTGAAATGGTCTGCAAAGAAAATCCCGAAGCGAGTCGTCTGCGCGGTTCTATGTTTAGGCGCGGACGACAAAATCATCTTCACTTCGGCCCGCTCCGAAGCATTGAGGGCCTTGATGCCCTTAAGCGCCTTGATCTCCACGCTACTGCAGATGTGGAGCGACCTAACACCGTTGTAGTCCAGCACAGCTCGTGCCAGGCTCTCCGCGGGCACATCTACCGAGGACAGCGAATCAAGTGGGGAAGGCTCCCGCTGGTGCGCTAATAATTCGGATCGCGAGATCCCAAAGGCCTCGACCTCACTGTCACTAAAATCTTGCACGGCCTTCCGCTTCTTCACCGGGGGCGGGCCCTTGCGGGCCGGACCCGCCTCGCCCTCTTCCTCCGCGAGAAGAGCAGCGCAAATCTCATCTTCTTCAACTTCGGGGGCCGCCATCGGCGGGGCTTTCACTTTCGCAAACGGTTTAGCGACCGCCTTAACCGCTTTCGCCTTGTGGGGCGGCGCCTTCCCCTTGGGCTTGGCCGGAGCTTTAGCTTTGGCCGGGTGCTTCGCCTTTGCTTTTGCTTTCGCGGGCATCTTGTATCTGAACCTAAAAGCGATGCTCAATGTGAGTGTGAATGTGAACTAAGTGGCAAGATACACTTGCTCGTATCTAACGTGGTCCCCTGTACGTGGAAAATAAGCGAGAAGAAACCGGTCTGAACCCAAAGTGGGAGGGGGGGGGAGGGCCCAGATCCCATTTACAAGCAGCGTCTCCTGCTGCGATCAAAGATTTTCCCATACCGACCTAAACATACTCAACCACTCGCATTTCGTATCTGTCAAGAAAAATCGGGCTAGCCCTGGGCTCAAGATCTGACAGATTTTAGATTTGGGACCAACAAATTTATGTAGCAACAATTTCCGAGCGACTCGTGCACGAAATAGAACAGACCGCCACTGGACAAAAGTGAAGCAAATATATTTCTGCGCTATGCGGACTCTGGTTTTTTAGAAAACGATTTGGAAGTTTCCAGCTGTGCAGTGCCTGTAGCTCGAGCTGAAACATAATGCACCAGGCGTTCACTCCAGGTCGTCCTCCTCCGGAGACCAGCAGCATAGAAGCTGCTGCTCCTGGTCAGAGAATCGCGCAAAGTCATCACTGTATTCGAAAAAGGACAGGCTCCTAGCCTGAAGAGACCAGCCCTGCCTATTGGAGACCACCGCCACAAGCTTTTGCCGAGCTTTGGCGGCTTTCTTCCTATTCCATGCTAAGCGCGACGTGATCGCACACGTACGACGTGGCCCATGGCCACTCGTCTCGGCTAGCCTACAGGCAGACATGAACTCGCACTTCGATATCGGAAACAACGTGGCCCAGTTCTCAACTGAGCACACCGGGCAAACATTCACCCGGCTCTTCTTACACATGCAGAGCACCTCCATGCGGCGTAGCTGCGAGGTTTTGTCCTTGCGGACCATCAAAGCTGCTGACCGGGTCACACCTCCCTGCCTACGCAGGAAGACCTGCGAGCGGCTAATCGCCGTCAGGGTGTCGCCACGGATCCCTAGCGCCGAGGCCACTACTAAAATTTCTTTCTCCCGCTGTGTCATACGGCCCAGGGAAGCCAAAAAGATGGGCGTTGCCTTCTTCGGTTGAAGGTTCTGCGATTTCAAGTACCGGCCGATTGCCCGCTGCAGACCGAGGAGCTGCCGGGGGAATAAAATGTTTTTAATTCTTCCCGCCTCCCCTTCTAGCGTCACTGCTGAAGACAGGTAACCCGCCGCAGAGGTAAACCCCTGGGCCAAAAGAAAAGCGGCAAACTGTCGAAAATCCGCAATCCCAACTTCCCGGGCCTGCTCCAGGCCTTTCTGCACTTTGAACGCCTGCCATGCTCTTGCGTGAGAAGATTGCGGAGAACGTGTCCCGAAGACACTGGGCGCTGGCCCTCTAAATGAATACGTATGCGGGCGGCCCCGAGCCATGTTTGCAATCAAAGTTGTGATAGACAAGGTAAGACAAATCCACACATCGCCCTAACGGCACCTACTGAGACTTAGATCTGGAAAGGAACGGACCACTATCTGCCCTCAAAAGCACTACAGCAGCCTGGTAGTAGAAGAGAAAGAGAGAAAGGTTGACTTGGCGCGGGGCCTCAGAAGCGACCTAGCTACCCGAGCCCTACATCTAACATTCCGCACACTGTCGGATCCAATTTCCGATCTAACACTCTGAGCGCGTATCCTTTGTTTTTGAAGACCTTCCTTCATTTGAGCAAAAATAAACAGAGCCTCAAGCTCTTCAAAGACAAGTACTCACCTGCCGCGCAGTTGAAGCATGAGTATCAGAAAACTTCCATGTCTCTACGAAGACATGGATTGAAAAAGAAATCGTAGCAACCTGCTGTGGCCTTGCTGGCCCTAACTCACAATGGCTTTCGCGCCCACGCTAAACTGCCCCCGCTGGGGCCACCCTCTATGGTGAGAAAAAAGGAATAAACTCCCCCCGCTGGGGGATGCCCTCACTGGCGCCACCTACTTCGGTGTAGAACAAAAGGGCAAAAATTCACCTAAACCTACGTCCCCCAGACGCACATATCGATGACTCTACATCGCTCCTCCCCACTCTAGGGGAGGAGATCGCAAACGTGCAATAGCTTCTACGGATCTGCCAGCCGATATAGTGCGAACGGGGGACCCCAAATCCCAGTTACTACACGAAAAGGATCTACCGAGGTAGATATGTCATTAAAAAATTGAAACTGTATATATGAGTAATTCTTGATCAAATTCATGCGAGCGCTTTCTCGCTGCGTCGCTATCTTCATGACCTTCACGAAGATTTATAATGAGGCGAGGGCGAAAAGCTAAACGAGAAAAAAAGTCAAAGGAACAGGAGACAGACAGCACTTCCTCTATTTTTTTCCGCGTTACGTTGACGCCTCACGTCGGCCGTTTTGCTCAACTCGACCTCGCAGCAGCGCCTGCCTCTCCTTCATTTATCTCGTCGCTTTACTACGAAGAAAAGTTTAAGTTGAAGCTACTCGGCAGCTCGATATTATTCTCTCAGGGCTCGAAGCAGCCAGGGGAAAAAGACATCCCCGCAAAGAAAAGGCATCGACATCTTTCATTAAAGGTACACCTACACGTATAGGCCTACCGGCGGCAACCTAGCACTACGTATCTTCGGCGAAAAAAGTCGCATCAGCTTCACCGTCACCTTTTTCTTACTCTCCGCCTGCTTGGCTACAAGAGCCGGGTTTTGAATTTATGAGTACTCCTCTCGTGTAGTCTTTGCTCGTCGAACTCATGAAGCGCCCCTATAATTCATCACATGGATTTTTTTTTAGCCGCATCCACTCAGCAGCAAGTAAGTCCTGGCACTTTCAGTTGTTTTTCAGCTGTAACACTAGAACGCACACGATAAAAATGAAAGAGGCGACGCGTTTGGTACTAAATAAAGCTGCAGTAACGACAACGATTCACAGCGAAAGAACGACGAAAATTAATGACGACCTCGGCGAGGTTTCTACTTCTGCTTCTATCTACTCAAAATAACCAAACTCTTTTCTAGCGGATTTTTCATGTGCGAAATTGTCGAAAGCGGGAAAGAACAATACGGTAGTCTTTTACAGAAGATTATCATCAAGATATTATTTTCGTGTTCGTCGCTCTCATGGTCATACAGTCTTTGTTTCCTTTGCAATTGGCGCACGAGAATGGGCTGTGTATTTCAAACAGACAAAGTTATGCGCATATGATTGTTCTCCGGCTTTTCCAGCAATCAAGCCTGGAATGGTGTCAACACTAATCATTAAACTTTTACTTTCTTCCTTAGAAGGGTCAACTGTACTTTTACTTTAATCTGTGTTCTCTACTGAATGTCAATCCAGAGCATTTTATTGCGTCAGAAGTGGATGAAGGTTGATTTCTTGTTAGCGTGAAAACTATTGTGGGAGCTGCAAAAACTGCCATGAGTCATGCAGACCTATGCTGGCCTGGTGGCCTTATCACCTCCTGCGGACCTACTAACTTCTCAAGCGACGCTGCCAAGATTTTCGTCAGGCACTCCGGAATGCCTGCTGCCCTGCGTGTTTGTACTGGCTGTCCCCTGTGTATCCGGGTCGGGGGGTATGAACTTCCAGAAAACTATTACGGCCGGCGCTTGCAGAAAAGAGGTGTGCTTCTCCTCCTGTGCGTACTTGTTGGAACAAGGGCATTAGCGCTAATGCTAAACAATCAGCTACAGAAAGTCACTATGCGTAACACGCAACGATTGCCCATGGGCGAGGACGACTGCTGTTGAGTGGTGGTAGCTAGTGAATCTACTTATCCATCCAACCGAAATCCACCGACGTAATCATACGTCTTTCGCTGAAGTAGAACAAGTCCTTTTACTACAACACGCCACCCGTTTTTTGTTCCCATCAGGTACTTGTGCGCGTGGGCACCGTTTCTATATTGAACGCATCCGCCGCATTATCGCCTTTGTAACTGCTCGAGTCTTCGTCTATCCCGACTGCGTTCCCCGTTGCTCCAGGCGACGAGTTCAGGAGCGTTGCTTGGCCGCCGCCAAGGCGCGCCGTGCTACTTCGTTCCTCTGCTAGACTACCACCCCCTGGCTGCAATGCCGACCGGTCGAGTGGGTCCGGGAGCGGGTGCGTGCCGGGTTTCTGCGGCTTCAGCTCGATGTAGCTGAGATTCTTCCGCTCGTGGTACATCTGGACGTGCAGCGGTGTGGGGAAGAAGAGCATGTTTGCGCCCTCGATGAGGAAATCCGGCAAAAGACAGACCATCACCGCACCGAAGGTGACTATCCACCCGGAAGCCGACCCGTAGATCGCGGACATCATGTCGTATACGTTCCACTGGAAAATCTGCGCGAACCATTCCGTCTGCGTCATGAAAGCCAAACACGCGAAGTAGAAGAAGAGGTTGAAGATCAAGATCCCGAGGGAAAGCTTGATCCATTTCGTCGTGATAACCAGCAGTCTCAGGTTGACTACAATCACCATGCAGCTGAACATAAGCACGGAGCACCACCAGAATCCGCCGACGACACCGGTGCTGTCGTAGGCGGTGGAGCCGTAGCCAAAGAAGGGAATGACGAAGCAGACAAACCCGTGGTACATGGCGAGAAACACCCACTGGCCGAACACACGGGCGTTGAAGAACACGCGGTGCGGCCCGGCTTGGTACAAATACGGGTTGGCCCGGGCAACCGCACCGCTCACGTCCCCGTCGAAAGAAAATGAGAAGATGGAGGCAAAACTCGTCCACAGGCCGTTGTAGCAGGTGGAAAACCAAGTCGGAAAAATGACTTGCCCGCTGTAACCCGCAAACGCCGTCCAATACGCGTCGCACATCGTCAAAGCGATGTTCTGCAAAGCAAATAGAAATTATATTTTTGTCGGGTTGTATAAACTAACTAAATACGTACTAAATACGTGATGCTGCATGTGTGCTAAATACGTGACTTGGTTTTTTTTGTTTGTGTACTAAATACGTGATGCTGCATGCTGTCATGCAAGTCAGGAAATAAAACGTGCTCTTGAACAACATGCGATAGAGCTCATGTAGTTGCAACATCACCGATCAAAACTCCATCAACATCTCTACGGTAAAAATAAGTACCTTGTAGAAGTAGTAGCACATAAATGTCGCTACTCGTCGATACGCTCCCCTGCCGTGGTCGAGAATCAGTGGCTCTAGAAAGCGGAACTGTGAGATGGCGAAATCACTTGCCTGCACGGCTTGGGTGCCTTCTACGCCACGGATTCCCACACCGACGTGAGCTTCCTGAATCATCGCAACATCGTTGGCGCCGTCACCTTGAAAAAAAAAGACATGATGGGAAATAAACGACGTCTTCGATAGCTTGTACAAAACTGTTCACAAAAAACGCGGACGCTAATGCAAGATTCTGATTCGGTGAGAAAGAGAAAGACAAGAACATGCGGGAATGGGAACTGCAACTAACAAGCACTCCAATACTACAGGCGTCTACACTATTTCAGAGCAGGATCTAACCAAGCGCCGGCTACAACGAGCTAAATTGATACCGATGCTCAGCGTGATAACTTCTGGCAAATTTTGTCGGATCACCTTGACGACAAAGGCTTTCTGCTTGGGTGCTACTCGGCAGCAAATCACGGCTTTCGCCGCCATGACCACCCGGAAAAAGAGCTTGATGAGCGCGACATCGCCCGACCCGGTAATCGCGGTCATCGTATCTCCGTCAAGTGCAAGGCCCACGCTTGCTCCGGCGGTGGATACTTGGAGCACATCCGTCAGGGCTTCCTCGATCTTTTTGACCTAAAAAGCGGTACTCACGACAGTATTTCTTATCTACGTATACATTTTGCGATGCCGATCGTGTAGTTCAAGTTCTTCATGGTGATTACATCTTCACGGCGAGCAAGAAATACGTGAGTCGACTTCGCCTCCAAGATTGATTTCTACTGTTCGCGTCCAAGACAAACGCTTGAGCGTCTCTCTGTGTTGTTGTTCACACAGTCACCAAAAAAGAAACAGTACTGAGTACCTGATCCAGCCCGGTCAACTTTTTGATCACCATTGATTTGTCCAACAATCGACAGCTGAAACCTATGTCAATAGCGGTCTCCACTTTGTCGCCCGTGAGTACCCAAACACGAATCTGTGCGGAACGCAGCGTTGCGATGGCCTCCGGGACCCCTTCCTGCAGCATGTCTTCCACGGCCGTGATGCCTACGTACTGCAGCTCTGTTTCGACTTCCGCCGCGCAAGCCGCTATCAGCTTCTCCTTGTTGTCTAGCGCGATGCTGGCCTTGTGAAACCGGTCTGCCCACCCGTCGTACCACGCGGAGCCGCCGGCTTCTTCGGCGTCGGGCCGCAGGTCCTTCAGGGTCTTTTTCGCGCACACCAAGGTTCGCAGACCCTCGCTCGCAAACGCCACGAGCTGGTCGTGCGTCACCGGATCTATGTTTATGTTCGTGCGTGTCTTCTCCACGCCGGGCCGCGACGCTCCGACGGTGTCGCCGGCCTTGTTTCGGGATTCCAACAAAGGTAGTACCGTCATGTCCGCGCCTTTGGTCATGATCTCTATCTTCTGCTCGGTTTTGTTTTCTACTATCACGGACATGCGCTTGCGATCGCTGTCAAACTCCAGCACCCCGTGCACCTTGTACTCCCGTATTGCGCCGTCCGCAAGTTCCACGGTCAGTTCGCCGTTTAGCGACTTCGTAAGCCTTACGCCAGCCGCAGCGGCGCCCTGCACAAGCGCAACTTCATCAGGGCTGCTGCCCTGGTACTTGCCGCTCTCTGGGTCGATCACCACGGCGTGGCAAACAGAAAGTAGAAGGAAATAGTCGAGCGCCGCCTTGTTTCCTGTTTGATGTTGTAATACATCCGATGAACATCGACTGCAAAGTCAAAAATTTAAAAGAAAACGCACGGCACCATGAAGAAAAATCATTTTCGGAAGCTAAAAATTACGACTTTGCGTGAGAGCTACAAAAACTTCGCGTTTGCGGCCCAGCATACGCTCGTGTTTCATTTGAATAACGGCGGTATACTCAATTTATAAAATTAACTGAAAAAATCGATTACACTTCGCCACTATCCGCTCGTGATTCCATTTTCCATTCTAAAAATATTAAAAAAAAGATCTTTCAGAAATGATCGAAAACGCACGGTACCCTAATTTACCACAAATACACTTCGTACTTGTCAAGCCTACGCTACGCTTTCAACTGGATCGCGTCGTAATTAGGTATAGTTGCATCCCAATACACGAAAATACCTTTTTCGAAAATGTCTTTGTAGGGCTCTTCGTCGCCGACGATTCCGTATACAACTGATGGTTTTGCAACTCCTGCACCAGCCACAACCGCGTTCTCGTCTTCCGCGGCGGCTAGTCTTTTCCGTGCCTCTTCCAGCGCCTGGTTCGTTGGTGGTCCGTACACTTTCCCCTCTACGCTTCCGCGCACGTACTCCATTTTGTTGCAGGTGAGCGTGCCCGTTTTGTCTGAAAACACAATCTCCACCTGCCCGAGTTCCTCCATCAGGTCCGAGTTACGGCACAGCGCGTCGCCCGTCTCGTGCTTCATGGACTCGTCTGTCGTCACGAAATAGGCCAAAATCAACTTCGTGACCTCCATATCAAATGTAAAAATGTCTGGGTCTGGAAGAATGCAAGATTTGTGATGCAGGTTTTCCATGACGCATGAGGTCTCGAATGCGAGATCCAGCATGACAGATTCTCTGAGGTCTCTATCACGCCTTTCCTGCATGAGAAACTCCCTCTCAACTTGGTCAAAAGCGGACAGCTTTTGGCACTCACGCAACACAGATTTTTGCATCATTCAGATTTAGCATGACAAGTTCTAATCTTCCAGACCCAGACATTTTTACATTTGATACTCCAACGCGACGTACAAACTCATCGGAATCAAGTGCGAAAACGTCACGATGAAAACGCCAACCTGAAGTAGACCGTGATTTCGATTTCGTAATTCGAAAAAACACATGAAATCTTCGAAGTTGACTTTGTGCAAGTGGTCGTGGATCCTCTTCCTGCAGAGCCAACATTGATTTCTTAGTCTTTGCATTGAAGCACGACAATATAATCCTACTCATACTCCAACAAAAGTATGAGACCATCCAATCGTTCTTGAGTTGCAGCAATGAATTACGTCTACGGTTACGAAAAGGTGGAACCTTTATAACGAATCCGTAGAAGGACGTGTCAAATTCTCCCTTCCCGTCGGTGTCTTTAATCTGGAGGTAGTCCGCTCCGGAGTCTTTGTACTTGCTTTCCCAGGCCATGGCGCAGATTGCGCAGGCGACGACTGTGATGAAGAGGATAAGGAACAGCCCGTAGAGGAGTTTGTTCAACACATGCTGCATATTGGGCATCTTCGCGGGGGCCTCACGACTGTTCAGCATTGCCTTGGTGTCCCCGCCGGTGTAGACCGCAAGGCCGAACACACTGTCCGTGTTGCGGAGCGTGCAACCGCGGAAGATGATGTTGTCCAAGTTCAGTGGCGTGCTGGGCCTCTCGCCTACTTTGAAGCTTCCCTTGAAAACTGTCATGTTCTCGTGCGGGGGCTCAACAAGAACCTGTCGTTGGAATGCAACGCGTTGAATGACAAGAGAGTTGAGTGAGCGCTACACAGAAACAAAAAAATACGACTTCTAACTACGAGTAGTCGTGTCAAAAAACGAAATGGCAATTTGCGTTTTTTTCCTTGCTTTAAAGAAGAGAAACAACGCACCGCAATGAAACTGAACTCAAAACTAACCGCGCACCGCCAATTTTTGCAGGTCGTGGCTCGTCTCCGTCATTTCTGCTAAGTCTGGTGGCGCGAGCTTCAACTTCAGATTTGTTTCGCCGTCCAGATTTTTGGTGTCAATGTAGCAGTGCCCGCCACCATGGGAGGTGGACATCAGCACCAAATCGACGGGCACGCCCTCGTCCTTTTTCACTTTCACGATATCGTGCGCTTTCACCTCCGCCCACGCCATCAATTTCCAGGTTCCGTTCTTTTGCAGTACCTCGGTTTGTCGCTCATTCTCCTTCTTGTCGGACTTTTCACGCTGGTAGTCTTCGTATCGATCTTTAGCCGCGGTCCAACAGAGCACGAAAAGAAACGTGAGTACCTGGTGGTGGTTTCGCTTTGCTTTCAGAAGTGAAGAAAGCCTGGGTGACAAAGTCATGTACGTAGTACAGCTAATACCTCTGTGTTGTATCTACTTTCTAAAATCGAAATCTATCGTTACTGTTGGCGCCGGCATCTTCGGGGAGAATGGCATCATCTGCAAAACACAGATGATTGCGAAGTAGATGTTCGCGGACCGTCGAAACTGGAAATACACCGAATGCGGCAGCCACAGAGCGATGTAGCTCGAAAAGCGCTGCGTGCGAATCCGATTGTCCTCCTTGTAGGGGAGCGGCTCCTTCTCGTTGAACTGAGACGATATCCTTGGTCGCATATTTCGCCCGTGCGTTTCTTTTGGCTTCAGCCAACCGACAGATTCCCGCACACTTCTTGACAACCTTGAGGGTAACGGATCTTTGTGTTCCAGGTAGTCCGCGACCGTTTCCTCTTTCTGCGGCCCGAGTCCCAAACTAGACGCGACCGCGCCGGACACGCTGGCGCGTGACGAAGCCGTTTTTTCCAAGAAGCTCGTGCGCCGCGGTGTCATCTCGGCAGACGACGTGGGGTCGTGATGATCCCCAGGCGTCGAGACCGAAAGGTGCGAAGACATTTTCGTAGTAAGTTGTACAACTATGTGACCTGAAAATTCGCTCCGGCAGTCTGCAACCAGAGGCGGGCAACAAGAGGCCCACACAACCACAAGGTCGCGCTACCAAAGGCGGCCTTCACGGAGCAGGTCGGGGTGGTCGTAGGCCTCTGCACACCGGGGACCAGCCGCTACCGTTTCTTGGTTCAAGACCAACCTGCTTCTGTCATGATCTGCGAGGAGAGTCATTCGCAACAAGATCAACAGAAGCAGCTAAGCAGTGGAAGATAATCATGGTAGCTCAACTTTATTCCCGGATAGTGATACTACCGATAGGTACGAGTCACAGGATCTTACATCAATCGCTTTATTGCCAAGAACCGCGCCTTCCACTTCATCACAATAGCACAATAGCGGTGATAGTTCTTGCATGTGCGTCACCTCAGTTGCGTCGAATCACGACAAACATAAAAAACCTAAACCACATTTCTCTACGTACTACAAAGGTAAGTAAACTCTAACTGGATGGAGGGACCGACTCCTTCCCTCCTTGTCAGAAGAAAAAAAAACGACGGATGTTGCAGCCGAGGTTCATTCCGATCGTTTTTCTTTTTGTTCGTAATCAAGCAAAAAAAGACTAACCAAAACAGATTCTGATGCCACAAACACATTGGTGGAGCTAGTGTTTTTCTTTCTACACCACCAGCCGAATCTGATTCTGTCGAATTCGAGAAACAAAAAAAATCAAGACGAACAGCCCACGTTTTTAACGTTGGATAGCGTCAAACCTATGCCTTTGAAAAGAGGCTGGCAGGAAACAGCACCTCCGCTGGAAGTAAAGTATCGACATCCATCGCTTGTGCCCTTCCGGCTTCCATTTCCGCTGTTGATGAAACGTTTCTACAAATCAAAAAACAAGCATTTTTAGTGCAGCTTGTTTTTGAAAGTAGAATGATCGAGAATGGCATTTTTATTACACAGAAACAACGTATTTTTCTTCGAAACAAAAAAATCCAGCGCAAGCTTCTCGGCGTATCGCTCAGTTTGTTTTTGTTACAGCTCAGTTTTAGAAGTTGTACCAGCTACCAAAGAACAAAAGTAACATCAAGCTCTGCTATTCATAAGAAACGAAAACGAAATAGTGCTGCTCTGCTCACTCTTCAGGCTCTTCCTCCTCTACATCTTCGCCCTGTGCTTCACCTTCCCCCGGCGTCTGCTCGTGCTCTCCGTCCGCTTCGAAAAATGTGTTGGTGCTCGGATTTCGCAGGTAAGCATTCGTGTACACCTGCTCGGCCATGTCCTTCCCACCCTTGCTTCCTATCTGCAGAAATGTAGTTGTGTAGGCAGCGGAGTTGCAGTTGGCATTTGAAATGCGAACTTGTTGCCGTTCCAGGGTGGTTCTGCCGTTGTAAAACTGCGTTGGTCGAAGACGGGCGGCGGAATTTGTACTTGAGCTTGACCCCGTCCAAGACCGGACCGAAGGGACGAGCTCTTTTACTGCAGGAGCCTGGTTGCCGAAGCCGAGATGAGACTCCTGCTTGTTCCACCGAGCAATAATGTGATGCATTTTTCCTCGACGTTGCATGTAGTTCGCGCCGTCGCGTGGATGCAAAAGCGGGGTATCTGCACCAGTCGAAGGGGATGCTAAAAATGAACTTCGTCCAATTTCGAGAAAGCTGTTTACATTCTTCGCTCGGGACAACAGATCATCCACGGTTGGGCCGCCGGTGACGCTGTTTCCCGCGGCTGCCTCCTGAGGAGAGCCGGGCGGTGGCGTGGTGTAGGTCGCCAGGCCGGCTTTGGGCAAGGTGGGGATAGCGCTCGGAAAGTGCGGCACGGGAACGGTGTAAACGAATTTCTCTAAATTTTTCGCAACCTGCGCAATCTTCTCGGCGGCCAGGTTGATCCGGATCGCCAGGTTGGTTGCGTCCTCCTTCAACGGCTTTACTGCCCACTGCGCTGCCTGCTCTATGAAGAAAAGAAAAAACTACACGCCAGTGCACTATCAGTTCGTGTCCCAATACTTACTATGACTATCAATGCAAAAAATCTAAATCAGTCTTGAAGAGAACTGATAGGGCTAACATGATTTTTTGTCTTCTTCATATGAGCTAGGTCCAGGGCGTTGGCCGCCATCTTCGTGGAAATGGAGAGATCGACCGGCATCTTGATACTTTTTGTTGAACGACGAGGTATGTTTTGCCGTGGTAAAATTGCTTTCGCAACAGAACGGGAGTAGCAATATTGACACGAAGGCTCAAAACACTCTCTAATTCGCGCCTTCACCCGTGGGCACAGCACAGGATTGAAGTGCTGAGACAAAGAAACAAACTAAAACGATACAGAATCAAAGACTTTCAAGAATTGAAAACATGTTAGTGCGATAGGAAATCCGGACGGTCACAATCATGGCTTTCTCTGAGGAGTGAGGACTTTGATAAAGTACACTGTCTACAAGCAACATGTCGACGGACCATCTCATCTCGTGTTCGACTCTCAATCGCAACAAAGCACATCCAACTCAATAATTTCCGCAAACTCTCAACGAGCCACTGCTGCAATGTTCCGGGAAAACGAAGACCACAAGGAAGAGGCAGTTGCTTCACACAACAAGCACGATAGCATTGTTTGTTGATGTTTTGATTTATTTATGGGGGGGCCTGCAACAAGCGACGACTAAAAGCGATTCGGTTACTCATCCTCGTATCGCACAGCGGCTTTCTAGTTTTAGCTCCAGAGGTTCTACTGCGCTTATATTTCACCTGTAGAGGTGGAAGCGACTCAGGAACTCAAGCTGTAGCTGTCTCGTGTTAAGAGTTAGAGTGCCATGATTAGATATTAATTTTCTAAAGCTGTTTCTAAACCTGCAGGCAGCTACACATTGCTTGGCGTGTCGTGGGCGAGATCAGGATTAGGTTGTCACAACTTTCTGGTGCTCGCCTCGCCAGAACCGAATGCTTTATAATCAAATGCTTCAAGCAAAAGTGGTATCAGGGGGTACTGGAGGTCGTGGTAAATAAAGGAATAATTAATGTTTTACACATGCCCATGGGGAGTCATGCTGATAGTTTTTTCAAGCTTGTGGTCGTTGAGCTACTTTCTTATCACCGCGGTAAAATGTGCAAAGCTCTATAGCAAGAAGCAATTTAGTATGATGAAATGCGTGTCAATTGATCCCAGCGATACGGGAATGCTTCTAGAAAAGCGAGCGAGCACTCCACTGAGGAGAACCCACCTCGCATTCCCTGGAAAGCCTCCTCGTACCAAAATACGGTGCAATACTATGGCAAAAAATGTATGGTGCTACTTACTTACTAGAGTGTCAAGAGTTTTGTTATTTCGGAAAAAAAAACAAGCAGCAGTACATATGAAGCGGGGGCAATAATATGGCTATTTTGTTTGAAATAACGAAAACGGCAAAGAATCATCGATGTTAGGGTTCCGAGCCATCACGTAGCCCAGATCATTAAATGTGGTGTGCAGAGCGGTGTTTTCGCAAAGAATTTTTTTTGGTTTTTCCGACTCCACGATAATAAAAGATTTCTTTCAAAAAATTTCTTCGAACGGTGTAAATGCGTGTTTTTTGCTGAAGAGATCACTTCAAGGAAGTATGACAAAAACTGGATGAAAAGGAAAAAAAATTTTCTGAGAATCTTACGAAAAAAATGCGGTGCAAACTTTGTCTCCTCTACTACTTCGATTTCTTGTTATACTACAACTGCGTCCTTCCATTGCGTCTTTTCGATATAGCTTGCAAAAAAATACACCATAATTGCCTCCGCATTGACAGGCTGATGTCCGGGAACACGAGTGCCACTGACTTTTAATGCGAAGTGCATCTCAGATATATCTACTGCAAATCGAAAACTAACGCACGTTGAACTGAAGCAGAAGCTCCTCCTACTCATACTCAAACTCATCACAAAAATTGACTGATAACATACTCAAGAAAAAGCTTTTAGATTGAAGCATTCGACTGAAAATTTTGCTTCTACAAACGAGTTTTCCGCACAGACACTTCGCATTCTATTCCTCTCTTGAAGAATGACGAATCCGTCCTGCTTAAATTCTTCTCAACTACAACAAGTGATATGTACCACTTTCGTGAGCGAAATTTTGTACGTGACAGAAGTTCACGTGAATGACAAAAACTGAACTTACTGCACCTGCGCTTTTACCGGGTCCGCTGCTGTGGCGGTAGCAGGAGCTCCCGGCCACGAGGCCGCGGCGGCATTTCCAGAACCTGCGTACCACGCGGCCCATGCTGCCGGGTCGTAGGCCTGCGAAGGATCGTAGTATTGTGCATACGCTCCGGCCGCGTATGCGGCGGCCCAGGGGTTGCTGGCGTCGGCGGCCGGGCTACCAGATTCATACGAGTAGTCCTCCGGGCTCACGGAGGTTCCTTCCGGCATCCACGGCGAGGCGACCTGGGTTGAGTTTCATTTCAACGATGGAGGTGGATCTTCAACTACAAATTCATATACTTAATAAGCAAAATTTTGATTTTGTTTCAATGAGTTTGAGTTCAGTGCGTTGACCATGTAAAATCAGCCGCTATTGAGGAAGTAGAAGTTTCAATTTGTCCTAATCAGAAAAGCTAAGCATTGAAGGACACCTCTACATTTACTTCCGGTTTTCAATAATGAATATATTTCTGCTTGCAACAACAAAACTATATCTTCAGTTATACCGGCGACCCGATCACGCCGGCATCCGTTTTGTTAACCGGAACGCCATCGCGTTTAATGTGGTTGACCACAGACCCCTTGGCAAGACGGCCCGACGCCTTCATTTTCTCGGCCGAATCCACACCCTCGTCGATTTCTAGGCCCGGCGGCGCGCTGTCGCTGGCCCGGGACGGAGCAGCGGTAGAAGCACTAGCTGCACCGGGCTTCGTGATCGCGAAAGCTTTGTTCGGCTGCTTCTGCACATGCGTCGCCGCACCGGGAGTGAACTCGACCGGCGTTGCGGAATTTTCGTTTTGCTCCTTCGAGGCTTGCTTCTTCTTCGCGCCACTGGAATCGATCAAGGCGGCCTGCGCGGCAGCGACCTGCTTGGCGTGCGCCTCGTGGTACTGCGCCATGGCGGCGGCATGCGCGTACTGGTTCGCATAATACATGGACGCCATTTGCTGCTGGACACGCATCATGGCAGCTTGCTGCACCTGATGCTGGTACGCCGCGGGGTTGGCGCCCGGAGGGCCTGGCGGCGGCGGATACATGCCGTACGGGTACTGCGCAGCTGCTGCTGCGCCCCCGTAGTACGCCGGCGGCGCCCCGAACGGCGCGGCGCCGCCAGCAGCTTGTGTCTTTTTGTCCTCGTCGACAACCAAGTAGTCACCGCTCTGCGTCAGGTAGATGGCGGCCGGGTCACGGGTGATCGTCAAAATCTTCTTGTCGCCTTTGCCCGGCACGGCCAGCTGCGGGGACGACGATTGCGGCGTTGCAGTGGAGTCTGCAGGCACAGCATCACCAGCAGCTGCGCCAGCACCACTGTCGCGGGCCGCCGGCGCGAAGAAAGGGGTCGCGGAGCTGGAAAAGGCCGTCGGAGCTCCTGGCGCGCTGCTGCCAATCGTTTTGTAGTTGTTGTACGACTTAGTCGAATTGTAGTTGTAGCCCTCTCCGGTCTTCTTGTTTGCGTCAGTGTAGTTCCCGACGCTCCGAAATTTCGGGTCGCTTTCAAAGTTCTTGTTGGCGCTGGTCGTGTCCCGCCAGTTGCTTTCCCGCCAGTTTTCGTCCGCAGTTGTGGAGGACGAGGAGGAGACAGACCCAGACATGGTTTCCTGCTCCACCTGATCTTGCAGCTTCTTCGAGCCAGTCTTGTTTTTGCTACTGGAGTTTTTATCCTTCATCAGGGAAAACGCGCGCTGCAGATCGTCCGCGACGGCGTTGCCGGTCGGCGGAAGTTCGACCGCCCCAACAGCCTTCTTCGAGGACTTTCCCGTCGACGAGGAAAGGATCACGGGCTGCAGCACCGGCGAAGTGACGGGCTTCGGCGAGGACGTCGAAGTATTACCGTGCAGCGTGTCCAGCTTGCGCTGCGCCGCCCGCGCGTTGAAGGACAACTCCGCCTGCGAAGTCGCGCGTCCCCGGCCCTTCGGCGAGCGGGACTTCTGCGCCGTACCGTTGTTGCTGGATTGCGTGTTGTTCCCATTGTTGCCCCCGTAAAAGCCGGGCGGGGCACGGAATCGCGGGTTGTTTTTCTGCAGCATCGCCTCCTCCTGGAAGTTTACGATGTAGCTGGCCAGGCTGTCCAGGCGGGTGGTGGACGAGGCGGTACTGTTCGTCGTGTACCGGCCAGCGCTGCTGCTGCTGGCGCTCTCGGTCGCCGAGTTTTGGCGCTCGGTGGCGGAGGACGAGTCCGCGCTGTTCGAGTTCTGCGCGGAGGAAGATGAGCTCCCGCCCGCCGGGTCGGTGAAAGCGGTCAAAATCGCACTCAGAGCCTGCTGGTCTTTGGTCTTGCGCTGCTCCTTCTTCTTCTCCTGCTTGACGATGTCGTTGCTCATCTGTCGTGGTGGTTTTTTTAAATTCATTATTTTCAACATCGTTGCTCCACAGAAAGAAAAAGAGTGCTCAGGGCGGTAGCAGCATCACTTTCACTTTGCCAAAATCAAAATCAAAATAATGCATGAAACATGCGCTGCATGTGTACTATATGCAAGTGTCTATGTGAAAAATGAAAATCTACCATGTCGTTGAACATCATGGTGATGATTTGGCGTTGCGTGTTCTGGTCTTGCCAGGACGTCATCGGCTTGCCCATCTTCTTCAGGTACTCGCGCACCTTCCGCGGCGGCTGGTTCGGAGTCGAATCCTTCAGCTCTTCGCGCAACATGCTTTCCACGGTCACGGGCGGCCGGCTGCTGTAAAAGTCACCCGCAAAAATCCGCTGGGCGCGCTTGTGCGTCTTTCCGTCAGCCGAGACCCCTTCCTCGGGTTTGGCTTCCGAGGAAGCAGGAGCTGCACCATTGGCGTCCGCTTTGGTGGCAGCCATGTCGTTCTTCGAATTGGGCTTCGAAAGAGAGCCAGCGGCCGGAGTAGAGGCGGTAACCTTGTCGTCCAAGCTCACGAGCTCGTTGTTGGCGTTCATCGTGTCCTGTGCCTCCATTTTTGCTGTTTTTCGCTTAGTCAAAGGTAGAGAAATACAGTCTTGAGGTGAAGGTTTTTAAAACGAGTGTCAGACGTTGATGGTATGCAGTGAAGCAGTTTTTTTAGAGAGAGTTTGGTTTTGTTTTGATATGAGTAGAGTTATTCGAGAAGTAGTGTAGTAATCGGTGCACAAAGCACGTTCAAGGTTGTGAAGAAAATCGAAGTTGATAGGGGAAGTGGAGTTCAAGAAAAGAAGCGTGATGTTGTCGCTTCGTGTCGTCTGTTATTTCGTGTTGGGGTTTGAAATGAATTGAACGAAACGATTACTTGCGACGAGACCAACAACGCAATTCGTTTTTCAACGATGAGCACGTACGAAGTTCTCCAGGCATGGCAACGGTCGTCGTGCATTGACGAGCGCGACACATCATCATAATAAGATGGAACAGCATCAACAGACGCAAGAACGGCTACGTTTTTTTCCACGAAACCGACAATTTTCATTTTGCTCGCTTGAATTCTCCAACAATGTCACGTGTACGGCTTCTACGAAGAAATGCACGACGTAGTACGGAATCAAAACCCGCGACGTGGTACGAGTCTCGCACATACACTACACCAGGACCGAGTGTTTGTTTTACCGATGCGGCGTTCTTTCAGTCGGTCACTACTTTTTAGAGCACCAGCACGAACATCGACAACATCATAAAGATGTTGACCGTGACTTGACAACGCCCCCCAATTTGCGGTTCTGCAACCCCCGCAAAAAAGTTTTGCTTTTGATGTTAGAGTTACGTACTTGCAAAATAAAGCCGAAAAAGATAAAGAAAAGTGCGCAGAAAGTTGGAAATCAAAGAGATTTGGTATATCTTGTTAAGTAAGTATCTATGGATGTCCACTTGATTCATGTCGCAGATAGGCCGCGTCACTAAAAATGGCTTCTTTTTTAAACGAGGGAGGTGTTGATAAGGAAAGTAGAGTTGTCGTGCAGCGAGAGGCTAGATGGGGACGCCTCGTCTTTAGGTACTTATTCATGTTAGTTCTCTCTAGGTCGTCGCTAGATTCGTCTAGTTTCGTTCATATGTAAATCTATGTTAAAAATGTATGGGCAAAAATAGTGATAAAGTTGTAAGACAAAAAAAGGAAATGCAAAACAAGGTCGAGAACAAAAAAATGAAGAGCGCAAAAAGTGTTTATGAAAGTAGAGATTTCATTAAGTGCGATGCGGGTCCAGGCATGGACTGGTCATACTTGCACGTCTTGGAAAAAGAGAGAGCAGAACTTAGTTGGAGAGATTTCAAAACTACGGGATTACGTACTGATAGAAAAAGAGGTTACTGACGAGTCAGTAGGGTAAAAGATTTCTTTGTAAACTGAAAATTCCTTGGAGCTACACATACAAAATTTTTTCGTGCTTCTCGAGAGTGGACAGTAAAGAGTTCAATGTGAACCTCATGCAAAATGCTTGTCGTGTTTTTCATGACGCAAGACAGAAACAAAATTTTCATGATTTCTGCAGCCCTGCTCCGGCTGCTGTGCACAACTGGCGGCAGAATTGATTTCTTTCCGAGGGAATAAAATGTCACAGACAATTGGAATCATCGTCGTTTGTTCTTCTTCTCCTCCTCTAAATTTGGTGCTGCTCCGCCGTGAGCAGGGTGTTTTTGTCTGCAGTGGCAGCCAGCTCCTGCTGCAGACGTTCGTACGCCTCCTCGTAGAAAAAGGCGTCGTCTGTTTGTTTGTTGCTCTCCTCATAGTGTGAAGAGAACCACTGCATCAAGTTCGCAGACGAGGGCGGGGAACAGGTCTGCTCCTCCTGCAACGCTGCGGCATAGCCAAACCAGTCGGAAAAATCCTCGCCGGGGCCGGTAAGTCCCGGGGGCGGCCGTCCTCGAGGCGGTGTGGTAGACCGGGTCGTGGTCGTCGGCTGCCCGCCTTTCCCGCCCGCGCTGAAGCCCTTGGAATGCACCGAGGTCTTCACGTGATCCTCCTCCGGGGGCGGGGGAGGAGGCGGAACCTCGTCGTCGTAGGTGTTGTTCGCCGTGGCCGCCATCCCGAGATTCAGGTAGTAGTGGTAGGCAGCGGCCGCCGCCTGGGCCTGTTGGAAGGCCGCCGTGGCGGCTTCGTACTGCATCGCGTCGATGTCATGCTGCTGGTGTTGCTGTACCATCGCAGGCGCAGGCAAAGTTGCTGGAGAAAAAGCCGCAGCAGCGCCTTTCTTGCCCTTCCCCTTCTTGCCCTTGCCTTTATTCCCACCTTTGAAGCTGAGCAGGTTGGTGCCCTTGATGCCCAGGTTGCAGAGCTGCTCTTGCTCCGCGAGAAGGCCTTTCAGAAGCTTCTTTTTCCCCAAATACGGCTTCGGCGGCTTCACCGGCGTGGAACTCCGCGGCTGTTTTCGAATTTTTTACGAGCGATTAATTTCTAGGCGTGATTGACGCAGAGGATTTTAGTTGTACGGAGGACTGGAGTGAAGATTCCAAAAACTAACGCGCAGCTTTAAGCCTTGTTCGTTTAACTGTTTCTAATTCTACAAGGAAATTATGGAAGGGAAATTGGAAACCAAACGCAAGGAGCACAAGAAGAGCTTCTTACTTTCTAGACGTAGAGTGAACTGGCACTCAGAAATCATGATACCGTTAGGACGCTCTCCGAGTTGCTTTGCGCACCCAGATTGAACGCACTGTACACGGGGGAGCGGCTTGGCGCTGGTTGAGTAGACGACCACTGCGGAACAGATTCATCATCCGGAGCATCACCAGCAGCTGCCTTCGTTTCGTCCACGACCGTCACGGCAGTTGTTACCGGCTTCGGGCGCTCGGTTTCGGCGCCGCTCGTTGCCTCGGCTTTCAGCTTCATTTCGCGCAGCCAGGCGAGATGGTTTTTCCGCTCCTCCAGGTTCCCGCGCATCTGGATGGCGCCCGTCTGCCGGGACGCTTCGAGCTTCTTCGTGGTGGTAACCGGTCCAAAAACAGATTTCCCACTGTTTTGCGGCGTCGCGGATTTTTGCAGCGACGCATCCTCGCCGGCAGTGATGGTGCTGTCAAGAACCACACCGTCGGCGTCCGCCACAGCATCCTCGGTTTGCTCGTCGTGCGGAACGAAGTCGGAAAGCGCCAGCAGATTTTCGTCGTCGATCACGCGCAACCGTTCCAGGTCTTCGTTCTCGATGTTGTTTTCCGGAACAGTTTCGTGGTCTTCTTGCAAAAGAGAAGCCGCAGCTTGTTCTGCACTAGCATTGCAAGCGTCCTCTTCCTGGGTGCAGCTGGAGCTGCAACAGAGGGATGACAAAGAAGTCTCCTGCCGCTGGTGGTCTTCGCAGGTTTTCGCCGCGGTTCGCTCGGCCTTGCGCAACAGAACATCGTCATTGGTGGTCTTACTGGTATCCAACTCCGCCCCGTCATTATTCACGTTTCGCTCGGAAGCAGAGGGACTTTCGTCCCGCGACGTCGCCTGATCCTCGGTTTGGGTTTGCACTTGCACCGCGCCGCACTCGCCCTCGAAATGGTGGTGCTGCTGCGCGGCCGCCATGGCGATCGTGATTTCCGCGAAGGCGGCCGCCGGGGGCAGCGCAGCCGCGCCTTGTTCTTGATCAAGCGCCCCATGTCGAGCAGCTCTTGTTTCAGCGGCCCCTTCTCCCGCTGCCGCCGTCGAAAGCAGCTGCTGTTCTTGACCGCCAAATAAAGGATCGTTCGGATTGCGCAGCGTAGATGCGCTGTCGCCACTGCTCCGCGTGCTGCTCTTGCTCCCGCGCTCGGCCTCGGAGGCGGTGCGAAACAGTTCCGCGGCGGAGTTCAGTTCCTCCGCGGTCTTCACGTGGAAGTTGCCGGTCTGCGCACGCACGTCCTCGCACAGGTTCTGCAATTCCGGGAAGGACTGGGCCAGCAGCTCCGCGAACTTCTCCAGGTCCAGACTCCCATCCGTCCGCTTGAAGTCGTCAATTTTCAGCGACGTGCCGTCTCCGAGCGCCGCCGTGATCATGGTGGCCAGCGATTGCGTCGCTGCCGCGGAGGGAACTTTCCGCGGCTGCTCGAAGAACTCACCTCCCGGGTGCTGAAATGCGCCGCCGTTTTGCGCCGGGGATGCCGGGTTGTTGAACGACGGGGGTGCACAAGAGGACCCAGGTGGACCACGCTGCTGCGGTTTGTAGAAGTAGGGAAATCCTCCGTTCGCGGTGTAGGAAGAACTGCTGCTGCTGCTGCTGAACGGCGGCGAGGTCGTGTTGAAGCAGTTGTAATGCGGACCGAGAGGCAGACCACCAGGAGCAGCCGTGCCGTACATCACGCTCGGGTTCGCGGCGCTGTGATGCTGCAGGAAATTGTAGCTGTACGGCAAGCCGCCCGCAGCAAGTTGGCGCTGGGGCAGGACGCCGCGCTGCGGTGTGGTGCTGTTTCCGCACGATCCAAAAATTCCCCGTGGCTGCTGCTGCTGAGCGGTTGCCGTGTAGGTCGCATTTTTGCTACCGCGGTTGTAAAAGTTGTAAAACGAGGACGCGGTGGTAGCCGCGGCCGTCGACTTCTGGGCGGTGCTGCCCCCGGACCGCGTGCGGGGGTCGTCGGTCCACAGGTCGAAACCGCGCAGGTCGCGCGGCTGGAGGTCCGCCGGGATGGCCTGAAGACTCGGTTTGCGACCATGGATCCCAACTGCGGAGGACGAGGACGAAGAGCCGGAGGACGAGGACTCGGCCGAGGTGGCCGTGGTCGACGTGGCTCCGCACGCTGGGTCAACATCGTCCCCGGAACAACCGGGAGCGGCTGCCCCCGTAGTAGAAGTTTTCAGCATCTTGCAGAACTTGCTCGCGTAGCAGGGCGCCTGGTACACGTAGATGTCGCCCCGGAACACGGAGTCGCGGCGCTCCTTGGACTTCTGGTTGCGCGGCGGCCGCCAGGGCTCGCGCTCCTCGTGCTGGAGCATCTGCGGGGAGTGGTCGTTGGGCTGCATGCCGAAAAACTTCGAAAGCTTCCGGAACATTTTCACCCACCCCTTCTTGTCCACAAACTCGCCGATCGACTCGTCGATGTACAGGTTGCTCGCCTCTAGATCCAACATGATGGAGGTGGTGCTCCTGTTCGTTCCGAGTGAACAGCGCTGCTTTTCCTGCAGAGAAGTTCCTTACTAGCGTTTGTTTTCTCCCGGAGGTGACCTCCGACGTGAAGATGTTCCTCAGAGGTAGCGGTGCTTCTGCTTCTTAAACTCGGCTGAAAAATGCGATGAGGACAATACTCAAAAAGCTGCTCGTTCTTGAGTAGACACTAAAATTGGATTTTCAGAAAACAAAAACATCTTGGAAGTGCATGATTGAAGAGGAGTAAAGATAGGAGTTGAGATTAGAAAATGTGAGGAGAATTATTGGGATACAACAAATGTCAGGGGGCGTATTTAGGAAAAGTTGTGACGTTCTTTAATTGGGACAGCTTGAGATGTGAGTATGTAAAGAAGTAAAAAATGAGTAAAAATTGAGGTCAGTCGTCTTTGTGTTTGTTTATTGTTTCTATGTTATTGGGCCTGAATTGCAACAATAGGGGAGGGGAAAAGAGAAAGACGTGCAAATACGACAGGGGTGCTCCTTTGCCTTTTCTTTGCAACGCTGTGACATGAAAAGAAAAAAACGCATCAAATTTTAATTTAGCACAACATCAAGAGAATTACTGAAGAGACGACTTCTATCTCGAGCGCTTATCGCTTCGCTGCATCTTCAGACTGGCATAGCCAATTGGACGGAAAGAAACCGAACGAAGTGGACGCCGTACGAAATCAGGCCTGACTCGGGCACTACCGAATGTTCGCATATGTCAGTTGGACGAAATGTACGATTTAGTTCGGACCGAAGCCTATTGACAGGTTCATTGTGATACTAGAATGAAAGCCAGTGCTGCCGTTCAGAACGACTAAGTACGTACCGACAAGAATTCGACGAAAAGCACAGCACCGAAAAACTGAAGCAGCACGTTACTAAGCTGCGGACGCACCGAGGTGGGAGATTGACTCGTAATCGTATACTATGGACTTACTGAATACAGGCTTTCTGTTTATTCCTGCAACGTCCGCCCTGCATGCAAGATCCACATGGATACTGACTTTTTGTTTTTCACACGGAGTAATACTTTCAAGTGTCGACTTGCGAACAGAAATACTTACTCAATCTCCGTCGTCGTACGCGCACGTGGTAATCAAGTTTATGGTTGCACAACCCGTGACGACCTGCATACTGATGAGGAAGCGCACCGGCGGGTGAGTGAATGCAAGAAATCTTGAATGCTGATAAACAACATGTGTGAACCAATTATGTGCAGCGTGTGTGTGAAGCAAATCATCATCATGTCACATCTACCTTTCTTGCTTGTAACACCTGACTCAATGCGAATGCTGGCCGAGAAGTCAGAAGAACTCGCACTATTACTGTACAAGGACTGCCGCGACATGTACATCTACCTGTATGCTAGAACGGACAAACAAACATGAGCATCAGCAAGCGCACGTGCCCGGTGTGCACATGAAATAATGTAATTGTAAATCTTCTAAAAAATGGACAAGTACATGATGATGACGTGTAGACATTTGTCTTGCTTTTCAATAAAAAGAAAACCAAAGCACGACGCCTACCACGATTTGTTCACGTTTTTCGTTTCTGTTTTTCCACGAATGCGCAGTGCGAGTGCCTCCGAAAATATTCTTTTTAAAGTAAGCAGGTAGTGCAAGAACAAGCAAGCTGTCTTCTATCATCGTCACTTTTCTTGACTATTTTCCACCGGCGTCCTTCCTCCAAGGTGGTCGTCTAGCAGAGGCCTTCGAAGGTCGTCCCCGGTGGCGAACATATCCCTCGTGTTGGTCGCACCGCCGAAGCTATTCGCGGGAAGATTCTGTCCAGTTGGGGAAGGAGCTGCTCGCGGAAATAGAAGTCCCTGACTACCGCGCGGCTGTGCGAACATGCCAAGTGCGGTGTGGTGCAATCGCCTTCTGGCTTTTTTGTTCAGTGATATGACGTGGGTGACGAATCGCTTTTTCGTGATCAAACCGTGAAACGCGCCCTCGTGGTCGACCACCGCGACCAAGCGCAGTCCCAGGCGGTAAAAAATGTGGTGCGCGAGGTGCAAGGGGGTCTCCGGTGCGATGCGGAGCAGAGTGCGGTCAACCAGATCCGACAGGTCAATCGCGGTCGTCGCTCCAACCTCGATTGTCCCCGGAGGCTGGCGCGGCCGGCTGTTTATCGGCGACGGGCTGTCAGGTTGTCCTCGCAGTAGAAGCAGTTCATTTAGATTTTCTGGCGGCTCAAAGGATCCACGCGGCGACCGGGAAATGTTTCGTGAATAGACGTCCTCGTCCCCCCCGTGCTGCTCAACCACTGCGGAAAGCGACGCAGCAGCGTCTTCGTCATCCTCGGAAGAGAGGAGAACAACTCCCCGGTGGTTCATGCTGCTGGTTCTTGCGGAGTCGAAGTCGTTGTTGTTCATCTTGTAGTTGTTCATGGCCGTGGTTATTGCAGTGCCTCCAATAGTTCTACCTACAGTGGTACCTCCTTCATCCGGTCGTGCCAGTGTCCCACCGACCAAAGTTCCGGAAGAGCTGGACGCGGAACCGAGTGGCATGACCTCCTCGTTTTCGACAAAGTATACGGGCGTTTCCGCACCATATCCCTCGGGGCCCAGCAAATCCGCGACGTCTTCTCGGAGCTGCGCCGCGTGCACGTAACCGATGAACGCGTGGTACCTTTTTTTCGTGGCTGCGTTGGTCCGCCGAACTAACAGCGGGTACCCGGAAACCGGTCCGAAGGAAGCAGCCGCACTAGCGGAAGTTGTAGTAGGTGGCGCACCAACAGTCGACCACTGCTGCAGAAGCTTCTCTAGCATTCCGAGTGTTATTGGCGCCGATTCCGGGCTGGGAACTCGGATGCAAAGGTCCGCTGGCGTCATTTCCACGATGTCTGCCGCGTAGCCCGGCGTGAACGTCCCTTCGGGCTCTTGGAGGAAGAGATACTTCTTCAATAAAATGTACCTATCGTAGATCCCGTCGTTAAACAGGTCCCCGGTCCACCGTGCAAACTGCGCCGCCAGCATGAAGGGCACGATGTGCTGTAGAGCTCCGGTGAGCTCGAACATGATCACCACCAGCGAGATGGTCACGCGGCAAACACCGCCTAGAACCGCGGTTGCGCCGACGATGCCGTACACCGAAGGGGCGATCGGGGACGAGAGCAGATCGCCAAAACCGAACTGGTTCGTGATCCCGATGTAGTACAGGTAGCTTCCCAGCAACCGCCCCAACGCCCCCCCGACAAAGAGACTTGGCACGAAGAGTCCCGCCGGCAGTGGTGCACCGAAGGTGACGCACATCAAGACGAAGCGAAGCACCCCGGCGGCCGCGAGCTCCTGTAGCGTCACCGGTTCGAGCTTCGGACTACCGTCGCGGTGACACAAATGCATCTCATCGGCGGCATGGAGGCTGCGGACTACGAATTCCGTCTGGCTGCGGGAGTTCACGAAGTCCTCGCACGGCTCGAAGAGACGGAAAATCACATCCACCATCAGCGGCGCCATGAACCGGTTTTTCAGTGTGCTGACAACGGTGAGAACCGCAATCAGGCTGATCTCCACTTCCAGGGGGCAGTACCTCCGCCAAAACTCGGATTCCCGGAAGTGCAGCATCGCCGTGTTAACCTTGATAAAAAACGCACCTATGACTCCGCCGATAATCCCGAGCAAGCAGAAAAAAATGTACTCCACCGGGTCGAGCTTCCAGGTGTCGGTAACCTGAAACAGCGTCAATTTTCCGGTTCCCGTGGGATTCAGGTACATCAGCATCAGCGCGGCGGACACAGCGGCGAAAAACGCTCGCGTCGAGGTGCGCTGCGAAAAGAACGTGGACGCCTCCTCGAAACTGAAGAGCACGCCGCCCAGCGGCGCGCCAAACGCCACCGACACACCCGCCGCGGTGGCTGCGGACAGGAGCTCTCGCCGGTTTGCCGGGCTGCTCGCGTAGTGCCAGGGAAACAGTTTCCCGCACGCCTCGGCCCAACAGCATGCAACGTGCACAAGCGGACCCTCCTTTCCCAGCGTCAACCCAGCAGCGACGCCGGACGTCAGACCTGCTAGTTTCACCAGTAACGTATTCCACGCCAAAACCGCCCGCATGTTGAAACCGCCGAGAATTGCCTTTACTTCGGGGATGCCGGACCCTTTTGCCGCCGGCGCGAAAAACTTGCACAGGAGCGCGGCGAACAGGGACAGGAGAACGGCGCTCCCAACCCAGATAATCCAGCCACACCAGTAGGCCGCGTCCTCGGGAAGGGAATTAGCCGTCGCAAGTTGCTCCCACGTCATCAGCGTGCCCTGAAAGGATGAGTGGGAGTAAAATTTGACGTTTCGCTGTCGACAACAGAATAAACAAGCCCAGAGTGACATATTATGACCACGCTTTCATCCAGGCTCCATTCATGCATCAAGAAAAGCAATCCTGAACTATCATGATCAAAGGCAACACTTTATACCAAGGTGTGGGGCGTTTGTCCCGAGGCGGCCAGTTTCGCACGACACTTGAAGTCCACGTTTACTTCATGGCCGCAACAGGCGTACGCGTCCTTGAAAATGTTCGTGACGCAAAGACCGCTCCTCCAAGTGAACACGATACTGGAGACGATCTGGATAAGCCCGCCGGATATGGCGGTCAAAATCCCTACCGCCGCCGGGAGCAGCCAGGAAATCAGCTCTCCGAGGAACTTTAGCCATCGAAATTTTTGCTCAGCCTCCGGCAGCGTGTCTACGGCGGCCATATTGTAGCTCATGTTGTCTTCATCCTGCTGCTGCTGGTCCCGACGGGTTGTACTACCAGAGTTCGCTGCATTCAGACGGTTCCTACCACTTCTGGAATTGTGCTGTTGATCATCTTTCCCTAACATTTCTATTCCTCCAGTCAGTGGAGGTGCTCCTGCCGATGGTGCTTTCATCGAAGATTCAGAAAACTGTTGATCTGCTACTGCACCAGCTTCGCTGACGTTGCCACTGGTTTCGCGTACAACCTGCAGAGACCGCGTTGGTGAGTGAAGCGCATTGAATTGGGTCGACGACGAAGACGCAGCTGCACCTGCACTTGCGCCGACCAGTAGTTCTACTCCTTCTCCCGGTGGTGCCCGACTTTGCGGGCCTTGTTGTCCTTGTCGTGACGCGTAAGAATCATTTTGCCGCAGAACGAGAGACCGCGCAGCTGCGTTTTCCGATCCAGCGTCGAAGACTCCTCTTGTTCCAGCATTTCCAGCTGCAGCCCCCGCGGGAACCAGAGTCTGCTTTTTCATATCACCGCTAGCAGAATCCTGACCGCGTGGTTCGCGATCAGAGTGAGCTATGCGAGAGAACTTTTCTCGAAACCCATCAACTACAGCCTCTTGGTCGTCGAGTGCACCAGCAGAAGGCTGGTCTTTGTTGCTAAGACGCACCGGCTCGCCACTGCTCGTCGCATTGCTGTGGAACACTGGACTGGTAGAGCTAGTGGCCGCGGTCCCTCTTCCAAGAGGTAATGGCGAACTTTTGGCACCGAAGAGCTTTGTCGCCGGTGAATCAGCAGGGCCCCGAGGTAAAACCACCCTGCGTCTGGTTTTCCCGCCCGATGTGATTTCGTCCTCGTCTTCGCCATCCACTATTTCTTCCGGCTCCTGGCGAAATCCGCCCGACGGCGGGCTATATCTCGAAAACGCCCTGCCTTCCTTTGACCGACCGCTTGATGCGTGGCTGACCTTGGAGACACTTTCCGGCGTCGTCAAGTGCGTTGCATGGCCCATGCTGTCAAAGGACATGGTGCGCCGGACGCGGTGCACCCCACGCACCATGCGCGCCTCGCCGAAGGCATCCTGCTGCAGGCCCAGAATACCTTCGATGCGCTCCTGCTCGGTAAGGCCCCCTGCGCGGCTCGAAAAGTTAGGCGAGGATGCGGTGTGGTGCATATCGTTATCGGCCTGCTTGTATCAACTGTAAAAGTGTCTGGGTCTGGAAGAGTGCCAGACTTGTCATGCAGGTTTTTCATGACCCATGAGGTCTGGTATGTAGGACAGAGCATGACAGATTCTGTGAGAGTTCTATCATGCCTATCCTGCATGAGAAACTGCCTCTCGATTAGGTCAACAGTGGACAGCTTTTGGTAATCACGCAACGCAGATTTTTACATGATCCAGATTTAGCATGACAAGTTGCTTTGTTCCAGACCCAGACATATTTGCAATGCATAGCTTGGTATACTAAAATCGCAACGCGGTTTTCAATATCAGCTCAGCCAGCAACTGCTGGATGATTGGTTCAACGAGTACACATAAATTTCAATTTCAATTTCAATTTGAGGATCAAAAAAATACCAAAATTCCACTTAAATACATTGACTTTGCGCAAGTTCAAAAACGCCCAATCACATAGAAATTCACATTGGTCCACAGTAAAAAAAACTTCACCTCAATCATTTTGAAACTACACATATCTTCGCAGCGATTTCTAATTCTATACGAAAATTCTTTTCGACACACCGGTAGGGACAGACACCAGGCCCGTTACGAACTACCTGCAGGTGTCCAGAAATATCATGCTGGAGTGTCGCAAGACGACACTAGGTCGGTGTACGTGAACGACCCAAAAACACATAACGAACCGAATGATGTGGATTCCATTCTTACACACGAAAAGCCGTTGTCGTACTTACCTGAAAAATGGATACCACGAAAGAGGGCCCTAACGTATCAATCGATCCAAAATTATGGTGTCACAACAAAGCTGAAGGAGCCACTGCATCGACATCGACGAAATCTGTGATCCTTCTTCTTGTGCAACATCTCGTCCCTATCACGAGAAATTGCAATTTTTTCAAAGCGAAAGCACCAGCAACAAGAGGACCAAGATAGATACAACGCATCCAGAGTTGTATAGTGTGTAGATAGAGCCAGCGAAAAGCCCACACTCTCTCTTGTTTGGATCATAATAGAAGTTCGTGCGTAAGAAGGTACAAAGTCTCGTTTCTTGGAAAACAGGAATCGTCTCCGTCGCTGGAGTCGCTCGAAATCTTCCCGACTAGCACCTCAGCCGAAAGACCGCGGCGGACAAGAAGTTCGTCAGAAAGTTGCTTTTCTGTCCGTCTTCATGAACTACGAATCCGATCGACCAACACAAACATTTTTTATTTCAGGTTTGTACAGAAACTGACGTAGCTGAAGAGCTGCAAGTCGTAAAAGGTTGAATTTGGCTGCTATTTTTCATCTGAAGTTGGTTCTACAGGAGCTCGAGCTTGTTGCTGTTCGTTGTTCTTGTTACAAATAAATAATGACTCATCGTCGCTAGTCGTAGTCGTTACATAATTCGAGTTCAAATTCGTCGGACTTGGAGTGGCACTTCTGTCAAAAACATAAATACGCAAACTGTCGCGTAGTAAAAGTCAGTGGTCGCGTGCTCCGTGCAGATTCTCCACGGAAGAGGTTAGCGATACTCTGTCTCCCGCCGGCCAGTGTCGCACTACACTTTTACGCTCAGACAGTTTTCTGAGCGTGGGTACGCAGGTTTCAGCTCGCTTTCGTTTATGTATCCAAATCGTTTGTCCCCGTGCTGTTGCAACCGTATTTGGTAACCTCCACGCTTAGATAATTTTGGTTGTACGCGTACCGTAAGGGAAACCACGCACTTTGTTGCTCTACTTGACTGTAAAAAACTCATTTTTGGTTTACACGGTTGTGATGTCAGCTGTGGTTGCTCGTCTGATAATTTCAAATTTTGTCTTTGCATTTATTGTGAAGGGTAGTGTAACAAGAAGGTGCTCTGCCTAGTCCTCATTTTGAAAAGCAAATTTAAAGTCAGAAAACGAGTGGTGAAGCTTTGCACTTTCGTTAACGACGAATGCGCGTGGGTCTGGGCTGAGACCCCGCAGATTTGACGTTTTGGTGAAGTGACGGTAGATGAAGTTGTGATCGACCACCAGCCGCCCCTTATCTTAATGAAGATCGGCAGATCGGCTGTGCACTTCTACGCGGCTCGGTATGGGACAACACTGGCGCAGTTGAGTGAGGTTTTTTATCTCCTCGATTCATTTTCCGGCAGCGTCAAAATCTAGGTCGACACTTCACCTAGTCAAGGAATACATCTTTCGAAATGGTCAATAAGCTTAAATCAAATTCTCAGAAATATTTACAGATACTTCATCAAGAACAGAGGACCATCTGACTTCTACATATCAATTGCAGCTAGGTCTCTCTTCTCACTTTCAATTTGATGCAACTTCCAGGAGCGGTTCGTAAATTTTCCATAAAGGTGAAACGTGAAGTGCGCCTGATATTTAAAAATTATTCAATCATTCTTCTCCTAATTCGAAAAGTTGTCGCCGTCGCCAAAGTAGAAATGAATAGAACTAGGCAACTCGTCCCCCTCCCCCTCCTCAAACGATAGGTAGTGCGCAATTCCCCTCGAGCAAAATAAGCCGCCTTTCTGCGCCGCACTAGTCGACCATGGCTGCGGCGGGTATGACTTGAAAGTACGACTTGCGGGTGAGCCATGCTTCAGCTTCGTGGCGCCGCTGTTATTTGGGTGGGTTTTCTGCTTTGCGCGATAAGGTAATTGCGCTCTATGCATTCACGGTGAAAGAGTGGCGCGCGGCACTTACTTCAACTTGCACGCAAAAGGCGAGAGCGTAAAAAGTTGCAGCTCCTTGCGGTCGCGTTAGCTTTTTGCTGCCTGTTGACACAGTACAAACACTTTATACCATTCGCATTCCCTCGCCGTTGTGGTGGTACAGAGTCTAGTGGTCGAGCCGCTAAGTAAATCAAAAGAACACCACTCAGCGTCGCCCTCCAAAAGGGATTGCACCTCGTTGTACTAGAGGGTGACACTCAGAGACAGGTCCGCGAGAGAAAGCAAGCTAGGCAGTACACAGATCGTGCTGACACGGCAAGAGCGCGCCCCTGCTCGTTAGTCGATCTGAGTAAATTTTGGTCTTTGAAATAGAGCTCCATTTGTCATCAACCGGAACGGCGAATCTTCTGAAGAGACGAGAGGACACACAGACATGCTTCGGAATGAATCCAAGTTGCAGCAAGTCACTGCCGAGGAATGACAGCACGTGACAAACAAAATGCGAAATACCAGAGGCACTTTCGGCCAGGCAAAATTGCTCGTCCTAGTTGCGCCTCCCTTGGCTCTGCTACCCCGCAAGCTGAAATAGATTCAGCTGGTGCTTCTAAATAGAGGCGGTCGTGGCGATCAAGAACTTCGGCACTGAACTCGCGCTGTTTCTGTTATACGTATGACCTAAGATTGCTCACCACGGCGCTGGGGGTTGGTTGTTCTGTGTGCTGAAAAAATGAATGCTTAATTAGCAAAAGCAGAGCATCCGCCTTGCTCCAATAAAAAACGGCATGACATACTGAAAGCTTCGTAGAAACTTCGGACGTCATAAATTAAAGCACTTACTGAAAATAGATCTTCATCTCGCTCGGCAGAAAAGCTTGCTCGTGTGGTCGATGAGTCGGCCGCTGGAGTTCGCATGCGTCCTCGAAGAAGATCGCGGGACGAGGTGCAGCCGTCAGCCCTTCATTCTCAGGCACAAATAATCAAGGTCCCCGCCTCGCAACTTCAGGCGTCGAGCTGTCATGAGTTTTAGTTGGGAGCCGTCGTCCTTCACAACAACAATTTCAAATTAGTTCAATTAGTACCTCTACGGCATTACAAAGAACTAGCTGGCTCGCGTTCCGAGTTCATTGTCGCATACAGGTAAACACAACCAGAAAGTGCTGCGTGGCAAATAAAACTGCAAAACAAAATACCGAAAGAATTGCTCTGTGTGCCGTTTTGCGCCGCATCAGTCGACAGTAGTAGTTGCGGATATGAATTGAAATCAGGCGCGAAGTTGCAGATGAGCCATGCTTCAGCTTCGCTGCGCCGCTGTTATTTGGGTTGATTTGTTGCTAGAGTGATTCATTGATTTACTTAGTTGGATAGGGTGGTGACTACGCAACGGCAACTAGTACGAGCTTGATGAAAATACTTAAATGGCGGCACTCGAAGAAAATCGCGGGACGAGGTGCAGCCGTTGGCGGAAAGTAGATCGGGAGCGAATTGTACTGCGGGGACTACCCTGGTGCTGACGTCTGGGATCATTCATCTGCAATCTAGAGGAGGTCGGGGCTGGTGCTGGGAAGGTGGTTTCATGGCGTTGCTAATGTCAGCGAGTCCAGATCCAGGACCCGGAGAGGAGAAATTCCCTCATGCACCTGCTTCCGAGACGACAAACTTTCTCTTACTTTAGTGAAACCTGCGTGGCTAAGCCCACGAGCTTTTTTCCCCCGGCGGTTGCACCAGGCAGAGGACGCGAGGAGGATCGGCTCAGGGCTCATATCGTCCCCTCGGCAACATCCTCGATAGCCAGGAGTTGATTCTGCGTCGGGTGCTGTGCGTTGTAATTGTCGGGTAATTCTTCGATAGTGACGGTGCTCTGCGTCTGCTGCAACTCTTTGCGCAGCTCTTTTCTCTGCTGCCTCCTCCTCTGGCGGGCGGTCGCTGCGTCTTCGTGGCACGTGACACGTATTCCACATTCCTCTTCGTCTCCCTCTTCCTGGACAGCCGGATTGCAACAGCACGACAACAACCACGAGGTCTGCTCAAGAAAAGCCAACTGACTGGCTTTCTCCAAAGTGCTGCTGGCCGCGGTTGTCACAGTGGAAGTCGACGCGTCCTCCTTCGCCGCCGGTTTTTCACAGCGACAGTGCTCCTCCAGTTCCGCCTTGGACATAAAGCCGTCCTTGTCCAAGTCCACTTTTGTCATCGGACACACACCTCCATTTTCCTTCTCGCTGACCTGGCGGTCCCCGTTTGTGTCGAGCTGGGCGATCACCTTCTCCGCCATTTCGGTCACGTTGGCGGGGGGGGGGGGGCGCTGGACGAAGCAGTACTAGCGGGAGCCGTCTTCTCCTCTTTTTCCGCTTCCGACTTCGGGCCGCTGTAGCCGTACACGGACCCGGCGGTCCCCTGGTCCACGAACGAAGTTGACGTGACCTCCCCCGGACCGTTGATGATCACCTCGCCCGTGTCCTGCGACTGCGAATGATCATGTTGATCCGAGGACTTAAGGCCCGCCTTGTTCTCGTCCCAACCGGGACGCGAAGACCCATCCGCTTCATCTTGGTGGATCGCAGCTCCTGGCGACGTTCCGCGTAGATGCGTCGCTGCGGTCATGTCCTCCTGCTTTACCGCAAAGGCGGAGGTCGCCGAGTAGCCCAAATTTCCGCCGAAGACCCACAGGACGAGTTGTAGGCGGGACGGCAGAGAATAGACTCGGCTGGTGGAAGAGAGCGCGAACATCTTTTGGAGTTGGTTTCGACAACAAGCGCAGGTTGCGTATAGATACTTTGCTGTCGTACGAGAAGTCTTACGCATCCAGAGTGAGAGTTGTTACACATGTGTATGTGATGAACTACAAGCCAACGAAAAGGCTACACTCTCTCTCTTCCCTCTAGTTCTAGTTTCGAACTTCGTCTAAGTACGACGTCGACTCGAGAACAGCGATCGTCTTTGTCGCGTTCGTCGCTCGAAATCCTCCCGACTAACAACTTTCTTACCCACGAGACCGCGGTGGAGAACAAGTTTGTCAGAAAGTTGCTTTTCTGTCCGTGGTAAACTAGTACGAATCAATCATTTTTTATTTCAGGTTTCGAACTTGATGTTCTTTCATCCCGGCGGCAGCCCTCGCATACAGTAGGAACCGGCTCAAAAAACAACCTTGCCAAGAAGGGCTGGTGATAGCGATGAGGCACGTCAAAAAATTGGACGGCGAGCGGGGGATCCCCTACCTGCAATTGTCCCTTCATCACACGGGGCCTTTGTTCGCAGCTCCTTATTTTGCTGCAGTAGAGCACTTTTTTTGTACTTATGTTGATGTTGCGATACTAGGCATCCCTTCTTGGTACTTCCTGACGTCTCCTACTGAGTGCTCGGGGATGATTTTGCTACTTCGTCTCCCGGCCAGGCTTCGGAAAACGCTTCTGGTCCCCGATTCCTTCGGAGGCGCTGTATTTTGCGCAGCTGCGAAACCTCTACATGTGATCACCCTGAGGTTGATCACATCAAACTGGACCCAACTTTTTTCTCTACGAGTAATCATGATCTAAAAACGAGGGTAAGGTAATCCTGATCTTGTAATGGTAATCAAAGTAAACGCGTAAAAATTCGTCACATCAGGTAGTTTTCATAACACCAAATCATAAAAACTTCTTTGTCTTCAAGATTTCTTCAAGTCGCGAAAAGCTTCCATTGGCCTCCAATCATGGTGTGACTATGGTGGCAAGGCAGGCTCTCTTGAAGTCCGAAGATGGCGAATCTCAATGGATTGTTCGAAGACCTACATCAGCTTCTTGATGATATCCGCTTCGACCAGGTCTCCCTTATCGTTTGCCTGGACCTCGCACTGGATCTGTAGTGAGGGAATCGAAGACAAAAAATCAGTTTTGCGTTTGGTAAACCTTCTCCTCGCAACAACCATCATACATAGAGAGATTGAGGATTACGAGATCGTGTGTGTCAGACAAGAAGAACAAGAAGCGACTCGTACGGAATAAAAAAATCAATTGTGTGCTCGCTTCTACTTTAGGCGAGCGAGTAACTGTTTGTCGTACTAACTATGTTCCTGCGGAATAAAAAAATCAAAAGATTCAATACTCCGGTGAAAGTCTTCCGGAGAACGTCCTTGCTGGAGGCATACAACATCTTCTCCTTTACTCCACAGTCGTCTGGGCACCTGAAATACAAGGAAGCAACTGAAACAGCAACATCTTACTTTATCATAGATACAGGAATGCAAATGGATGCACGTGTCCGTGACCTTGCATAATTTAATGAATTGCATGTGTTGCAGCAGCTATTACGCGGTCAAAATGGGTCCGCATACTGACGAGGAAGTAAAGGCGAAATGCTTCAACACGACGAAAAAAAAAAACAATTCGTACCAGAAAACGAAGACCATCTTTGAAGTCTCGGCGCCGGTTTTGGCAGTAAAAGGAACATCCACGAGGCAATACAATGGCTTTCCTGCTGGCAATATTCCAAGGAAATCGGCGTACCTTATGATTCAGTGGAGAGCGAGGTTGGAAGGAGAAAGAAGCTCCGCCTCCGGGAAGAGCGAGGATGGATGAAACAAATGGAATGCAAAAAAAAAGCAAATTGTGCTTCCATCACGGTGGTGCTACTGTTTATACGTTTTTGACTTGTCCGCCTGTGCGACTGGGACGATGGTCTTCTTGTCCTTGATCTCGAAAGTTAAGTATCGGAGGTTGTGCTGTTGAGTGTTTATGTTTATCGATGTCGTCGATTTCTACTTACATGTGTATCTGTATGACGTAAATAAGCATTTACGTGAATGCCTCCAGGAGGAGGTGCATGCAGAAGATGTACTACATGCACACGTCGCACCGGGCTTTCGTTTTTCAGATTCGGCACTTAGCCATGCGATCCAATATACCAGTACCTTAAGCTGCATCTGCGTGAAAAGCTCCTTGCAGCCATCGCCGAGAACGACACCAGACATCGACATGTTAACAAGGTTTTTTTTTTTGAAGGAGCGGAGAGCTGCTCAGCCTTCAAGAAAATTCCAGCTACAATACCAACGTGGTTCAACTAGAGGTAGACCTGCCCGAACTCGAAGAACGGGCCAATAGAAAAAGTTATTGTTAGCCTCTTCGTCTTCGGTAGCGTCTTGAAGTCAAAGGTTGATGCCAAGAAGTTGCTGTGTAGTACGTAGAGACTTGGACAAAAATAAAAAACCACTTTCAAAATCGATGCGCCGGAGAAGTTCCTCCCTTGTACGCACAGAAATGGCTCTACTCAATCCAATTTGTATGCTGTGCTATACTGTATGTTTCACTGAAGACTGCTTCCTGCTGTTTGGAAACTTCAAATCGTTATTTTGCAAAACGGTGCATCTTCTCTTCTGGTTAGAGGCGTTGCGTTTTTCTCAGCGGCCGGCATCGTTCGATCGGTATAAATCTCATGTTGATCCTGATCGCGGTGGAATACGTCGCGGACGCGGAGTCGCATCTCATACATAATGTGAGTCGATCCATTTTACCTGTGCTGCGGGGCGGCTCATAGTGCTCATGTTGCTTAGTATTTTGGCTCTACCGAATTGTGTTTGGTCGGCAGGAAAAGACAGTTGTTTGAATTCATTGTCTGTCTCCGCAATAGATTAAGATTCTCCGAAGAAGAACGGATTTGCTCGTTAACAAGCAAAAAACGAACACCAAATCAACTGCACCAAGTCAGTGGTGTAATTCAGTCGAAGAACTAGCGCGCGATCCTTCATCGACTAAGCCGCGTCGTGACTGTGATCTTCTTCATACTACTCACTAGCGATTGCCGCCCTGGGTTCGTCAACATATTGCCCTGCTTCTAGCCAGAGATCAAACCAGCACTGCGTTCCGTAAAACATCAAGGATGTTCGTAGTGCTACAACATGCTCAGTGGACGAGGAGAGAGGAGCACCCGATTTTTCTCGTTTTGAAAAAATCATTCTCAGCGTAGCAAAGCGGGAGGCAGAAGAGGAGCGATTCTTGTGTGGCGCTTTACAGTCAACATCTCCAGCTCCTCCTGCTTGTGCTTGTTTAAACGTGCTGTTCTTTTTCATCTACCCGCTCGTGTCCATGGCGTCGCCGCCCGCGGCGGCAGCCGGCGCAGCTCCGTCGTTGCACTTCGTTACGTACGGTTGCAGCTCTGCTTCGGAAAGAAGTTTCCAGCCCATACCAGGGCCCACGATGGACACGTCGATGTTCTTGGTCGTCATTTCGGTGTCTTGCTCGATCGTTACGTGGATGGCCTTTACCGCGTGCCCGATCAGTTTCTCCAGAGACTCCTCGGGAAAGGTCTCAAAATGCTTCTCCAAGTACGTTTTTGCGGGCTGTGCCCGCCCGCCAATCGCCATAGCCTTGTACTCGTAGAAATCGCCAGAGGGGGAGGTCTCGTAGATGGCCGCCTGTTGCGAGGTGATTTTCATCAAATGCAGATTCACTTCCGTCACGCTAACAAGAAGTACAAGGACATGCACCATCATAAGTATACACTCTTGCACACCCCCTACATCTTCCGCAGAACAACATGAATGGAAAACAGGATCTGTATACTGTTTTGCGAGGGCGGCAAGCCACGGATCCTACAGCAGTGTATCAGTATGACTACTTCACAGAAGTAAAAGTTGGAAAATAAATCGATAGTTCCACCACCAACTGTACCTTTTTCAAGTCCTCCTGGTATCCCTGGATGAGAAGCCCCACACCGTATGGCCTCTTGCCGGCTTGTAGCGTTTTCATTTGTGCCTTGTCCCCGATCTGAGAAACCAACCTCCCCACGTTCATCGGCCCATCGTAGACGTATTTGTGCTCCAAGCATTCCGATCTGAAGATATGAATAATTCTAGGTGTAGGTTGCTTCGACCACAGATGCAGGTCTCTATTCTCATTAGTACTCCTTACAGATCTCAGCGTGAAGCAGCATAATGTCGTAGCTGTAGTTTCAATAAAAGTGTTTCTTTTGAGCAAAAGATCACGCGGACAGGGAGTAGCAGATGCAACAGCAACAGTACCGCATGTAATCCGCCAAGACTCTTGCGTCGGCCGTCAGCCCGGCGATCGCGATGCCGCAATGGTCGTCGATCTTGAAGAGTTTCTCATCGTAGGAAGAAAACTCGGACTGCTGCTTCTTTTTGAAGCCCGCAAGCAGGCCGTATTTGTTGCTGCACAATCCGACAATAACGGTTCCGTTTGTCACTGCCGCGCATGCGTGCCGGATTTGCGGAATGTCGCCCTGCGGGGACCAGGTGGTGCAATCTTTGTCGTATTGACCGGAATGCATTTTGATGCCAGTCGCAGGTCTTTAGTTTCGCGGTGGGATAGTATAGTACTAGGCAAAGGTGTCGCGGGGATAGATCGATAAATTCACTCAGGGTCAGGAGTAAAAGAGGAGCTAAAACTTGTTCTGGAAGTGACACAAGCGATGAAAATGTGATTTGGGAAATGTCGATGGTTGTTTTGTCGCCAAGAGAGATGAGTACTCTTCTACACCGTAAAAAGTCATCTACCCAGTTAGAAGATCGCTGGTTTATGAAAGATACAGGGGAATAGAGTGAGCTGACATCTGCTCAAAATCGTAGAAATAATTCCTCTTCGTGAGATAGCCAGCCAAAATCATCGCTACGGCCAACGACTATTGTCGTTTATCGGAGAATTTTATGAAAGTAGGTACACTAAGATACGGATCGTCTTGCTCCTGATTGTGAAATGGCAACAAAACGGATGCACTTCTTGATCGAAAAGGATCCGGCAAACAAGCAAGTGCTGGATGTAGATGATCATCTTGATGTCTCAATAGATACACATATTTTCGCTAGCTGTCTTGTTGGTCGCAAACAATAGTATGGAACAACGACTACTTACTCAGCCGACGGAATTTTCAGTCTTTCTTATCGTGACTGTCCTGAATCGAGATGAAGGATTTGGGCGTGCGGCCACCTCTGAAGCAATTGCAAGAAAAAGTGATGAATTATTGGACTTTAATATTGTCGCCGCCTCGACGCGCATTTCTTTTCAAGCTTCTCCCAACGCGGCGCCCAGATTTTGCACAGTTTCTCAAATGTCTCTTCCGTCAACGAACGTATCAGACGGACACGCTGCTGCAGCTTTTGCAGCACATTTTGTCCCGAAAGAACGTCGTTGTGGTCGCGCCAGCTGCGGTTTGAGGCTTCATCGGTGACGATTTCCGACTGGAACATTTTCTGTGAGACGGATTTTTCTGCGCGGGCGGCTTCCTTCTTCAGTCGCACCGTGTCTCGATGCAGGACCAGGGCGGCCTTATTAGCGGGCTCGAATTGAAGCAACGTGTGAAGGACCTCGAGTGCGCGCGGCAAATCATCCTTCGCGGCGCTCTCTTTCAACGCGAGCGCTTTTCGGTACAGCGCTTTGATGAGAAACGGGTGTATTTTCTCTTGATCTTGATCCACTTGTTCATCGAATGCATTATGACCGGACCCAAAATCTGATGTTGATCTTCCCGTATTTTCTTCCAATGCAGCGCTGTCTTTGTCACCGTTTTCTTTCTCCATGTTCTCGTCGTGGTCCGCTTCACCAGCGATTGTCTTCAAACAGGACGAGGGTAGCTCCACATAACTTCGTTGTCGTTCGTCTGATTGCAGCTTGGACGAAGTAGAGCAGATATTAGAACCGCTTCGTCGATTCTGTTCCTGGGCCGCGGCTTCCTGGAACAGCTTTCCAGCCCGGACTGCTGCCGTTCTGTAGTCTGGAAACCTACTCTCGAGAACCTTATCGCACTCCTCGACCGCCTTGGCAAACACCTTCGTTTTGAGGTAGCACTGCGCGAGGTTCAACCGAGTTGCGTGCTCTAAGTTGGAAAGCTCCTCCAGCTTGTTGCCTGCGTACCCTGCCTTGCTCCGCACGTAGGCGATAGACTGGAGGCTCCTCTCCCAGCATTCCACGGCCTTCGCAAAGTCGCCCCGCACATACCATTCCTTGCCGTCCACGGATTCGTCGGCCTCCCCTGCTTGATCATGTCTTGCATTTAGTTTTTCTCCTTCCTGCCTTTGTTCCCCGACCGTGCTGACCTGCCTTTGGGGCGTGGGAATACTCGACTGAGCCAGTTCTTGTTTATTTCCGCTAGGATCTACTATCAGTGGTGCTGTGCCAGCTCGCTTCCGTTCGTCAGAGCCAGCAGGAGCTGCAGCTGACTCTTGGGTGATACGATTTGCCGCATCAACAGCTTCTGGCGGTTCTTCCCTTTCGTCGACGTCTTCTAGTGCGGCTTTTGAGAACGAAGATCTTTCATTCGAATCATCATCGGCGGGGGTAGCTGTGAGCACGTCTTTATTCACATCGCTATCACTTTCGTCACTGCTGGATTCGTCGTAGTCCACCTTCATCGGCCTTGTGAAAGGGTCGGAAGCCGGATTGAAAGAGCGCGGCAAATCGTCTGGTGTGGTCGAATCGCCTGCCATCTTTTCTTTGATGCTATATACGATTTTGTCTCTCATGATGTGACGTTTTTCTCTGTCTATCTGACAAAAACAAAATCAGAATCGAAGATGTCAGTCCTTCGTACCAACAGCACGACTGCCTGCGTTAGAGACTCATGCACATGCTGTCAGCATGTGCATGAGTGTGCGGCTCAAAAAAAAAAAAATCATTATAGCAGTCAACCACAATAGAAAGAAAGCAGATAGAAACAAAGGCCTTCTTCTATTTTGCTTTTGCATTATCAGTCAAAATGATCATGAAGCGAATTGCTTTGTGCGCCGCCGCGACCATGACCGCGAACTCTTGTGTGCCGCGGAGAACATAGACTCGTCTGAGTCACCCTGCTCAGCGAAGATACTTAGCCCAACCTCGTTGGATTTTCCTAGATTTGCAAAAGAAAAATGCGCGAAGAAGCACGACTCCTTCCATAAGATATTTTATTGCCTTTTTTTATTTCTTTGCGCTCAGCCCTCGACTTTATCACCGTCGAAACAGCCATACCCATACTTTTCCGTGATCTTCTCGGGCGCCGCTTCGCGACTCGCAAGCTTTTCGTCGAACCGCGCGGTGAGGTACTCCCGTACCTCCGGCGCACAGCTTTCCGGTAGCATGTCGAGCACGCTGCCCTCGTCGCAGAGCAAGTTGACGTTCGCGCCACCGGTTTCGACGAGAACCTTTATGCTCTCCATGTCAGCGTAGTAGCACGCCAGGTGCAACGGAGAAAACCCGTCTTCGTTTACTTGATCGACGATGAGTGGCGTACAAGTTGTACTGCTATCTCCAGTTTCCGTTTCTGTGGTTTTGACCTCTCTACTCCGGGTCAGTAAATTTTGAAGCACGACAGGTTGCCGGATCGCAACGTGCAAAATAGTTGACAAATCGTCCGTCTGCAGCGACCAATCGGCGCCGTGGTCGAGGAGCAGGGACACTGTGTCGTTATGACCGCTCTTCGCCGCCATCAGGAGCGCAGAGGAGCCGTCGTAGGCGAGAAAGTCGTCAGGCTTTGTTCCGCCGGCCAGCAGCTCCTTCACCTCTGCGCTCTTGCCGCGGCGGGCGTATTCAAACAGCTCCTCCCCGGAACTCATGACTTGTTAACTAGGAACAAAACCGATCAAAGTTGTAGATGACCGCACCAAAACCAACAAAAAACTAGTCGTGACCTTCATGCCGATCCTGTTTCTGTTACTGATGTATGATCTCCTAAGTAGGTCTGCGGATGAGTCGAAATAACCGAAACTTGGGTCATTTCCATTTGTTTCTTACGGCTGCTGCGTGACACGACGCAACTAGGATCAGTGATATGGTGACCGACAAAAAGTCAAAACGATGGATGCGAAGTCTTTCACATGCACCTTATCGTTATCAGAAAAAAAACACAAGTACTTGGCACTCGAACAACAAGGCCTGCGGGTACCAAAGAAAGAGTCGAAAGTTTCAATTTGTCATTTTTATCGTGGACGAGCCTCGCCTCATTTGTGCTTATTTATCTGTTTGTGTTTTGCACGCGATGAAAGATGATGCTTGCCATTCATTGCCTCTTTTGGTACGAAAAATTGGCATTTTTAGGACCATTCAAATTCATTGCAACGGGCGCAGCGTTGTTCATTTTGAATTTTGCATCCTTCAGGTGGTAGCCGCGGCCACGGCTTCCGCTTCGGTAGTCGGCGTTGCTGATTCTTCCGGTGCACCTGCTCCTTTCTCTAGAAATTTCTCCGGAAGCGCGTCGTTTGCTTCACACTGCGCCCGGATTTTTTCTTTCAGTTTCTGAAACGTCTCCGGATCGTCCTGGACCATTTCGTTCAACTCCCCGATCATCTCTGTGAAGTGGTCCGCGTCCTCGCCCCCCACGTCCTGGCCGTCTACCCGTAAATTGGCCGCTTCCAGCTTCTTCGGGTCCAACTGCTGATCCGCCTTCGCCCTGTCGTCGTTCCCCCCTATGCTTTTCGCGAATTTTTCAGTTCCAAGGAACCCCTTCATGCGGGCTTTTTCGTCTTTCTTTTCCTCCCGGAGCCGCTCGCGGACGGTCTGCGGTTTATTTACGATTATGTTACACATACATAGAATCAATTGTTGGAACAAGAGCAGCAGCAACACCAGGGTACTCGCAGACCAAAAACGCAGTACCATCAACCTGCCTCTGACTGTGATATGTAGAAAAGTTCATCTAGTTGTACTACCTTTTGCATTTTTAGCAGCTCGGCATCTTTTGGTTCGTAACTGAGTGCTTTCGTCACATCCTTGTCGATGCTTGCCATTGTGGGTGAGACTTTGATAGTGGCCGGTGCGAAGTTTTCCGTCTTCTCCGCCACGCCGTCTAGGACATTCAAGGCCGCCGTGCACTTTCGGAACAGAGCTTTGGCCTTCTGACTCGAGTTGAGCACGTCGTGCTTTGGGTTCGGCGGGTCTTCATCACCATACAGGGCTCGGTGCGCGGTGTTGTATGCGTGGGTCCAGTTCTCGGCTTTTAGAAAACACATCGCCAGATTCAGGTAGCAGCTTTGTATCAGAGCCCGAATCTCCTCCTCTTTCCGTTTGACAACCTCCGGCTTCATCCCGCGGCACTGCATGATCACTTCGCTGTAGCGCTGGATAGCGTCGGCGAAACGACTTTCCTTTACATACTTGTTTCCAAGCTTCTTCGTTTCCTCCGCCATTTCCCAAAGCGAATCATCCTCCGTTAGGGAGTAATCTCCCGTGTGCAGACCGAGACCCGACATTTTCTGTTCCTCAGAAAACTGCCACAAACCGAAAAAGCTTAGCAATAAAGTTTACCGACGATGGAAGAGATAGGAAATAAAATGGCGTGTGGGCAACAAAAAAATGGGAATGTCAAAAAAAGTCGATGAGGGCTGGGGTTCTGGGATGAAAGATAGCTTGATATCTGAGCATTTGAATTGCATCAAACATCACTTTTGGCATTGCTATAGATGTACTTCTGACGCAGAAAAATTCTTGCGTCGTCGGTCTAGAATCAGAAACAGAATGACATGTCGAGCTGATGGTGCCGTAATAATCCGGCTACAGTGTGGATATTTCTTTGCACACACGGATATCAACCTTGGCCACGAAGAACACACGAGATGACGTAGTGGAGGTCGCAGAGCTTCGGCGCTACTCCTTGCTGGAGAGCAAACCAATTCGCGGAGTACCCTCGAGGAATTCATCTTGATTCGCACTTCTAATCAAACAAGCAAATGCGGCGACATAATCCCAAGACAAATGCAAATCTGTAGTACTAGAAGTCGAGTACGTAGAAAAGTTAAAGTACTGCGAAAAGTCAATCATGCATGAGGAAACCCACGATGATGTAGTACTGGTCACTGCCACCGAGACTGAGACAGGAAACACATTCATCAGCAGAAAAACTTTGTCTGATTGCTCGTTTAGCGCCTTTAATTTTGCTATTCTAATCTATCTTTGAAACGCAAGAAGCGTGACGTGGTGCTGAAGGAAGGTACCACTTAGCTTGTTACAAGTGAAAGTTGCTTCTTGATCATCTTTTTCTTTTGTCAACCCGCTCCCTATCAATCAAAATAGTTGAACTTGAAGGTCCAGAACCAACGCATCATTTCACGAAAAAAACCCCTAGCTCTTCCTGCTCGTGCAAAAGACGTTTTGCGAATGATACCATCGTCGAATAGCCACAACATCGCTTCAGATGATGTATTGTCACACGTGCAGGGTAATCGGTCCGAACCATCGCGGTAGGTCGTTCGCCAGTTTCCTGCCCTTCTTGTCCTCCCAGTGCGACACCTTCGTCGTTCGGTCAAACACAGCGCGCCACCCGCCGCGACCACCCCGATACTTCGGTACCTGTAGAATGGACCGGGTATCCGGCTCTTCGGCCGCACCGTTTTCGTCGTTCATCGTTTGCTCCTGCAGCGCCCGGGCCTCCTGGGGCCGCCGGAGGGATTTCAAGTGCGGGTTTTTCTGGTCGGCACGCTTCACCAGCGGATCCTCATTCTCGTTCTGCTCCTCCTCCTGGTCAGGATTGTAGTCGTCGAATCGTACTTCACCAGTGAACCAGTTGTAAAAGTACGGAATTGCGTATGAAAGGCAAAAGTACTCTGTTCGCTACGCAGTAGTCTTGTTGCACATGAAAGAATACGATTCCATGCATTTGCATTTGGATTTGAACTTGAACTTTTTTGTTTTCGAAGTTTAGCATTAACTGCATCAGCAAAACTATGCAACTACCACTTGTATGCCAAAACTGAATTAGCAGGGCGTCTTCAAAGAGGACTCTTGTCATGAAGTATTTTTCCACGCCTGTACAAGCATGAAGAGGAGACAACGAACTTTTGCAGCGGGTATTCCGTCGCGGGAAACAATTTTTTCCCATTTCGCCTGTTGCTCCTTGATGTTCGGCACTTCGATAGGAACGGCGTTCGGGGCAAACCTGACAATTTACGTTTTCGTGGCTGTTCTCTTGTCTCCAATACGGACGCTCTCGTTTCGCAATACCATGCAGGTTTCTCTACTTCTTCCCTTGATAGATATTCATCTTCATGTATATTTGCGCAAACTCAACCATGACTGATGCCCCGTGTTCCAAATCATGACTGTAAAACACGTACCGTGCGTAGCCTGCAAATGCCGGTCTCTCCGAGTCTGAAGTTTCGTTGGAGATAGAAGTAATACTCGTCGCCGCAGATTTATGCGACGCAACACTTTCGGAGTCACTTCTGTACTCCAAATCTGTGGGCGAATACGCCGGAAACATTTTTCTTTTTTGGAACAATGCCAGGATTGCGCTTAGCAGTTCTAGACTCTAACGACGCATGATACTACTCGTCTGAGACCTAGATAAAGACTATACTTTTTTCAAATGCGTCGAATTTAGGAAGAGAAGGTCCATATCACAGACCGGGAAAAGCCCCCTTAATACCAGCACGATGGCGAGCATCAACGACCACACGACTACATCTGCAACCCACGAAGGCTACCAATACAACGATTCTTCATGATCCCGGCCGAGCACGAGGAATAAGTAGTAGCTATCTAACATAGAAATGGATGTTTAAACATCGATCGATAGTAATACGCTTGATGTTGATCATTTTCCCTGGGGTCCTGCGATAAATATTTGTTGACATGAGAGGAATTTTTGTCATCGCAACTTTGCTCGGGCCCATGGGTCGCGACGGAGTGGAGACCGAGACAGAGGAAAACTCTACTAGAATCAACTTGAACTTTTATTAGCGAACCGGAGAAGCAAAAGAAAAAAAACCGACATGGCTGAAGAGATACTCATACTTGTCTCCGGTGTTTGCAGCTTCTCTTCGAAAACACAGTACAGGTCACTAAATGACTTTTTTTCCACCCCCAAACTACACAGCCCATGGGCTTCACCATCTTTGTCGAGATCGAAGCACTAGGGAATGAGTCTTAACAACAGAAGAACAGCGACTGAGTATGTTCTGATTTTACGATGCTCGAAGTTTCGTATTCCTGTTAGCATCAATTTCGCTGGTAGGATACTGCCGCGACGATGAAAGGATGTCCGCGACGTAGTGGGAATAGTCCATCTGTTTCTGTTTCTGTACAACATGAACCAAAATCTATACATAGCATTTTTTGCCGTTACCCACAAGAACCGTTCGTTCTCGAAGAATTCCAATAGAGCATCGTACAGTGTGGTGTGATTTGTGTGAAAGTGAAAATGAAATTGCAAAATCAAACTTTTTCATTCAACTTCAAGAAAAAAGCTGACACTACCCTGAAACAAACAGCAACAACATCAAGAAAAAACCTCTAATTCATAGGGTGCGCGCTCCCTATATTTCGCTCTTCGGACGACTAGCTTTGCGCAAACAGGAGCAGAGGAAGGTCAACTCCAAGATGTGGCAGTCCCTCCGGCGGCATCGGACACGGCTCGTGCGTCCGGCCCCGAGGAATGCAGCACGGTCGGCAGTATTTTCGCTCATTTGCCAGGACCTCTTTGCCATGCCGAAGAGCGTCGTTGTGCTTCGGTGGGGGGAAATCCACAACGCGTTTGCACGTCCAGTTATCCAACTGAAGTTATAAAACGGTTTTGGTTGCAATTGCATCTCTTGTTGCACAACTTCCATCAATGAATGATTCCTCCTGCATTCTCAAAAGAAAAGATGAAGCCTTCGAGTAAGCTTGGGCAAAAGAAGTGTAATTGCTGTACAAAACCACTAAAGGAAAACAGGAACAATGCCACTCAAAGAAGAAGCTGTACCTGACTCGGCCAAGGTGCGCTAGGGTCGATGCTCTTCACGCGACGCATTGTGCTGCGACGGATTCGGGGGTCAAGTGGTTCGTTGCACAAACTCGTCGTGCTCCGGGCCATACGGAAATCTGGCGGTCCCCAGTGTCGCCGGGAAATGTACGCGTTTTTCGCCGTGTAGACGATCGGGCTGGTGTAGCCTTCCTCGACGTGCTGGTACAATCGGGCGTCCACGTGTCTGACGAAGTCGATCAAGAACAAATAAAAGGCAATTTGTAATGCAGAGTTCGGTAAAAAACCAGATCTGTCATGCGGTTTGACATATGCAACTGCAACTAAGTTGTACCTCATCTCCTTCTCGCCATTCCAGACACCCGGCCCGCGGTGGATTTGAGTTCGGTCGCGCTCCCAGCTCGATATGGTTGCCTCTTTGTTTTTCACCAGTTGGTTCTGTCTCACCTGGTCGCAGACGGCAATACTCTGCCACGACGCCAACATTCTGATTCTGCACTTATTCGAGCTGGTGAAGATCTGAAGCAGGTTCCGTTCTGCTAAGCACTCTGAGGATTTTCCTCTCTTGCTTCTCAGCAGGCTCGCCTAGGATGCAGTTCGGGCAAATAGCACAAGTACATAAACAAACATCAAACAGGAACATCGACATGAAAGAAAAACTCGGTCCTCAAATTAAAAAACGATCTTCACAGAGAAAGCAAAAAAAGGCATTTCTCGGGGGTCGGGCATTGATAAAAAAACACGAGGCGAGTGGCTGAGTCAGTGTATGTAAGGCGAAGGCCGAGCGCAATCTTCTGAAATATGAAGAACTTATCCTGTGATCAAACAGAAACTAACAGCACGCAAAAGTTCGTCACCGGTACTGATACGAGATCAGAATGAATGTTGACAGCTTTGGTTTTCTGTCATCATCTGTTATCAAAAAACCATTCAGAGAAGTGATACTTGATGACTCACCGACTTTCAGAGCGTTGTTCTTTCCTCATCAAAAAAAGTCCTTGCTAGGTCGTTCAAGTTTCAGTGCTGTAGTTGTCAGAACACGAAGGAAGCCCAATTGTACTCCAGCACTGTGCCAGAGGGAGTGCAGTACCAGTAACCCTGAATCGCAGTGCACAACGTGATTCTTTTTCTTTTTCAACGTAGATGGGAATGAGAAAGGTCGTGCCTTTATAATTTAGGAACGTGAAGAAATTTGAATTTATTCTACAACCTCGTTTGTAGTTCCTGCAGCAGCTCACTTACACTTAGGGCACTCTTGTCGCTCTTCATGTTTGTCATCTGACAACTATGAATGCTACTGTTAGTCATTTTCCCTGCGTTCTGTCAGGCATTTTCTTGGCATTTGTTTCTGTCTCCTCCCTTTTTGTGAGAAAAGAAGGCATGTGGCCCATGGAGGCAGTAAGAGGAGAGACTGCGACAGGAAAAGAGAAAGTGAAAGAGCAAGTAGATAGCATTAGCTTTAGCAATCTGGTGGAGCATTACCTACTCTTTCGGGCCGAATAATTTTTGTACACACTGACATCTCAACTGCAAAAGCAAATTAATGGGAGCAACATCAAAAGCCTATGAAATGTCGTCGCACCAGCAGCGACGATTCTTGTCCTCTCATTTTGTCATGTGTCTGGAGAATGAGCCAAAGTCCACTTTGGCATCGTCAGGGTCGTCAAAAATGTTGCTGAAGTTGTGGCTCGGAGGCGGGAGCGTGAAATCGTCATCCATCAGAAGAAAGCTAGTCCACGATTCGTTCTCGCTATTCTCTAAGTGCCCCGGACGCTCGTGGTACCACTTGGGCCGCGGCGCGTCGTAGCAGCGGCACACAATCGGACAGGGCGACCGCGTCTGTCCTTGGTGTTGCGAATATCCCAGGGGGCGGGACACCGCAGGGGCAGTCTCTGGTCGGCGTCTGTGTGGAACGTATTAATTTGTCGTTTTTTTCGATTTCATAAAAGAAAAATGTAAATGTTTAAACACATTCTTCTTGAAGTAGATTTTGATTAAATCTCATGCTACTACAGGACACACACACAACGCCACCAGTAAAAAGTGTAAGTATAAGATCGAAGTCGAATGCTCGAAAAATATACTCGCGCTGCAGCTTTGTGTGCGAGAATCCGGGAAGAGAACTTCGGCCTCTTTGCGCGGACACGGGTCGTCTAGTGTCCCTTTCCTCCACGTTCATCAGGTCCTCTTGGAGTTTGCTTATGTCCCGTGCGGACCGCGACAGTGAGTTTTTCCTTTTGACCTTCGGGGGGTATTTGTCCTTGTAGGCCATGAGCTCCCGGGTTTTTGCGTATTCGTAGCCCTTCGTGCGGAGCCGGGGGTCCAGGAAGCGCGGGCAGGCGTAGGCGTACGTCTTTCCAAAGTGCGGCTGGTCCAGGTAGGGCCACCGAAACGTGATTTTGCCCGTGTCCCACAGCATCTGTGCGCGCTCGCGCAAAAACTGTGCCTCGATGGACTGCGCCTCCGTCTGGACCGTACCCCGGAAATCATTGGGCGGGTGCGTTCCCGAAGTGACAGGCGGGCCGATCAGCGGTTGATACAGTTTGTTGGGCCCATGCCACTCCGGCTTTGGCGTTGACACCAGCTTCACTGGAGATGCCGTGGTCGACATGGCGCGAGCTTCTGGTGCTGCGGCTGGTCTTGTTCCTGCTGAAATTCTAGTTCCTCTGTTAGTGTTTTTTATTTTTTTTATAGCTTGCGCGTTGTAATAAAAGTTGTAAATGGTAAAAATCGCGGGCGAATTATAGCAAGAAGGTATATGTTAGTGGACTTGAGAACACTCGCACACACTTACACACGTTTGCTCCACTGAGCTCGTTATCAACAGCTTTCCAATGAGTTCTCTCAATTGCAAGTAAGCAAGCAAGTGACGCAAGTCTCTTGCTGCGTTACATCCTGTAGGTTCAATTCATCCAAATTCATCACATTCATATGGACCAAACCTGGTCAGAGCCAAGTGGCAAAACAGCATGGGAGTCCACTCCTCAACCTTGTCGGTTTGGTGCTCGACCCTGGCGGGAGTCAAGTCCCTCAGGGCGACCATTCTGAACGTCTGGACCGAGCTGAGTCCATTCATTTCACTACGATCCTGATGGCTTTGCCTTCGTAGTATTTGGGGGATTCGCGGAACATGGTGAAGAGTTTCCTTTAGGATCCAGATAGATTCTGACCATTTCCCTAAGGATCTAGCTAGTTCAGGTCATTCAGAAACGTCATTTCATCTGGGAACAGGCGTCATTTGGGGCGATCGTGTTACGTGTGTGCGGGATCGATTTCCATGACCAACGCCCCTCCTCAATCGCTGCGGCGGTGGTGCTAATCTGGATAACGTCCAACCACACTCCCCTCCTGAGCGCGCTGTGGTAAACTAGCTATATACCCCCTCTAGAAACCAAAATAAATCGAATAAGTATAGCCTACTTTAGCCTTGCCCTTCTTATGATTCCCCTCAATAAAAGTGTCTAAATCATCCTCATCGTCAGAGGCGTCACAACTAAAAGACTTAGGGTCGGGGTTATCTATATGGTGCAAGAGTAAGCGTCTCTGCGGCACACTACACTCGAGCTTCGTGAGACCGTCTGCCTTCATTAGGTAGGTCGGGCAGAACATGATCTGGCTCGCTGCGTCTCTCACGCGGAGATATCGCAGTGCGTAGTGCCTCGATTTCGGTTTGTTGTCTGTGCTCTTAGCTGTAGTTATCGCGGACTGGTTGTCGATCCACAATATGGCATCATCCAGGGAGGGAGATAAGCCATTCTGCTTTTCCACCATGACAGTGGGTAGAGGTTTGAAGAACTCTGTAAAGTCATTCTGCTCGCTCAGCACAATAGTGTCGGAAGCAGCTATATACTCCGCCTCCGCCGTGGAGTACGCCCTCACGGTCTGCCGGTTGCTACGCCAACAGATCGGGAAGCCGCGGAAGTACATAATGCTACCACTAGTGCTTCGCATGGTCTTGCAACAATTCGCAAAACTAGCATCCGAAAACAGATTCACATCAGGCAAGTCTCTCCCGTCGGGCAGTAGCTTGCTGTAGATTCTGTTGAATTCCTCCTCAATTTCCGGACTATACGACAGACCCTGCTCCTTCGTTGTCAATAGATACTTCAGAATCTTCTTACAGGCGTTTACGACAGGCCGAGTCGCCGGCTTGCCCACATATCTGGCGACAGTGGCAACCGGGACAACAATGTCTACCCTGCAAGTGGTTGCAGCCCACTGCAGAGAGCCAACGACCTCTCGAAGGGGAAAACCTTCAATAACTTTAGCTCCTTCAACTTCTTTAGCGAGTTCAGACTCATCGAAGTTTGGCGAGTGGACCGGCTTGCCCGCTTCTGAGACGTGGAATTTCTTACAAATCTTGGATATGTACTCTGACATCACGATCCTAACGGTTCGTAGATTCCAGTTGTAGTACACTATTGACCCTAGGAAGTCGAACTTCTTGGACACAGAGTTAAACTCCGGAACAAGCTCGACGTCGATCATGCGCCCCTTGACGTGGTGCAAGATCTCCGCAAGTTCTCCAGCCAACTCGGACCCAGTCGGAGGACCTGTGATAAGATTATCGTCGACATACACTGCCAACTTCAGAAACTTCCCAGGGTGTTCCAAGCTCGGTTTCTTCCACAGACCTGGCGCAGAGGGACAGGGTTCCCAACCTAGCTTGGTCAGTACTTCCTCATACTTCTTATACCAGAGCCTGGGGGCGTCTTTCAAGCCGTAAAGCGCTTTCTTGAGCTTGACGATCTCCACGCCGTGCTTCTTCGCCCAGATGGGTGGCAAGCGGCAGAAGACGTCGCGATCAAGTAAGGCATTGAGAAACGCACTATCAAGGTCGAACGGGATCACATCATCACCGTCTGCGGCTGCAGCGGCTAGAAGTAACCTGTTAGCGGCATGGGACACAACAGGAGCGAAAGTGTCCAGCTCGCCCGAACGATCTAGATTACCGAGAACTACTGCCCGCGCTTTCTTCGTACCGTCACGCTTCTCGGTAAGAAGGATAGCAATAGGCAAGACCTGTTTTGCGGTCGCTAGCTCCTCGTCAGTAGCTGGCTCCCACACTTTATAGGCTTCAAGTCTGCAATCTTCCTTGTTGGTTGCTGCGTTCCATTCGGCTGAGTCTTTGCAACGAGCAGGATCCAACTTGGCCGATGTAGTCAAATAACACTGGACGTCAAGGAATTCCTCACCTTCCTCTCGATCATCCTGTGCTGCTATTGCTGCGGCAAACGCACTCGCGTCTTTTCTCAATTCTGCGAGCTCTTTCTTAGTACGTCTCACGCGCTTTTTCTTGTCCTTTCTCCCTTTGGGACGACCACGACCTCGCGGCTTGGAGTTGCGGTTGCCAGCCACAATCCTTGCCGGAGACGGGCTCGCCTTTCTTGGACTAGATAAGCTGCTGTGAGTGGGGTGATCGCCCAGATTCCCCTCCTCAGGTTTAACACCTTCAGGCTCGGGATGTATCTGGCCCGGATCATCTTCCCTATCCAGACTTTCAACCACCAACATCTCTTCTGGACCGTCAGGCTGCCTACCAGTGTGCTCCGAGACATCCACCCCCAGCCGGTGCTCAGCCCTTTTCATCAGACCGACACACGGGAGAGATGGCGCACACGACGCTCCACTGGGTAGGGCCTCGATTGCGTCACACTCGACATAAATGCCTTTCGAGTTAGGAACTAGGTCTTCAACATTCTTCACGAGGTACTCCTCACGGAACTTGACGTCGATGGTGGAATACTCCATCCAACGATGTCCCGCGGCGGACCGGCCGTCCGTGACATACGTCCCAACCCGCCAGCCCGAAGACTTAGGACAGAGGCCGAGAAATACGCCACGACGAAATGGCGCGGACAGCTTTGGAGCAACCACTTCTACTCCCCCCTCAGGAGCTTCATGAACTTCGCCTTTCTTGACTTGTTCACGGAAATAAACGAGACAACCAAAACGCCTTAGCATCCTTGTGCCAACTTTGGAACTGTTTCTTCCAGTTCTTTCATCTAGAATTTCTGCAGGAGTCTTTCCGTCGTACTCAGGCATCTTGCTATACTTATGCGGAAGGCGGTCCCAGCATGCTGCAGCGTACTCGACCGAGTAGCACCGCAGACGCTTGTCCACGCTCACCAACATCGCACGCACAGCGCCGAATATGGTCCGCATAAAGCGTTCGCAGGTTCCGCTCTGCTCTGGGTTGTAGGGAACCGTAGGAGCATCACCGACCCGCAGCGATTGCATGACCTTGGTCATGGAGTCACTGCCCAGAACTGGCTCATTGTCCCTACGGACGAACCATACCACCTTGTCCTCGAGGGTCAAAGCGTAGTTCTGGCGAATGCCTTTGATCAATTCTTCCAAAACCTCAACGCTGTCACTCTTCAGCTTAAGAGGGACACAGAAACACTTCTTGATGGCATCACAGATGACCACAAGCACGCAGGTGCGTGACCGAATCGATACAGGTTTAATACCTACCGCGAAGTCCATCGCTAGTAGTTTCAATGGTTCAGGTTTGTAATTACTAGTGTCTCGCTCCTTGGCGTGAGAGCTTCTTGCGCCTTTCGCTTTGTCGCATTCCGGACACTGGACATTAAGACCATCTACATGAAAGTGTCCGAATCTTCTATGTTGTTCTAGACGCGTAAGGTGACAGCTAGCGATACTTTCTTCGATTGTAATGCATGCAATGTCTTCCGCGGTGTCACTAGTCGCCTGACCCCGGAGGCCCACCGCGAAAAGATCACACCCAAGGACTGGGAGGGTCAACCTCTCGCGGTTCTTGATTGGTAGCATCTGGCCGGATTCCCTGCTGACGAGAGAACCACCAGAGCTGTTGTAGTTCAGATCCCACCCACGATCACTGAGGTTGTCCTCACCAAGCCACGGAGGAATACGATCAATATCTCTTGGTAGATGTTTAAAGTAGACGCCGTAGGGTAAACCTAGAGCGTTTTCCTTCAGTTTTCCGACAAAACCATCGCGAGCCCCGGCCGTGCCGTTGATGCGACAGACGTTGCTCGAGATGTCAACAAAATCCGAATTGTGTCTAGATAAATACTTGTTTGCACATGAATCGACCAAGCTCACTTCGTCCTTGGTCTGTGCAATAAAACAGCTAGAAGAATCTAAATCAAACTCCTCTAAATCGCGGAGAGCCAGCCCCGGCGGGCGACTGCCTAAGTTCCCGCTATTTTTTGAACCGCCCAAGCCCTAGCCTGGGCGAGCAAGCCCGCCCCGGGCAATAGGCCGAGGCGGGCCGCCTTTGCTGGGGACACAGGCGGGGCGCGGGCGACTTGCAGAACGCAGACGCTTGAGCCCATCGCCGGCGACCCGCCTGAAAGGCGCAGTGACGAAGCAATTGCGCCGCCGGCCCTTTCAACCGTTCTTGACCACGTCCCGAAATTTTCTAAGTTTGCGCCTAAATTTCAGAGCAACGGCCGACATAGGCAAAATCGCACGCAAATTGCAAAGCTGGGCAAATTAGACAAAAAATAGACAGCAGCCGAAGCTGCCAAGGCCGCTTTTTGGACAGAAATTAGACAGGAAAATAAAAAGAAAAATAGACAGGAAAATAGACAGAAAAATAGACAGGAAAATAGACAGGAAAATAGACAAAAAGTTAGACAAAAACTGAGACAGGAAATTAGACACGAACTTA